ATGTTAAATATATCTGTTAGTTGTCGGAGAGTAGTTGAAGCATCTCAACAGAAAAACATAATTTGATGCTCACACTATCGTTCACTAGTTTGCGTCCCTTCAATGCTGTTTGTTCCGTTTCCTGAGATAGGCTACGAGTGAATGAGAAGGTTCAACGCCCTGTTGTCAGTCTTCCAGCTATATCATATATATATATCAATTCACTGTGTTCCTTAGTCGTGCAGGATCCGTTCATCGTTGATTGCAATCCATGATTCGGCGAGCAAGCGTCATTTGGGCTTTCCTCATATTAATCCGACCCCGTGACGACCCGGGTCTTCAGCAACCCATGATTATTGTAAGAGGCGACTAACTGGATCGGGTGGTCAGGCTCGCTGACTTAGATGATGAACGGCATCGTATCCAAATTATGTAGAGCGATGCTCATCATGTCAATCACTGGATTGTCTTTGCCATCCTCGATTTTTCACAGTTCTCCGTCATAAAATGAATATTGCTGAGTGCATGCGGTGTTCAACAACAAACAAACGCACAGACACACAATCACATTAAACAGACACACAGTGGTGCAACCGACATCAATTCTTACCAAAAAATTCCATTACCCTTGCATTAGGTTTCCGCGGATGCGCAGCAGGATTCTGGATACCGGAAGCCCGTCCCTTGCCTCGTTCCGGATGTCGAATGATCCGTGAGGAAATGTGGTATTTCTGCGACGGTGACTTCTGCAATGACATGGCGATGACGAAATTCGCATAAAACACGTGTAAACCTGTATCCGGTCTCAGACGCCACTGTCTGTTTGTGTAACACGAGTGTCACAACGCTATTATGTATCAGTATAGTGCATACCACTATGACCTCTTTGTATAATAGTATTAATACATGTTGCAGTAGTTTACAATCTCGTTGAAAGCTAACTGTTATGATGTTTTTTTACATTCAAATAATTAGTGTGAAGAGTCATTAATTTAATTGTTATTTAGTGAGCTTGGCACTTTAAAAGCTGGTTTTATAACGAGTCTGTACAGACTGAAGCGCAATATAATATTGTTATGTTAAATGTCTGTGTAAGACCTGTGAAGGGAGTCACAATGCAATATGTACATTTACAAATATTTTTATTTTTACTTCCAATATCATTTTGTGAGATATATGTTTTTAGAATAAAATCGAACCCGGTCCAACTGGTGGGGACTTCGCAGGATTGAAACCAGTCATTATACATCAGATTAAGGAACCTGAAGACATATTATCAAGAGATAAACGATCTTTGAGAGACGAAGTTCATTCAATCAAGGCAGAGGTATGTGAACTAATGAACAGAAGTCAGTGTAAACAGAGAGTGAGTGAGTGAGTATGGTTTTACGCCGCTTTTAGCAATATTCCAGCAATATCACGGCGGGGCACACCAGAAATGGGCTTCACACATTGTACACATGTCGGGAATCGAGCCCGGGTCTTCGGCGTGACGAGCGAACGCTTCAACCACTAGGCTACCCGACCGCCCCTGTAAACAGAGAAGAACAGGCTATTCTCAGACTAGATGTTGATGAAGTATCCAACAAAGTAGATGAACTGTATTACTGGTCTGACAGTATCTAGAGTCTAGAGTAGAACACCAGGAAAGACAGAGCAAAAAAATAATTTGATTGTATAACGGGTACCAGAGGGAATAGAGGAATCTTATAAAGCGTGCAAGAAGATACTAGGCATTTTCAATAGAGCCAGATATAAGAATCGTACATATGAGGAACTTGCTAATAGAGACATAGAACGTGCCCACTTTCGTGAAAATGGCACATTGGGACGTTAAAATCCAAACACTTGAACTTAGGGATACCCTGAGAGAAATGGGATATGGTGTGGCTTATGACTTAACATATTTCCAGCGACAAGAGCTAGGCAGGTTACGTCGTGAAAATCCAGATAAGAGGGTTTTTTTAATAAAGGAGAAAAACTTGTGGAGGATGTGAAGAAGGACATACCATCTCGAGCCGTGTCATCACACCTTCCGGTCACAACTAATTATATATAATTACGTACGCTTCAAGTAAGTGACCCTAAGCCACGCAATAAAGTAACAATGATTCCTTTAAATTTGTGTGGGTTGAAGAGAACTTCAAGGCTGAACAGTTTAGAATAAACATTATTTCTGGGACTGCGCATGATTTACTGGAGAAGGCTGTAGATGTAGATTTTGTTAACGTTAAAGAAAGTATTGGGTATATTACTGAAAATGTTATTGTCACTTCATCTGATATGAAGAAAATTAATAAGGGCTATATATATGATCAACAATGGTTTGATAGCGAATGCGAGCTACTTAAAAAGGGACAATGTAAATAACTTTAGAAAGAATAAGGACAGAGGGTTGCTAACAGACTATAATAGAGTAAGATATCAGTACAACAAAGTTTGTAAGAAAACAAGTCAGACACTATTGGAATAGTATAGATCATTCTAAAACATTTTGGTCATCGCTAAAAGCCATTAAACAAAACACATATTGCAAATATGACGTTGCTATTCAAGACGGGTTTGAGCATTTCCAGAAATTGTTTTCAGTTCCATTTAGCCATGGCGATCAAATTTAGTTGACCTGGAATTCAACGAAGATTACGTTGACAGTGTAACAGTTGATATTCTTGAATGTCCAAAATCTAGAGAGGAAATATTTGACAGCATCCCCCACCTTAAAGATAATAAGGCATCTGGAAATGATAATGTGATAACAGAGTTTTTTAAACATTCCTCAGATATTATAATACCATATTTGGCAATTATTTTTAATATCCTTTTGAATAGTGAGTATGGTTTTACGCCGCTTTTAGCAATATTCCAGCAATATCACGGCGGGGGACACCAGAAATGGGCTTCACACATTGTACCCATGTCGGGAACCTTTTGAATAGATAATATTTTCAGGAGAATTGGACAGTTGGCATTTTTGTTCCTCTTCCCAAACAGGGCGCAACCAGCGTTGTTAACAATAATAGAGGCATAACTCTCCTCGGTACATTCAGAAAAGTATTTACTTCAATTATCAAAAAGAGACTTGTTTTCTGGGCTGATATGATAAAATAAATGAGTCACAAGCAGGTTTAAGAAAGGGATGATGTTTACTTTAAACTGTTTGACACAAAACTAAGTCCGATTCTATTGTATGGATCAGACATTTGGGGCCTAGTACAGTTTAATGTTATCGAAACAAATACATTAAATTATATAAGCATTATAGTTCTAGCACAGAAAACGCAAGGGTATATGGTGAATGCGGAAGGTTTCCCATGTATATCTATAGTTATTTTACGGTTATTAAATACTGGGTCAAGCTTTTACAAATGAAATTTTCTAGATTCCACAATGACAAGCTCCAGTTGTGAATTGTTCATTTCCATTATGCAATATTATATTTAACTGTATATATGGAGAAGGCGGTAATAAGTGTTGCACTTGTGCCCGAGCCCTTTGTCTTTTTGGACAATAAAATATGTTTAACATTAAAGTTACACTGGACATATAGTCGTGGGCAGAAAACATGAGACAACTTCAGATTTATACTTGTCGTATGTTATCAGGTACATTTATCTGGACTTATTCGACATGATATGGGACCACTGGTCATTTGATTAGCTCTTCAGTAAGTCATTACACAGTGGGTACACTATCGAATGTGACAGTTAACCATCTAGAGCCTCACAGGGAGCTGAGAATGAAAATCAAGTGCACACTGATCCATTGAGCGGGGTAATAATAATGCAGCGCAATGAGCAGTCACTTTTTTACATGATTATCCACATTACATGTATGTGCAATTTTAATCCATGTCATTGTCCTATCTCGAGGTTTTGGGGGTTAGATCCAAGAACCTTTGTAAGATCGCCTAAATTGTTTCTGGTGGTCAGGCTCAGTGACATGATTCATAATATCAGTCACCGGTTTGTCTGTCGACTATTGTTTACAGGCCGCCGATATATATGTGGCCTATTACTCACTGTGTAGTGAAGCAGCAAACAAAACATCAACGGTATAAGTAACTAATTATATACAAATGCAAACATAAATAGAGAAAGTATCTCCAATTTAAATATAATATAACGTTGATGTTAACAAATAACGCTGTTTATTTTCTTTGAAATGTTCTATGAAATACTGTCAACAACGTCAGTTACTTCTACGTCTCGTGAGGACGTAAACGAAGGTAAACATCCTTGCTTGAAGTGTTTCAGGAAACACTTGTCAAAGGATATTGCAACATTGTCCAGCATGTGCTACTTGACGTTGAGTTACACTAAGTGCACACCGCATTGGCCAGTGTATCCTTTCCTTGACATAGCCCCCACTCCGCTATATATATTGCTTTTACCACTTGATGTCCTTCAATGAGAAGAATGATATTCATTTTCTTGATATACTATATATTTTTTAATAAATGTGCTCAAGCCATATCACAGAAGATGGGATATTAAGCTGGCCGTGTTTTTTATTTGTAACGGGGTAAAACCATGGTTTATTGATGTGGAGAAGAAGTAGACCCGTGACTCCTTTAAAGTATTTTAGGGATGTTTGAATATCCCTTATATTGGGTATAAGAAAGAAATTGTGAAATAAACACTATAATGTAGCTTTATGCTGTGGGTATACACAAACATACAATGTGAATGGCGTCTGTCTAGCGTATGATTGATCAGTTAAAGTTGAGGGAAATCACTGAATTGAGCAGCATGTCATTCTTTCATGCTAACCTAGATGAATCATACCGATTCACCAGTCAAATGTAAAACTATCTTCAAGGGTAGTAGTCTCATGTGTCCATTTCCTGGGAATCTGTTCTGGTTCAGTGCACGATTGACATGCTTTACATTTATTCTGAAGGTTTGTTCTGCAAAGATTATGATACAATCACAGCAAGCGTCTTCTTGCAACTGCCTATCGTCGCGTGACTCGCCTCTGCGTAACAATATCGCCCTTATACAAACAGTTCTCTAAATAGTACCTATACCTAGTCCACACAATGGAATGTTCTCAGTATTGATAGGGTCTTTCTCTGTCAGCGAATGACGTGATTGTGATTAGGTTTCGTTTCATATACCAAGGGTCCCCACTGAGTACAGACGGATACAAGCTGTATAAGAATCCCAGGTTACTACTGCAGACAGTGAGTAATGTCCTGATTTACCATGGTGATGTCTACTATTAGTACACCGCTGGGATCGCAGTTTGATTCACATGTAGTAGGATCAAATATATATTTTTGAATCTTTTATTTTATATTCTTGAATCTTATATTTTATAATTTTAAATTGTATAATTTTGCGGGCAAATCGCGTGTCAAAGGCTACATTTTCATTCAAAGTGTGTCGGTGAGGGTGGTGTATGTGAGAGTGTGGTGGGGATGGGATGTGAGGTGAGGGGAAATGGGTTTAACGTCGTGTATGGGATTAGTTCACGCATGTGTGTGGCTGCTTGAACGTGTTCCATTTATGGCCCACAGAGACACCATACTGACTCCGAGCCGACCACTCCTTGTTTTACCTCCTCCCCCCTTAATGCCGAGGGCCAGGCACGATAATAGCAAGTACCATCTTTTATCGGCCATGGGATCCAAACTAATGTGGTGGTACATGCATGTAAGCATATGAATCAACTATCAACTATCACCTTAACCCATTGGAGAATATAGGTTAGAACGGGTCCCAAGCAGTCTACTGTCGGACAAGTACCACTAAATTTAAATACAATGCCCGTTCCTAAAGAATATTGTCTTAATTACCTTTAGGAAAAACGAGGATTATTTGTTGTTTTGTGTGAGACACAACACTTTTGGTATACAAATTACAAGTAAAAAATGCTATAATGTTCTTGAACTTTTTATGTAAATACTGAATTCCGACGGCGTGTCACGATGCTCACAACATCTATCACTGGTTGTATAAATTACAGCCTCTTCCGTATTTTGACATTATGCACTATGATTGTTTGCCTCATCAATATTACTGTAGTGCACTTATCTACCTCCCCACGAACTCTGACGTGTTGTAGCTAGAATATTGCTGACAGTGACGTTAGACTCTAACAAACAAGCTGTTACCAAAACACGGCGTTTGTCTTCCCACTTGCGAGTTTGTGTACAGCATGGTTACGACTTCTCGGGAGTATGTCGGCACTATTCAGGAATACACCTGATCGCATGTTTCCCTTTACATTATGTACCATAAACCTTTGGTATTACGGTATTATTGAAATACACAAACAGATCTAGATCTAGCAACGGACCAACATGTGATTGCTTGAATAATGCTGACTGTGGAGTTTCCAACAAACAAACTATCACCACACATCGTACTTTGCATAAACTTACACCCGATGAATGCATGTCCTTGAGAAACCTTGAACAGATTGATTTGTGAGGAACATTGTGGTGAACACTGAACGAATCTTTACACTTGCGCTGTCTATAAAGTTGTACATTTCCCTCGGGAACTGAGATATAGTGTTACAGGCAGGGGAAGTTTGTCAGTTCAGTCCAAGTCACTTCTCAATCATGTGGAAGAATCGCTCTCCGTTGTTACTTTTCTTGTTCGGTGTGGAACTGTTTTGCTGCTACGTTGAGTAAATAGGGATTTGTCGCCAAGTGTTTTCGTATCATAAATTTATATTGGGAATAACGATTGTATTATGCGAGTCTTTTGTCACTCGTATACGTAATACATAGTTTTTATTCCTAATATATGATATTAACGATGTGGAAATACACGAGTGCAATAATATCTTTATCGTATAACGTCATTCCAAAAAGGTGGACGTTAAAGACGTAAATCGCTCATAAAATTGGTATAACACGGGAGCGAGTTTAGTATCGCATTTATTACTTGCCATGTATTACCTTTTTAGAATTTCAATGTCGTGTGTGAATAGGCAGACATGTGCACAATCCACAGCATAATCCAACTGAATTTAACACAATAACACTTTAAACACGTTAAAAGTTGACAAAGCATTACTTTAAAACCACAAAGTTATCGTAGCCTTAAGGTTATCGTAACTCACATATTTAAACACAGACTTACGACAGTCGTTGCGCGACAGTACGATCGCCTTGTGGAACTGGGCAATGCACCACGAAGTTTAAAATCACGTCACAATAATCTATGACGTAATTTGTGAAATGTTAATGCAAGATCCAACGGTGAAACAATGCTATATAACGTCAGCCAAGTAGCAGGGTCGCTGTGGTCATCCAGTGTCCATAAGCTCCTCTCAGTGATCTGTCATCCAGGCGCAATGTCGTTGAATAAGCCAAGGGAGGTTGAAAGCTTTCAATATTTGTTCGTGGAACTTGTTCCCGCAGTACATACGCACGCGCTTTGCTATTACACAATGTGCAATACAACTGTGTGTATATTAAACGGGTGATCACTCACGGGCAAGTAATAAACAGTTATACTTTATAATGGGTGTAAGCTTGGTGTGTTTGGAAATTGTTGTAATCCCTAGAAATAGGTCACTTTAGTGATCATAAAATCATATATCCACAGAAACACAAACAGGGCGAATTTGGGATTCGAAACCACGATTGTATGATTTTTCCACGTGTAAATAACGTACGTCTGAACAGGGAATTGCCACCCGTGCCTCCTACATTTAGGTATCCAACTGTGGGATGCTGTACTTGCAGGTGTGTCCGGACTATGCAGCAACATAACGGCATGCAGCGATGTGAGAGACAACCTCACAAGACACTACAACCAAAAACTTAAGCCAGTTGGTCAAACAACGATACACATGAGTCTGGATATGAGGGTTCTGAAGGGAGTGGTACGTTGCAACTTAATATCTCACTTAAAATACGACTGGCTGTTGCTATGATCATTGGCAGTACATGTATGTCTGAATTTTGTATGCTAGGTGTATTTTATATCATCTGTATGATCTTAGTTTTATTCAATATTGGAATAATTAGTAACCCTAGCTGTTCCAAGTTATCCAACAAGTACTTCCTTATATTAACGTTCGTACATCCCAAACTATCCACAAGACTGCATGAGAAGAGGGACGTCTTCAGCCTTCTAACAGTAAACTTTCACTTTATATCGATCAATGCTAGTATATCAGCAGCTTCAGCCTTCCGTGAGCGTGTTATTACTACGAACATTTTAAAGAGCGTTATACGACTCTTGCTCAAACGATGATGTGTGTTACAACAATCAAAGACTCAGTAAAGTCTCATGGTAGACATGTGGACGACATTTCCAAATTTGATGCATCACTAACCAATATGATATCCGATGCAATTACCTCTTTTGACTTATACCATATGTTCCCGCGTTTGCTCAGCTGAAAGCATGACTTGCCTTTGCATGTGTTTGTGACGAATGAAATGGGTGGTGCAGGATATGCTCACCTTTTCGTGAACATCCGGTATCATGACAATTGGATAATAATTCATAAACACATGCTTATGATATTGTCGGAATCATGTTTCTTATGGTTTTGTGGCATTTATTTACATGTACGCTTCGGTACTTCAAATTTATGCCCCAGAATGTTCTGTGTGCTTTTTGTCATGCTGTATTTGTAACTCTGTGAGGCTTACGTTGACCGTTGAAGACCGAGTTACTGAAATGATTTCAGAAGAAACCGAAATGCTGGCCACTAAAATCAAGTTGTAAAACCAAATTTAATTTCTAAGGATTCCTATGTAGTAAGTTCGCAGTGGAACACAACATTTGTGTTAATTGTGTTTTTCCGTCTTTCGGTATTTGACCTTGTGTTAACTTAGCACATGGACCATTATCGAGATTAATATTGAAAGTCGAATCTCAAACCCTGTCCACATGGCCTCTAACAAAACGGGGCTTGAATTAATTTATCCATCTTTTACTTCATCTACCACAAAATTTAGTTACATGATCAGCTATTGTTGAATAAATATGCGATGTATGGATCAATGAGTTATGATATTCATATCCTCAGGACATTGCAGTTCAGACCGTTTCAGTCGTTTTCCTTCTTCACATGGTGAGTATTAGGAGGCTATATATACTGAATGTCAGAAAGAAAATAACTTTTCAGTTAATAGTTAGTTTTCTTTTGAAACATTTCATTGGAAGATATATAAATGCATTCGGAATACTGTAATGCCGCAAGTCCGTGATACCTAATGTAAAGAATACAGAAGCGGTTGACGAGTTTACCATGTTGAATGTCATAATGCCATAGTATGCTATACAAACAATGAAAGTGAGTTTTCTTGTTGTTGTTACATGACATTAATGAAGCAAATTATCTTTATTTGGATGTACATGATATTGTGTTTTCATATGTTTTCCTATTTCATAGTATTTACTGCAAATCATCAAAATGTACAGGTGTGTTTATGTGTCTGTCAACTTCAGTAATTTATGTGCTACATCTGAATTGCGCCAAAGATATTCAACATCTCCTTAGATTATCATGCGAAAAACAGTATTCTGCATATAAGTTTGATTTAAAACATTTATACTATTGATTTCAAAAAACATATTATTATCAATTGTACGATTCCGACTAAAGAAAGTTTAATTGGCAAGGTCACCGCCAGATATTTGCATACTTCCAAACAATACTTTCTTTCACTGAATAGACACATTGCTAGTATGGTGTTTGCACGTAAATTCACTTGCAAATGAAACGCAAAAATATTTATAGGAAGTGGAAGTTTGTAATAATATTATTTGCCCCTGGAAGTACCACTTTCCTTCTTCTAAAGCTTATTTCCTCTTTTAAATATAATTTCGGTCGTGTCTATATTTACGTATTTACCAACCTTACTCGTGAAGGTATTAGAAAATGTGCAATGTAATTAATGCCATGAGAATGAAATAATAGCAACATTTTCTTCCACATTATGAATGCTTTAGAAAAATCATCAAAGACATAGTTTGTAACTTTCAACATTACATTTTGTTTTGTATATAATTATCAATACCATCCTGTGGAATATACACAGTACATGTGGTAGAATACCCTTGTCGGCATCTGCTTGCTCCACAACAATCGTGTCAAGTGAATCCGAGCAAACGCTTTATGACAGAAATAGTGTTTTACTGAATATACTTGTAAGTGTAATGCGGGAGTAATTATGTCATTGCTAAAAAGTATGCCCTTTTAGAAATAATTATGGAACTAGTTAAATATTGAGCACCGACCTACGACATGTCGGGTACACGTTCTAACTTGCACTAGTTATGGGGTTAAAGCGTAGTATATAAAACATACCATTTACATAATCGATACCACTACATCCACCTTGAACATGCATAATAGATGCAAAAGACAATTTCATGTTTTGAATCTACGGTATGTGAAGAGGTTTGACTAAGCAAGAGGAGCTGCAGACTACATAATGATTGACAATTTCTATTTTAGACATGGAAAGACGAACGGTTAATGTGGAGTGACCGAGAGCCCGACTACCTCATCTTCGGCAACGACGAGATATGGACACCAAATATCTTCATTACTGAGTAATCTATACTGAACAGCAAAAGAAACATCACTTCATGAAAATAATTCATGAAAGTTTCTTATTGAAATATCAATGCATTTTTTAGGAATCTCGTTTTTGACATTAGTCTGTATACACATTTAAGTTTAACTGTCTAACAGTGTCACGACTTATGGGTATACTGGGTCGCCAAAACGCAGCTTAGCAAATGTCTAGAGAAACCAGGCTTTGGGACGACTGCATGCTAGGTCTGACTGCTAGAATGGTTGCTAATGCTAATGTACACGTGAGAACCATCTACAGATTACAGCAACGATACCAGGTCACCAACAGCATGCAGTCTTGCTAAAGTCTGGTTGCCGAATCTTCGTAAGTCTAAGCATGGTGGTAGGATCGATATAAGAATGTTCCAAGTATTGGGGGTACCGTTTATCAGACAATGCACAAGGAAACACAAGTGAAGTTTGATTTACATGGAAAGCATTCGGGACTTTGTACCATGGTCGTTTGTTGAGCTGCGGTTTGGCATTTGTGTCACTTTTGTACCATTAACTTAACGTTTGGTTACAGACTAATGTCAAAAACGAGATCCTCCCAAGAAATGGATATTTTAATGGGAAACTTTCATGAATTATTTTCATGAAGTGACGTCTCTTTCAGCGGTTGGGTACCCATACATATGACATACTTGTGTGTAGTGAAAAATATACGGCTAACAAAATCCAAGACTAATGCTATAATACAGTTTGAGTATTATCTATTTTATTTCACCAAGACTACACGAAAGGAACTGTTCGTATCAGAACTTTTCGTAGGTGAAAGTTAGTTCTCTCCTGGAAATGGGTTCAATGGGTTCCTAGTCGTTGAAGGCGGCGCAATTCACTGCACACAGTTACGCCCACAGTACCAAATCTGTGATCTGTGTCAGCATCATACCCGTACTCGTGGATTGAATCAAAGTGGTAAATGTCTGTGACCTGCACCAGGCTTTCGTCCACATTAAACGGACAGATGTCATTGTTTAAACCATTCAACCTCGTTTTGCAGTGTCAACGAAAAAGGACTGGCTGGTATATTCGACGACGGACCAATCCCTTTAAGGGTGCTCCCTGGTGGCACAGTTGAATGGTCACCCCAGCTGATTACAACAACAACATGCACAGCTCGCATCTTATATTATCCATATGACTCACAAACGTGTCAACTGACCATCACAGAAGCCTCATACAGAGTCGCTGATGTTGTGCTCAAATCGAACACAACAATCAACAGCAGCTATGTTAACAACGGACAGTGGGAATTTTCTAGTTCGGTTAAAACATCGTCTAACATGACTGATTCTCGAGGATTGGAATATAGTGCAATCAAATAAACTTTCAAATTTAAACGGTATTCAAAATGGTACATCCCTCTGATACTGATACCCCTGGCCATTCTGTCCTTGCTGATGCCTGGTGTGTTTTTTGTACCTGCTTCATCTGGAGAGAAGACGGGATATACCCTGACAGTGATGCTGTCCTTTACAATGCTCAGCGCCTATGTCACAGAAACGCTGCCATCGGTTTCACGTGAGCCTTCTCTTCTAGGTTGGTATATACTTGATTGCATAGATTTATATTAGCCTTGTAATCAGCATTCCCGCCTCCGTGGTCTGAGGTAGAGCGTTCGCCCGGAGAGCGGAAGGCCCGGGGTTCGATCCCCGACCAAATCATACCAAAGGACGTTAAAAGATGGTACTTGTTGTTACCCTGTCTGGCGCTCGGCATTTAGGGGATAAGACAAGGACTGGTCGGCGGCTCGGAGTCAGTAAACTGTGTCTGATAGGGGTATTCATGTTAAACTGCGACATAACAAGCACCATAACATGGCATCAATCCGCACTAGTACAAGCAGCCCCCCCCCCCCCCCCCCCCCACCACACACACACACACGTGCATGCACGTCGCTACATAAGTGCAATAATCTTGGACGCGACGTAATACCCCATTTCACCTCTTCTCACCTCCTTGTGTTAGTTAGACTGTTTCTGCATCTAAATGTGTGCTCTTAATTTTCATGTCCCGCACACCCTTACAATTACCCCCGCCCTGATGTTTATTTTTTCATTTTGGGGGTACCTTAAGAAATGACTTTTTCTACTCAAATTACGTTTTTGAACTAGATTCCAACTTTTGTCTGGTTAGATCACTTGTATTGTGTTCAAATGGCATTGGAATCTAGCCGTGGCCGTCTCTTCATACTTCTAGGCGTGAACAAAAGAGATCATATATAATATATAATAAAATCATGTTCATATATTAACAAGTCCTTTCCTATCCAGTAAGTGTCATGCGTGACAAGACAGTTGTATAACTCATTTAAGAGCGTTTTGATATTCCGCAGGAGGGAGGTGAATGCCTCACCTGAATGTTTCGCTCACCTGACTAAAGGTCATGGCCTGTTTCTCCGGCGTTCGTCGTCGTCCTCGTAGTCGTCGTCTGTAAATATCTTGTCCTCAGAAACCACCGGACTAAGAGGTTCGAATCTCCACGGCAGCCATATTGAAAATCATATTTTGGCTCGAGCGTCTGCCCACTGAGCTGAAAGGTCTTTGGTTCGATGTCCTGAATGCGTCATACCAAAATACGTTAAAAGATAGTACTCATTGTTACTCTCCCTGGCGCTCGGCATTAACTCGAGTAAGTGAGCTTGGCAAGATGAAACTTGGCAAAACTGATCATCAAGGTTGAAATTAAAGTGTCAAATGTTCCTAAAGTGAAACACAACACTAGTCTCTGAGAAAATGGCATCACAAGTCAGTACCTCATGTGTCCGCTATGTGCATTGAGGACTGCCGTGCAACGTCGATACATGGAATGGATGAGGCGGTTGATGAAGGCCATAGGCACTTGAGCCCGACACTCTGAGGAACGCCTGATACAGTTCAGCTGCAGTTTTCGGCCTTGGTCGGACGTCATTCAGCCGTCTTTGAATCTCGTCCCACAGGTGCTCAATGGGATTTAAATCGGGACTGAGGGCAGGCAACTGCATGGTTCTGATGCCATTCTGCTGGAGAAAGAAAGTCTCTTGTTGCTTTCGCAGTGTGGGCACGGGCGTTATCATGCTGAAACTCGTGGTTGCGGCGATGTGCCAAAATGTGGTATGGCGTGTGGTCTCAAGATTTGATCAATGTACCGAGCTGCTGTGACACCATTGCCTCTCCCTGGATCAATTTTCTTGAAGACCACAGGGCCGATCCTCTGTGCAAGTCCAATTCCACCCCACACCCTGATGCTCGGACCACCCCACGAGTCTCTCTCAACAACACAAGCTTCCGAATAACGATCACCACGGCGTCGCCAGGCTTTCTCTCTGCCATCTGCTTTTGAGATCCTGTAACGGCTGTCGTCTGAGAAGAGGACTCTTCTCCACTGCTGGTGGCGCCAATGCTGGTGCTGTGTTGCACACTGAAGACGGTCCCGGCGATGACGTGGTGTCAGAATGGGTCCTCGGTGTGGCCTGTGACAGTGGAGGTGTCCGCACTAATGTGTCGCTGGTGTGTCCCAGTGGTCTGTCGAGCAGTTTCCGCAGCAGTAGCAAAGCGATCTTGAAGATGCTGTCGCACAATCTGACGATCCTGACGATCCCTTGGTCTTCCACTACGTGGTCGCTCATCTGTAGTGTTGGTGGTCTGGTACCGTTGTTGGAACCTGTATATGGTCCTTACGTGGACTTGAAATGCATTGGCTACTTGCCTGGCGGTTTGTCCAGCTTGCAATCGTCCAAGGGCTTGGTGTCGCTGATTTCAAGTCAATCTTGGCATGTGGTAGCAATTCAATAACGAATGAATGTTATCCGATCTAGAGGGATTTTTATAGGTCAAGAAATTGGGGAACGCATGTGCATTTCAATTTGCACGGAACTCACGTGCATCGGGTTACCATGGCCGTTGCCGTAATGCGTTTGGGCGATCGGTTTTATTGTCATCTGCTTTGTTTTGTTATCATCAAATTTCATTTTTCCGGACAAGGTAATGTTAAATGTGAGAAACTTTGACAAATAATGCCCAGATATTTCAATGACAACTTTCATGCAATGTTACTTGGGGTGACGTTTCTTTTGCGGTTCAGTATACATTTAGTACATTAGTAGCAAGTACTGGGGCTCAACACATATTGTCCGATTTCTTTACAAATAATATGTGTATTTCACCGATCATGCTATATAGCATCCCTTGCTTGATTCAGGAGTGTATATTGCTGCTGTGATGACCTGTGGATGTGCCATCATGATACCAACAGTTATCTCTGTATTTCTCTCTCACAGACCAGGTAGGTAGGATCTTCTAGACACCATAGGCTCATCTTTTCTCCATAACAAAAGCAATCACAGCGCTCAGATGATTCCAACGTGTCTCTCTTTTTCTACATTTTCTCAGAAAAAAACGACTACGGGTCATGTAAATAATAACCTACGAACCATGAGGACTATCAAATTATCCGTCCCTCTTCAATTAATGTTGAAAGGTACAAAATGAATTAACTGGGGACACATAATCATAATTCATCTTGGGGGCACGGGTGGCCAAGTCGTCTGAGGCGCCGCACTTCGCTGTGCAGAGTTGCTTCCCTTGGACAAGCCTGAAATTGTGGGTTCGAATCCCGAAGGTTTCACCAAAGTAGTAAATGGCGGAGATCGGCATTACTTTGGGTTTTCCTCCCATATTAACCTGGTCAACACGCCGTGATATGACTTATACTGTTTAAAGCGGCGTTAAATCCAACTCACTCACTCACTTAATTCATCTCTGCTCGTAGGTTATAAATTAATCCCTATATATGCACAACAAATAACGTGAATATAGGAACAATGATCTTTAAAGTATACTGAATACTTTCAAGTTTATAATTGTCATTGACATAAACAAGTCTTCTGAAAAGTATCTGTTTGTTTCTAGAAAACCATTTCTCCATTCAGAATTGTTTGAAGCTAAGTTTCTATATATAATAATGTTCATCAATGGCAGGCGAAGAAAACTACAGAGCGTTTGCTCAGACTATCGACTGTAGCGGCGCTTTGCTGTCCTATCCTCCTCTGATTGTTATGATGATCTGCTTCTTTGCACTGTTGTCTACCTCCGATGAAAACATCAACGCAGAGTCAGCGATTGGAAAGGTATTAGGTATTCCTGTTGGTCTTTTCATCTTACTATTTCTCATTAGGATAGTATTCGGTGTAAAATGTAATATAACAAACGGAAGCACTGAAACCCCCTGTAGTACACATGCGATCACTCACTTGTAAATACACTGGATACGTAAATAATCGTGTCACGTTTTGTGCCCATCTTTCAATGTGGGATGTGAGAGAGTGTACTTTTACGCCAATATTCCAGCAAAATCCCGGCGGGGGATACCAGTTATGGGCGAGTTGTTGTCCTGACTGTTTGTATATAACCGAGTTCGACCTGCCTGCTTGTGTAGCATCGTGTTTGATCTGACTGCTTGTGTATCGTCGTGTTTGATCTGACTGCTTGTGTATCGTCGTGTTTGACCTGCCTGCTTGTGCATCATCGTGTTTGATCTGACTGCTTGTGTATCATCGTGTTTGACCTGCCTGCTTATGTATCATCGTGTTTGACCTGCCTGCTTGCGCATCATCGTGTTTGATCTGACTGCTTGTGTGTCATCGAGTTCGACCGGTCTGCTTATGCATCACCCGCGTTTGACTTCCCCGAATATGTTTTACTGTGCTTGACCTGACTGCGTGTGTGTCGCCGAGTTCGACCTGCCTGCTTGTGTATCATCGTGTTTGACCTGCCTGCTTGTGTATCATCGTGTTTGACCTGACTGCGTGTGTGTAGCCGAGTTCGACCTGCCTGCTTGTGTATCATCGTGTTTGACCTGCCTGCGTGTGTGTAATCGTGTTTGACCTGACTGCGTGTGTGTCGCCGAGTTCGACCTGCCTGCTTGTGTATCATCGTGTTTGACCTGCCTGCTTGTGTGTCATCGTGTTTGACCTAGCTGACTGCGTGTGTGTCACCCAGTTTGACCTGTGTTTGACCTGCCTGGTTGTGTATTATCGCGTTGGACCTCCACGAATATGTTTTACTGTGTTTGACATGACTGCTTATGTGTCACCGAGTTCGACCTTCCTGCTTGTGTATCATCGTGTTTGACATGACTGCTTTTCTGTCACCGCGTTTGTCGAGACTGCTTGTGTTTAACTGTGATTGACCTTACTGCCTCTGTCCCCGCTCCTGACCTGACTGCTTTTGTATAACTGTGTTTGGCCTATCTGTGTGTATATCACCGAGTTTGACCTGACTGCGTGTGTCACCCTGATTGACCTTTGTTTGACCTGACTGCTTTTCTGTCACTGCGTTTGTCCTGACTGCTTGTGTATAACTGTGTTCGACCTGACTGCTTATGTATAACAGTGTTTGACCTGCCTGCTTGTGAATAACTGTGTTCGACCTGACTGATTGTGTATAACTGTGTTTGACCTGCCTGCTTTTGAATAACTGTGTTCGACCTGACTGCGTGTATATCACCGAATTTGACCTGCCTGCTTGTTGGTTGGTTTGTTGTTTAACGCCGCACTCAGCAATATTCCAGCTATATGACGGCGGTCTGTATATAATCGAGTCTGGACCAGACAATCCAGTGATTAATATCATGAGCATCAATCCACGCAATTCGGATTGATGACGTGCATCAACCAAGTCAGCGCGCCTGACCGACCGATCCCGTTAGTCGCATTTTACGACAAGCATAGTCGCCTTTTACAGCAAGCATGGGTTGCTGAAGACCTATTCTACCCCGGGATCTTAGCGGGTCTCTTCCCTGCTTGTGTATTACCGTGTTTGATCTGACCGCTTGTGTGTCATCGAGTTCGACCGGTCTGCTTATGCATCACCCGCGTTTGACCTCCCCGAATATGTTTTACTGTGCTTGACCTGACTACTTGTGTGTCACCGAGTACGACCTGCCTGCTTATGTATCATCGTGTTTGACCTGCCTGCTTGTGTATCATCGTTTTTGACCTGCCTGCTTGTGTATCATCGTGTTTGACCTGACTGCTTGTCTATCATCGTGTTTGACCTGACTGCTTGTGTGTCATCGTGTTTGACCGGTCTGCTTATGCATCACCCGCGTTTGACCTCCCTGAATATGTTTTAGTTTGCTTGACCTGACTGCTTGTGTGTCACCGAGTTCGACCTGCCTGCGTGAGTGTCACGCCGTTTAACCTGACTGCTTGTGTCACCGCGTTTGACCTTATTGCTTGTGTATGTGTTTGACCTGACTGCTTGTGTCGCCGCGCTTGATCTGACTGTTTGTGTATAACCATATAGATTTCGGTATACAGTAAACACGTACATCAGTTCGTTATATCTAAATCGGGTTATTTATTGGACCAACGCTGAAGCATTAGTTATGGTTTTGTTAGAACCCTCTGTTCATGTCATCCGATTTGTGTAACCGGAACTGATTCTTGTACATTGTACTGAGGAACCGGCCACATACAATGCTGTGCTGGGATTTGTCTGAGACGGACTCTTTCCCCAGTCACTTCCTCATGACATACAAGCAGAACACTTTTTTCAGGACAACCAGCATGCCCAGAGAACAATTATACCTTTTTGTAAAACATGTTGTTGACGCTAGAAATATAACATACGACGCAACTGTTGTTAGACATTTGTTGACACTTGTGAAGTAATTAATGTTGTTGTTCTTATGTTCTACGGTTATGAATACATGTATGTTTGTTAGTAGCCATCGCTTATTTATCTAAATAAATGCCGATCGTGCTTTGTAGGATTTCAAGAACTATCGAGGTCATTCAGCGCCCATTAATTATTTTCATAGGGGTACTAGAAGATATAGTGTTTTTGATCTAGATGTGATATTTTTCTTGAATCATGTAGATTCGATTTGTAGCCATTTGAAATGAATAGATAGAACGACGAATATACTGTTTATTTGTATTCAGAAATAAAAATATAAGCCCTGTTTCTGAAACTTCTTGATTGTCAGTACTGGTGTGATGCAAGTGAGTGAGTGAGTTGAATGTAACTCGTTTTAAGCGGTATGTTAGTTGTATCACTGCGTGTCAGCCATCACAAGGAACGCAGGCCATAAATGTTTACGACTTTCAAACTGTGTAACTTGAACTGTCATTAAACTCACGAAAACAAATATATTTGAACACCTGCTTAATAGACCCTTGAAGATTCGGTGTAGAATAGGTCTTCGGTAACCCATGTTTGCCATAAAAGCGACGATGCTTGTCGTAAGAGGCGAGTAACGGAATCGGGTGGTCAGGCTCGCTTACTTGGTTGATACATGTCATCGTCTCCCAATTGCGTAGATCGATGTTCATGATGTCAATCACTGGATTGTCTGGTCGAGACTTGATTATTTACAGACCGCCGTCATATAGCTGGAATATTGCTGAGTGCGGCGTTAAACAACAAACAAACAAACCTGTTTAATATGTGGGGAAAATAATTGACCCCCTAAACATAAAAAAATGCTGATTTCAAACCAATATATCAAAGATGCTAAACTTAGGGCTGCTAGTTACATGCTCTGGCAAGGTTATGAAAGGCAACTCTAGATCTGCACAGCGAATTGCGACACCTTTTGACTGCTTGGTCACCAAATATCTGCGAGGAGCAGATTCAACTGTACGATTCCGACAATATCATGATCATGAGTGTGTGTCTATGAAACTCTATCAAATAGTGATGATACAAGTGTTCGTGATGTCCTGCCCCACCGGTGGCATTCGTCACAGACACATGAAAAGGAAAGTCAGTTGAGCACCTGAAAAAAAACCGGGAACATGTCCTCCATATGTCTACCATAAAACGTTTTGAAAGCTTTACTGAGGCCTTGAATGTTGTAACCCTGATGAAACAACTTTTGTGCAAGAGTCTTATGACGTTCGTAGAAATTTTTGTAGAAAGAGCATGCTCGTTCGATTGTACCTCAAAATTGTGAAATGTAAACACCAAAGGCTGCAGCCGCAGGAATATGGCTCGACATGACTTTGGGACAGTAGACGTCATCTCTGTTGTCATAGAGTCTTGTGGATATTTTTTGTCATTCTTTATGCATAGATCTAAATATGAAACAGAAAGATTTGTTTCACCTGTCTCTTTTATTTCTAGGTCCGGTGTCTAAATCAGTGGAAGGGAATTGGCTAGCTGACCATTATTGAACGATATCAGATCATCGATAACCTGAAGCTCAACTTCTTGGCCAAATGTCCGTAAGCAAGTGTGTGAATGAGTTACCATGAAAGCTATAAGATATCACGGAGTTTGAGATCGTTACGATTTACTATTTCGTTGAAACGAAACATCCCGTGTATGAAGGGTTCAACCCAAGGATAATAAACAGGGCTTGTCTGGGGTTTCGAACCAAGATACGTGGAACCCTGCACGACTCAAGGACGTATATCTCGACAACGACACGCGATGCCATTGACCACTTACAACTAACGTGTGTGTAGGCATACCCCGACTGGTTACTCTCATGTTTTTGATATTTAATATTCTGTTTTTATTTTGACAGGCGACCATAATCAGAATGTACGATGATCAAGGCCAAGGGATTCGATGGGGCAGTTTGTCATGGCAAAATTTTGCTAATTGATATTCATAGTGGCAGATAGTTCGCTTAGCTGGGGTAACCGTATCTCTGTGCTGCTCCATAGAAACGATGTTGAGGATGACTTGTCGATACACAGAGCTACCAGCTGTCCCATTGTGTTTTCCTAATAGATTCCTCATTCCCCAATACATAGCCCACTAACATCCCTGCTCTGAGGTACATGCATCGTAATTCCACGAAACCTACATAGCGACACGATTCCTAAAGCACGTGCCTTCAAATATGTGTAATTTTTGATCATGCAACATTGTATGCACTTAGTGGGTAAGCATGTGAAAGACCCGTATCAAGTCGATGGTTTTCATTTATTTTTCCACATAATCCCCTTCCAGGGTTACACAATTGCCAGCGATGCTGCAAGGCCTGAATGCCGGTCAAGAAGAAATTTTCTTCAGCGACCCTAAAAAAGTCATTCACAGCGGAAATGACGTCATCATTACTTCGAAAATGGCGACCGGATAGTTCCTTTTGTCATTTTGGGAAACAGGTGGAAGTCGGAAGGGGCTAAATCGGGTGAATAAGGGGGATGGTCAATGAGTTCGAAGCCACAATCATGGATCGCTGACATGGCAACCACCGATTTGTGAACAGGAGCATTGTCTTGGTGGAACAGGACTCCTTTAGTGAGCATTCCCCGTCGCTTAGCTTTGATAGCTTCACGCAACTGTCTCCGTAGGTCAGCATAATATCTTCCATTGATAGTCTGGCCTTTTTCAAGATAGTCAATCAGCAGAATACCCTTGGAATCCCAAAAGACTGAAGCCATCACCTTTCCAGCAGAAGGAACCGACTTGGCCTCTTGTGGGGCTGGTGATTCCGGATGATCAGGATCTGCTTCAAAACCGCATAAATTGTCACGAGACGTCAGGAATCTGAAAGATTTCTGATCCACTGTCAAGAGCTTTGGCACCCATCTTGCAGAAACTTTTGTCATTCCCAACTCGTGCTCAACCCTCTCATGAGAGATGCCCACAACACTGATCGTCGATCAGCCATCACCATGTCATGTTTTCCGGAATGGTTGCTGTTGAAGGCCTTCCTGGACGCGGGTCATCATCAAGGCTCTCTCTGTCACGCTTGAATTCCGCAGCCTACTTCTTTACAGTGGAAAAGGAAGGGGCATCATCCCCTAAAGTGGAGACCATGTTAGCATGTATCTGTGTTTTTTGTTAGTCCTTTCAGGTGCAGGTACTTGATGACTGCCCTATAGCCAGTTTTGTCCATTTCTAGTGATTTCAATGGGTAGGTTCACAAGATGGTCTGGTACAAAGACAATAATAACACTACAGTTGCAGTTCTTATGCCTATGATTCATTAAATGATTGTTCTTGTTAGTGGCAAAAGTTTGTTTCAATCCGATTGAGATATCCCACTTAGGCTTAGAACTTTTCAGCCAGCCCTCGTAAAATATAAGCTCTCGTTTTTGGAGGACGTGAATCATGTTGCATTTGTCGATAGATCACAACGCATGCGCTTTGCTGAAGCATATAACGTACTATGCAGATTTTGATCGGATATGAGTGAGTGAGCGAGTTGGGTTTAACGCCGATTTTAACAGTATTCCAGTTATATCACAGCGTGTCATCTTATTGTGGGACGAAAGCCCGAACTGATGCAGGTCTCAGACGTTTACCACTTTGGTGAAACCTACGAGCACGGGTATGATGCTGACAAAACTAGAAACATAATCGGGGCGAATCTTTTAGCAGTCAGGTGCTTTACAGGTTTGGAGAGCTGAAGAGGGTAACATAACGTTAAAATATTCTAAAGTCTGTTATCACAAGATTTCATCTTGGATGCAAGTGAAATGATGGACTAGTCATGGATGCTGTTATGGACAGAGTGAATGTAAAGTGACAGATGAATCGCCGAGGTCCGAGAAACACAGAAGTAGAATGGCGTGAAGTTCGAATTCGCCAGGTCTAGTGACGAACGTCGGGTCAACTGTAAGAACAGAGACGAAGTTGACTTGAAGGAAAGTGCAGCATCCACGAGGGCAACTGATCGACATCGAGGCGCTAACGGGGATGGTACAGACCTCACTGTGCGAGACAAACAAACAGTAATGACACTACATCACGATTATGTAAAGGCCCGACTATATTCTCTGGTGGTGATTCAACTTCTGTTAAGCTGGGTAATGGCATAAACATTTATGTAGGGAAATCTTATAGAACCAAACTAAGTCAAGTCCCCATGAATATGTGGTGCTATGCCAGTGTAGGGATTTCTCAGCAGATGATAAGAGAAGGAATTTGACATTCTGGGTGTTTGAAATTACCCGAAATACATCATAGATATATGCAGGCTATCATCAAAGTGTGTATCGGGCAGTGTGTTCCTATACGATCAGGAATAGAGGAAGAATCTGAAAAATACGGTTTCTAAGGGGCACACCTCTGAAAGATATTAGAGACTTCCAACTGGTACCAACTGGACCAACACAAACGCAGCCATTGAAGGCATTGAAACTGATAGTATACTGAAGGGAATAGTCCAAAGCAGTATATCAAATAACAGTCCCCAGCACAGTCGTCGCCCCTTCACCAGCAATGGAACAGAGATATGTCATCGGTTTAACTATTGCACTTGTTATTAGGAAGACATCTTCCGTTTGGCTCATGTATGTACGATTTGTTGAAAGTGGGGACAACGGTCAGTTCTCTTGCACCATACAACAGTACATTTCTACCAAGCCACACAACGGACAATCGCACCCGCATCATTTCATTCCAGCAATATCACGGCGGGGGGCACAAGAAATGGGCTTTACACATTGGCTCCATGTCGGGAATCGAACCCGGGTCTTCGGCGTGACGAGCGAACGCTTTAACCACTAATCTACCCGACCGCGCCTTCAGGGAAGAAGTAATCCCTCCAACCATTATCACAAGAATGGAAGATGCTAACTTCTTTGTGTTCATTATTAAATTCAACATAACCAACAAGGTCTCCATTGACTCTATCATAAACTTACCCGTCAGACACTTTCACCTCATTTCAACGCAACTTATCCATTCTTCCTGAAACATTCCAAGCAGGGATGCTTTATGCTTGAGATGTGAAACTGGGGCAGAGTTGAAGCCACATTCAGCAGGTAACCAGTGTGAATAGTCAGTGTTGGACTGCTTGGAAGGGAGATAAATCCAGCATCCAACGCTTTTTGGCTTTTGCTTGGAAATTAAAGATACCACTTATTGACCATTTCATTTGTCTTTATCTGGCACACTCGCACATTTTAACTGCTGATCCCAGAAAAGCCTCTGCAGCGAATTCTCATGAAGAAAGGCATTTCCAACATCAACTGTATGATTCTTCAGCAAACCCAAAACTTCAACATTGTCAGTTTCATCAACTTTATGTCCTTTCACAGATATATGTTGCGTCGAATCCTTTCAAGTTCAGTTTGCAGGTTCTGAGTTTTATCTTTCATCACTATAATCTTTGATATCATCATGTCCTTGGACATATGTTTATGGGGGGTAGTTTTCTTCTCAGAAAATGATGATTCTCGCTTTTGTGAACGCGATACTCTCTTTCGAAGTGTGTTTCTATATATGGATTCACCTCTTTCTGATAGTCAACATGCAACACTTGGTTGATTGAATGGTAGAGTAGTACTCAATACTATCGCTCTTTGCATAGAAATCGCCTTCATGACATGCAAGAAAATGTCGTTCATCCTTGTGTGGGAAGTGCTCCATTTTGGTATTGTAATTGTGATCTCTTCCTCAGGATTTCCTACACAAACATCCCCAAGTTTGAGTCTATCAAGGAACTTCTTGAGGTCCCAAAATGACACCATGATTTTGGGAAGACCCGTCCATATATCATGTCCTGTGTCAATCACAATCCTGTGCTTCAGGCACTGAAAAGTGTCTCATCATATTCTATACATTTTAGAACTCCATAATGATCGATAAAAACTGCCTTGTAACTATCATCAACCAGTGTTTTGAGCCAGCTCATTGCTGAGTATTTTTATATATTTATATATTATTTAGTAGCTAAAGTGATGACGTAAATCCTGCTGGGGTATCATGCAGGAAGCCGAGGTACTGTAAGACCCCATGATCCCCAGCAAGGTGGCCTAGCTTTGGTTACTGGTGGCCTATATACTGTATACATGATATTGATATGCTCAAAAATGTTTCATAAATTGTTTTTAAATATGTTTGCATAAATAACTAAATTGTAAATATATTAACTTGGTCTCGTCGCTATATGGCTGAAATAATGCCAATGCGACGTTAAATTTTAACTCTCTCACTGACTCACACTCCTGTGGATGTTATGTTCATACACAAGTTGACTGTTGGCGACTCTCCATCATAAAGTTGAACAAGCTGGATGGAATCATTAGTGATCTTTGTAATTGGGAAATCGGACAATGCCTCCGAATATTTCTTGATGTAATTCTTCAAATTTTGAAAAAACGCAAACGATCTATCCCTTTCTCTACGAACATGTCTGCGTCAACTTGTGATTCATAGCAGAAAACTTTATGTAAAGCAGAACTGCAGCTTGAATCAACTCCCTCTGGTTCTGCAGTGGAAGTTTTGTTGGCAGTGCCTAATTCATTTCCAGGATAAGAAGGCACCCGTTCTCATATTGAGAACTGGAACAAATCAAGATACTTGGAATAATATATCATCTGAATTGGGACTTGAAATTAATAAAATGTATTTAAATTTGATAAAAAATACTTGGGATCAACATTTTTATGATATCTGCGTCAGTAGAAATTTCGTCCGCATTGTAAAACATGCGACAAAGGTTTTTTTACGGTGTATTAAGAAATTACTTAGCAACAGTTGGTGAAAAATAACAATCAGCCTATGCTGATTGAAATCACTGAGTTCGATCTCATGCCAATATAAGCTCACAATAATACTTAGTATTTTAAATTTTATCACCTAAATGAGTATATTGGAGAAGGGAGATAACAAGACTGGCTTTATTGGAAGGTGGTTGGTGAAGGCAGATAAGACGATTTGCAAATATATTGCCTGCCACAACTATTACATCGTTGTAAGGTTATTTTCTTAAAAGAAATTCAGGCTCAGAGTTATAAATAAAATATCGTCTGTTTTTGTAGGGCTGCTGAAATCATATCATATCTCGATACAAAATCCCAGCTTCCCAGAATACCAAATGGGCGGTCCCTTAGCTAGCCGCCCTACAATCGCTCACATCACAAGATGAAAACATTGTAAATGGCATCAAAGCCGAAGCACTCGCAGTCGAAGAAGGAATTAAGGTTGAACCTAAACACATTGTTCATTGTTCATGAGACAATTTTATAGAATACTGACTAACACACCCACACGCTAGACATCTTCAAACGAGTACGTGTGACTTGTTCTGGTTCCATGCTTAAACTGCAAGCATAAAGGCGACAGTTAAATTTTAAACATGTTCCCTCAGGGTGATTTGTTTTCACAGGCTTGTCTTTTACGAAACGGTACATGGTTTAACGATCAACTTGAAAGACAGATGACCTGATGCCAGAGTGCTTTATCTTGAGACCTTTTGTTGGTTTTCTCTATATTTACTCCCTTATGACCGATATCTTTTCTCAAGACTGTAGTTATACTCAAGAGATATTTGCGTCACGTCTAAATTATTCCATAAGATATTTTTTAGTTCTATCTCCATGGAGTGATGGTGGTGTTTTTTTTATACTCAGGGCTCTCCTTTGTGTTTTATTTATTTTTGAGACTGTTACTGAATTGGCACTCTGCAGTATGAAGGCTGCTGTGTCGGTTGTGAATGCTGTTCTCGCAATATGGCTGCTGCAAGGTATATCAAGATTGACCGATGCTCAGAACACCACAGGTAAAGTTCAAAGATGTACATTTTGTCACATTTGCTTTGTAAACATTTAATATTCTTTGTGTATATTGACAACGGAACCACAACGTTTAATATTTGTAATTGAAACTATGGCCGGAATATTTCCTGCCTTGAGTTGTGATGCATACACTGTATACTCAGGTTTTGTTTGGTTGTTTGTTTGTGTGTTTGTTGATTAACGCCGCACTCGGCAATATTCCAGCTATATGACGGCGGTCTGTAAATAATCGAGGCTTGACCAGATAATCCAGTGATTAATATCATGAGCATCGTCCAACTCAATTGGGATACGATAACATGCATCAACCAAATCAGCGACCACCTGACTACCTGATCCCGTTAGTCGCCTCTTACGACAAGCATAGTCGCCTGTTACGGTAAGGATGGGTAGCTAAAGACCAATTCTCTACCCGGATCTTCACGAGTGGTATACTCAGTGTTGTGGCGACAGTGCATATACTATATTCTCAACGGAGTCATATCAGGGGGTTTCCTTGTTAGAATAATTGGCTCTCGCAAGAGCCGACTTAACAGATGTAAGGCTCGGTGACGTGTGGTGGATGGTGTGACAACATTCCCCTTCAGCTCACGATGTCAGACTGTCTAGCTTATATACATATAGGTTAATATATAGGCCGACATCGCAGGGTTGGAATTTAGCGGAGTGCGGCCATTAACAACACTGACCACCCACCAACAATAGGTCGCATCGGATATGTATTACGAGTGAAAATTGTATATTGACCATATGTCATTCATTAATTAACAATCATTTCACGTGAGACATATTTTCAGTAATCACTCGTTACTCGTTATTTATGTAATAAATGCACATACTCCTCCCCGTCACAGATTAACACCCCCCCCCCCCCCCCCCTCACACACACACACACACACACACACACACACACACACACACTGGTCATGAGGTCCCAATGTGCTATCCCGGAACAATCAGACTTCAACATTTCTGGTTGGACTAACATCTGGTCTCTGAAATGAACATATTTTAAAGAAAAAAACAGTTGTTAAGCTATCGTAATACAAGTTATAAAAATGAGCCAAGAGACTTTCTTCATTCCTGAAACTGCAGTAATCTAGACTTGCCAAATATTATAGACTTGGATATATTTGTTTTAGGGTCTGTATGATCATGACAGACAAATTCCTGGTCTCTGACAAAAATGTTATGATGATATAAATTAACGAATGTAATAGTTTAACAAAATTATTCTACAGTCTAACACACAGTTATCACATTATCCTTGAAGTCAAGGCAATTGTTATAGGAATTTCTTGCCTTATACCGAGAATTATTATAAACTCGGGAACAAGTCGTTGTAAAAGCACCCCAATAAATGGAACACACGTTATGCACATAATGTTTCTTTCAGACACGGTGCCCGCATGGTCGACACTTGGCGACTCGGGCGCCGCAATTTGCTGTGCAGAGTTGCGTCCCTTAGCGGCGGGTACCTATGATCGTGGGTTCGAATCCTGGTTCGCCCTGATTATGTTTTAGGTTTGTCAGCAACATGCCCATGTTCGCAGTGCTAAACGTCTAAGATCATCACCGCGGGATTTCCTCTGCAGCAAACTGACACGCCATGCTATAATTGAAATAGTGCAACGTTCAAAAACTCTTCAACTCACTCACTCACACTCACTCACTCACTCACCCACTCCGTAGCGTGACAAATGTTCTCCTTCTACTATGATTCAATTTGCATAGACATCATACAAACAGTAGTTAGAATGATGTAGCGTTAAACGATGGAATGAAGACCTGTTGCAATGTGTACATTGTTTCAGCGGTGGAGTGTCCAGTGGAGATACCAGATGGATACTCAATCGTCGGGAGTAAACGGTACCCTAAGACGCTGTACGTCACCTGTCAAGGGTGCAATGGACAAGACAGCTGGGGGAACTCCAGATGTAAAGAGGACGGCACCCGGGATGAAGTCGTATTACCTAACTGTACTGGTAGGCATTAATAATAATAATAATAATAATAATAATAATAATAAATAATAATAATAATAATGCTTCAGATTCCATTCACCAAGTGACGGCTCATGGCGCTACGTGATCCATGATCCATGGCTCGTCTCCTTGGTACAGGTGGTTGTTAGGCCATACTTTTTTCACTTGCTTTTCATATTTTGAATAGGAAAATACCTATCGATAAGCAATTCAGTATTTTGTTTTTAGCTTTCTGCTCAACTACAGGTCGGTTTATATTTTAGAAAATGGAAAATGGTTTTATGTTGGACGAGGGCCAGTATATAACAATAGCGTGTCTTCGACATTTAAGGGAGAGTGATACTTTGATATCACATCTTTGTGCCATACCTTTTCTGAGGTGTAATCCGGACCATGGCTGCTCCCAACAATTATTTTCTCCTCCCTTCTTGACAGACAATTCACGTTCTGGCTTAGCAATAGGACCACGCGGGACATTATAGGACCCACCATGTGGAATTCTGTGACAGATAGATTACGAGTCGTTAAGCGTAACACACCGTGGTGAATCCGGGTCAGGAATGATTTGTTCCCTGACAACCTTTGCTGGCCGTAAGAGGTGACTAAATGGTACGGGTGTTCAGGCTCGGTGACTTGGTTGATTAAGTCTCGTCTACATTACGGCTTGGACCATCGCTCGTATCAATCACCGGTCTTGTCTGGTCCAGATTGGATTAGTTACAGGCCACTGCCATATAGCTGTAATATACCTGGATATAGCGTTTAGTCAGCTAAAAACACAGAGCTTTACAGAAGTTTGCTGCATCCTATGTCCAGTGCTACAACAGACCCTCGTGATATCCAGCACAAACTACGACTTGATTTCGATAATGTATGTGTTCTTGAGATCCTTCTCTCTCTTTCAGTTTCGTGCCTTAACAGTGAGATGTTTTACAGATGTAAGTCCTGGGTTATACAAGAATGTGCGTTCAACGTAGCCAGGTTCTGGGAGTTATGTGGAAGGTCGTGTGATACACCGGCACTCTGTCACAGTAGGTTATAACATTATTTTATAGTTAAACCCTTATCGCAATGATAAATTATTTAAAGACAGTTTCAAGTAGAAAAAGAAGAAATAAGTCATTTGTCGTCCGCGTGTCAGCACCCGTGGGTATTTCAGATAAGAATTAAAGGTGAGTAAATGAATCGGGTGGTCAGGTGCGGTAACGTGGATAAGTGATACACGATTTTATACACCAAATGTATTGTACACACATAAAATGTGTCCACTCTTTCATAATACTTTTAATTGCATAGAATATTTCATTCCATACATGTACAAATTCCATTACATTCCAAGATCTGGGGTAGAATAGGTCTTCAGCAGCCCATACTAGCCGTAAAAGGCGACTATGGTTGTCGTAAGTGGCGACTAACGGGATCGGGTGGTCAGGCTCGCTGACTTGGTTGATGCATGACATCGTATCCAAATCGCGTGAATCGATGCTCATAGCAATCAATCCCTGGATTGTCTTGTGTAGGCTCTATTATTTACAGACCGGAGTAGCATATAAGAGCGTCGTGTAAGTTGGCGAAGTGATGGTTTATGTTTTCTGTGATAGTAAGGTGATAATCATGATAGTCTGATAGCTGCAAATAGCCAATCAATGGGCAAAAAGATGCCAAGAACTCAACGTCAGTTGACGGAAGCTATCAAGGAATAACGTCGAGGAAAGTTTCGTTCAGATGTGATATTGCTTCAGGACAATGTACCTGAGCACACGTCACAAGTTGCAGTGATTGACAAGCTGCAGATTGTGGCTTTGGTTTACTTCCCCGTGTTATTTTCCCAGAACTCAAAACACGCCTACGTGGTTGTGTTTTACGAGGTGATAGCCCCCGTCGAGGCCTTTTGGAGGGACGAAGATGAAGATTTCTATTGGGCAGGGACGCAGCTGGAGCATCACCGGACGAAGTGTTTTGAAGACAACGAGGATCAAAGTGAAAATAAATGTGTGAACAAATTTCATTTTTAACGATTTTCAGTATGAGGCCACGTACTTTTCTATTAACTCTCGTATGTTTGTTGAAGGAGAGTCTGGCGAGTCTGACTGCCAGTGCGGCAAGTATGCTCAGGATGGACGATGCGAAACCGAGGCTGACATCCGGAACAATGTCTGCCCTTATACCTGCTCTCTTAGAGCTAGTGAGTAGCCTTCTATGTCCCCTATGACACACACACACACACACACACACACACACAATAAATGACACAATAAATGACCTACGACCTCATGTTGTTCTGGAGGGGCCTGGGACTTTGTGAGAGACAGGATATTTTTTCCTACTTCAAAACACGCATTTTATACTGTGAGAGATGAGTCACACAATTCTTAGGAGACACAAAACGCAATTATATTTTGGATTATAATAGTAAATTACAATGCTGTACATATTCATTAAGAAGAGAGACATTTGTGCATCTTACTGTTGGAGCTGACCGTTCTCCTGACAGTCATTAACAATGACAATGACATTCAATGAGTTGAATTCTGTCTTCAGATATAACTTGTGGCGATCCGAATGTTCTCTTCTCTCACGCGGTGGCCTCACTTCAGACCACGCCACACTGGCTGGACATAACAACATTCAGATGCGAGCCAGGCTACATCAACATGGGCCACGCGTCATGGGTGGCTTGCAGCATCAATAGGACGTGGATTATACATTCAAATGTACAGACACCGCATTGTGTTCGTAAGTTTTTCGTAACGGCAGTACTGTAGATGCATTGGTCACATGAAGTGACATCCAGCTCATTGACACCATCACGGCGGTACACGCCCTCACTGACACGTTGGTAGACGTCATCACTGACACGTTGGTAGACGTCATTACTGACACGGCGGTACACGCCATCACTGACACGGTGGTAGACGTCATCACTGACACGGTGGTAGAGGTCATCACTGACACGGCGGTACACACATTCACTGACACGACGGTACACACCATCACTGACACGGTGGTACACACCATCACTGACACGGTGGTACACACCATCACTGACACGGTGGTACACACCATCACTGACAAGGTGGTACACACCATCACTGACACGACGGTACACACCATCACTGGCACGGTGGTACACACCATCACTGACACGGTGGTACATACCATCACTGACACGGCGGTACAAACCATCACTGACACAGTGGTACACACCATCACTGACACGGCGGTACACACCATCACTGACATGGTGGTACACACCACCACTGACACGGTGGTACACACCATCACTGACACAGCGGTTTGTAAATAAGCGAGTCTGGGCCTTGTTTGTTGTTTGTTTCTTGCTTCACTCCGCACTCAGGAATGCTCCAGCTATATGAAAGCTGTCTGTAAATTATCGAGTCTGGACCAGACAATCCAGTGTTTGATGTCATGAGCATCGATTCACGCAATTGTGATACGATGACTTGCATCAACCAAGTCAGCGAGGCTGACCACCCGATCCCGTTAGTCGCCTTTTAGGACAAGCATGGGTTGCTGAAGACCTATGCTATCCCTGATCTTCACGGGTCGAGTCTGGACCTGACCATCCATTTATTGACATCATGAGACTTGATCTAGGCAATTGGGATACGATGACATGCATCAACCAAGTCAGTGAGCCTGACCACCCGATCCCTGTTAGTCGTCGCAAACGTGGGTTGCCGAAGACCTATTCTAACCTGGATCTTCACGTTGTGCAAAATGATAACTATTCATAACACCAACACGCGTTACATAAATTATTTATTGTCATCATACGTCATACGTCAGTGTAAAAACAGTGTACAAGAACATGAATCATAAACATACAAACAATTACATATCACATCAAATGTTGATAAAACACGCTGGAAGCCGCAGAGCCGAGATATTCTAGCCAGGGTTGGGTTGGCAAAGGTGCAAATGACGGCTTGGAATCGCTATTGGATTCTGGTGGCATGGAATATTTATTGACCCCCGTCATGATGTCAATCCTGGATATGATGGTTGTGAATTTCATCATGGTGTAGCTGAACCGACTGTCTCTAAGACGCCCCTCCAGCAACCCCAAGTGGATCAGATCCAGACTCCCGTCACCATCCACGTCGGTAACAGCATCTACAATGGAGGGAGTGATTTCACGCATGTCACCATATCGGAGTGTGGGGGGATGGGGTGGGTGGGTTGTGGGGGTTGTCTGTGTGCGTTGTAACGGTAACATAGGTCATATTATTTACTTTATAAAGGTGACAGCAATACCGAATTCGACGGTCACAAATGTGTACGCAGGATCCAGAGGGTGGTGGTGGGAAGGTGGGGGGAGGGGGAGGGTGGTGGTGGTGATGTCAGGGTGTATACAGGAGCACCCTTTTGAATCATACTTATACTTAACGTATACAATTATATAACTATCACTTAGTGACTTGTTTACAACAAACATGATAATTAATTGATTCCAGAATAATTTGGGGCTAATTTCCCGAATAAAATATTTACATTTATCCAACATATATACTGTTGTGTCAATGAATACTGAACTGTTGTATCAATGAATACTGAATTGTTGTATCAATGAATACTGAATTGTTGTGTCAATGAATACTGAATTATTGTATCAAAGAATACTGAACTGTTGTATCAATAAATACTGAACTGTTGTATCAATGAATACTGAACTGTTGTATCAATAAATACTGAATGGTTGTGTCAATGAATACTGAATTGTTGTATCAATGAATACTGAACTGCTGTATCAATAAATACTGAACTGCTGTATCAATGAATACTGAACTGCTGTATCAATAAATACTGAATTGTTGTATCAATAAATACTGAACTGTTGTATCAAGGAATACTGAACTGCTGTATCAATGAATACTGAACTGTTGTATCAATGAATACTGAACTGTTGTATCAATGAATACTGAACTGTTGTATCAATGAATACTGAACTGTTGTATCAATGAATACTGAATTGTTGTATCAATGAATACTGAACTGTTGTATCAATGAATACTGAACTGTTGTATCAATGAATACTGAATAGTTGTATCAATGAATACTGAACTGTTGTATCAATGAATACTGAACTGTTGTGTCAATGAATACTGAACTGTTGTGTCAATGTGTGTCAACCACCATCGATGTCCGTGTGTCAATAGCGATGCTCCCGTTAATTGCCGGATCAGTGATAGCAGTTAATGTTGTGTATTACCTGTTGATCTGGAGTCAGGAAGCATCACTATACACATGGGTATTTTCCCAGTGGACATGTCGGCATGGAGACATCCCTCCTCGTCTGATCGGGGTAGGTAGTCTGAAATAATAATAATAATAATAATAATAATGATTGATGATGATGATGATGATGATGATGGTGATGATTTTTTGCACCAACATTCAAATGTCTGGTATAAACATTCGATCCTCGTAGCCAGGTATAATCATCTAATCTTGATAGTGTTATAGCGTGAACATGCATAAAAAACCCATAAAAACTGCTAACAAATTCAACATTCAAAATGGCGGCTGCTGTCGCGGTAACTGTGACGATGTGGTTGCCTTTTGATGAATCAGGATATATAGAATACTTAAATCGTGAGATACAGAATACATAGACCATGAAGGGAGTCAATAGAGTGCGACTAACCGGTCAGTAGTTAGTTAGGTAACAAACACGAGTTCCTCGTCTGATATGGGTTTTAAGGAATGAAAATTATGTATGAGGACATGTGCCAAGGTTGGTTGGGCTCGAACACTTTATAAAGATAGTTTCATCGTTTTAAGAGTAGTGCGGGTTTTACAGTCAGCTGATCGAGTCGACTTTCGGTCGTTCCAGTTTCCCACTTTGTGACGCGCCTGTCCTATTCTGTCCAAGTTGTTGTGTATTGAGAGATGGACTGAAGCTTAGTAAAGATAAAACCTTTAAACCTTGTGTTGTGTAAATACTTGTATGCGTGTGTTTAGGTAGATAATCAGGAGCAACGGTCGTCGGACACCTCACTCCTGGACAGAGCGGCCATGTGAGTTGCCGAGTAATGTCTTAAACTGACCATGGCGACACTGAACGGCAATACGCATAGGTGACTGCTGTAGGGTACCATAAGTTACGACAGTAGTCAGGTATAAACACCCAGTCCTCAGAGTAAGGTATAAACACCCGATTCTTTTATTCTGGTATAACCACGCAATCCTCATAGTCAGGTATAAACACCCGATCCTCATAATCAGGTATAACCATGCAATCCTCATAGTCAGGTATAAACACCAAATCCTCATAATCAGGTATAACCACGCAATCCTCATAGTCAGGTATAAACACCCGTTCCTCATAATCAGTTATAACCACGCAATCCTCATAGGCAGGTATAAACACCCGTTCCTCATAATCAGTTATAACCACGCAATCCTCATAGTCAGGTATAAACACCCGATCGTCATAATCAGGTATAACCATGCAATCCTCATAGTCAGATTTTCGCCCCCAATTCTCCTAGTCAGTTATAAAGAACCGATTCTCATTGTCAGGTATAACTACTCGATCCTCGTAGTCAGGCATATCCACCCGATTCTCATAGTCAGGAATAATCACCCGATCCTCACCGTAAGGTATAATCACCCGATCTTCTGGTCTGGTATTCCCATAGTACCTGTATGTACAGCCGCGAATGGACTTGATTGTTGGAATGATCGCTTGTTTCTGCAGAATGTGCTTTTTCGTTTGACTATAACCAAGTAAATGTGCGAGAGAGTTATATTTAACGCTGCTGTGAACAATGGTTCAGTTGCATCACGGTGGGAGGAAAGCCAAAACTGATGCAGTTCATAGACATTGGCCACCTTAGTGAAACCCGCGGGCTGACACGTGCTGACAAGATTATCGGATCCTGTCACGACTAAGGAGGGCAACGCTGTACACCGAATTGCGGTGCCCTGGGCCCCTGGCGCACCCGTGCCTCTAAAAAGCTCTAAAGAAGCATATTCTTTTGTCATAAATCTGACTGTTGACACATGTCATGTTTCTGTATTGGAGTGTGAGTGAGTGATTGAGTTGGGTTGCCGCTATGAACAGAATTCTAGTTATATCACGGCATCAGCTTACTGTGGGGGAAAGCCCGAAGTGATTTAGGTCTCGGAGTTTACCAGCATGGTGAAACCAACGAGCATGGGTATGGTCCTGACAAGCATAATAGGGGCGAACCGGGATTCGAACCCACAACTATAAGTTTCTGGTGCACAACGAATTGCGACGCGTGCCCCCTGTTGGAGTGTGACAATGGCACGAATCATAACATCGTCCTACCGTAATGGTATTTTTCTCCTGGTGTTAGATGTAAAGGGAGAGTACTCTCCGCGTTGTTCCTGTCCACGAGAAAGACCAGCTCGCTCAAGTGCGTAAGGTCATTATCGCAGGTAACGTGATCTTCCTTAAATTCTTTGATGAGTTTTTTACCTGTGAACATAAAATTGACATTTCACTACTACAGACACAATCTGATTCCTTTACGATACCACCCAGCTGAAAGCTCTGGAAACAACTCACAGCAGGTCCCACCGGAAGTACCCTGAGCGAACTTTGACCGACCAATCTAAATTAAGGATACGAGGGTTACTGCGCCAATCAGATGTCAGCTTTCTAAAACAATTCGGCTTCATTTCTTTAGCACCTCGATTGGGGATTTTTTATTTTAACAAGAAAAAACAATTAAAGCACACATATTCCTGCAATGGAACGCCTGTAGGATGTAGATGCCATGGAACTCAGGAAATATAGATTACATTTTATTTTTCACCTGACGCGACCTCCTTCAGATAAGATTAAGCATAATAAAAGAAGGATGATACAGAACTACCCAAATATAAATTAAGACAGAAATTCTTGAACCATGGATGTTGATTTCTTAGATTTTCTGTAGAAGTGAAACCCGATCCATCCAACGTTGGAACTTATCCAAACCAATATCGATAACCTTTTCAGTTAATATTGCATCATAATTAATAATATTACAATAATATGCCGTCGGCCTATGAGAGTACGAGCTAACACAGTACCAACAGAAGACAAGAAATCAGAATAGGTTAAACAAGTCATAAATTGAGCCTAAGAAGCCTGTGAAAAGATATTTTACCTATAACCCAAACATGTAACGGTTTTCAGTATTGCTGTAGGGGCGGTTTGGTAGCCTGGTCGTTAAAGCGTTCGCTCGTCACGCCGAAGATCCGGGTTCGATTCCCGACATCTGTACAACGTGTAAAGCCAATTTCTGGTGTCACCCGCCGTGATATTGCTGGAATATTGCTAAAAGCGGCGTAAAACCATACTCACTCACTCACCCACTCAGTATTGCTCTAAACCTGTATGTATTCTACGTACGGCAGCGCCATTTCTACAGACAAATATTTTCCAAATAATGTGTTATATAAATCTGTCGGTCCTTAATTGTCATACAGCAAGCCGTTGCGATTTCTGGAAATTCTGCATAAATCCATATACGTAATACCCTGGGGATATACAACATCAACACATATACTTACACTCGTCACTCTCGTCGCTGTCTCTTTTGTTTATCTGAAATGCATTCAATACCGTGTTATGACAACCATTACTGTAATTTAGCAAAAGCAATGCATTTTTGTGAGTAAGTATTGTTTCTTTAAAAAAAGATCCCACGCCCCAAGTGGGTGGTTATACCTGACTATAAACCCTTAGTCGCCTCACAGGACAAGCAACAGAGTGACCGATTCTAACCCACCGGTCAAATGTCTACTCACAACTCGCTGTGCCCCCACGCCATGGGCCTCCCCCCTCGTTCCGTTCCCCAGGGTAGCGTTCTTTCCCCTCATCTTGACCATGAAGTAGTCCAGGTGCTTTGTCCTCGATCTGAGGACCAGGTCCGAGGACATCTGATACATGCGGGAGTGGTCCTTCCATAGGATGCTGCCGTCCTCACCGTTCAGTATCACAGTCTGGAAGAGGTGAGGTCAGGTGAAATTGGGTCGCGTCTAGGATTATTGCACTTATATAACTTCGTGCATGCACGTGCATGTGTGTGTGTGTGCATGTGTGTGTGTGTGTGTGTGTGTGTGTGTGTGTGTGTGGCTGCTTGTACTAGTCCGGACTGATGTCGATTTATAGTGCTAGCTCACTGAGATACCATGCCGCAGTTTAACATGAATACCCTACTCAGACACAGTGTACTCCGAACCGACAAGTCCTTGTTTTAGCCCCTGAATGCCGAACGCCAGACAGGGTAACAACAAGTACCATCTTTTTATTGGTATGACGCGACCGGGGATCAAACCCCGGACCTTACGCTCTTCGGGCGGACGCTCTACCACTAGACCACCGAGGCGGTCAGTCTTGAAGACAACATACACTACTGTTCAAAACAAACATTGCATCGTATCTTACCCACTTTTAGAGACCGACTATTGAATTATCAGAGGATGAGGAGCCTGGGATTTCTGTTGGAAACATCTTTAAGTGATTACACTTTTCAAATGAAAAAGCATGACACATTTTGAGTGCCGAAACCAGGTAGGGTACTTTCGAGCTTAAGATGTTTTTTGAACGCCAAACTCAGAAATAAACTCGAATTTGGAGCAGGCAAACCAGTGACCCTTAACATGTTATAACAATGATCAATAAAGGTTAACTTGGGTTATATCCCTACCTCTACACGGGTTTTATATCCAAAGTTTTAAAATCGATTATTGCTATTGTAACCCAACGGTGCGAAATCTTGATTTATCAAGGGTCGATTGCATTTTGTAAGTGAGTTAATATTTTAATACGACAGTAACCCGTATCACGGCACGCTGTAAACAATGGAACCTTGACGAGTCAAAGTTTCGGAGCAACGATCAACGCTGCCGGTTTAAGATGGTCACACATTGTATCCTCCCAGTTCTTAGTTGTCATCTCTTCAGGCAAGCATGGTGCTGAACAGAAATTTCGCTCCGGCTTCCAGACTCTTGTCATATGAAAATGACTAAAGAAATTAAAGCAGATATGGAATGCTTTTGCGTTTTGGCTTAGGGGTAGCCTAACGGTTCAAGCGTTCGCTCGTCACGTCAAAGCCCTGGGCTTGAATACCCACATGGGTACATGGGAAGCCATTCTGTTGTCCTCCGGAAAAACAAACTAATTCTCTCAGCTGACTCGATCATACATAAAGATTCTTCCTATGTCTTACATCTGCGCCGTCGTATTTCGGCCACTCCCCGCTGCTCCAGTGAACAATGAAGTCCAAGATGTCGTCGTCGTTGAAGTGACCAGGTGCTGGTGTGCTGTAAAGTGTCACAGATGTTGGTGAGAAATATGGAAATTTACAGAAATCTTAACAGACACGTCGAACATGTTTTAGAGAATAACCAACGCACTCCCCATTTACTAAATTCGCAATAATGTGTTAGCCTATTGTTGAGATGACTTCATGTGATATATAGGGTCACAATGAAAGTCACATGGTTAAATCAAATGGTCTCACACTTCACGCGAGTGTATAATGCGTTCGCCCGTCACGCCGAAGGACCCGGTTCGATTCCCTACATGGGGAAGTGAGTGAAGAACGCGAGTGAAGAACGCAGAAATTGATAAGCAGGATTACATCACAATATAATTATTTTTTTAAATAAATAAAATTAATGTAACCTTTAAAGCATTCAAACAATACGATATTGACACCATGTCAGCATGGATGGCTGTTGGAGGTAGCCCAAGTTGCAGATACGAGTACTTGATGACAAAGCAGCCACTTTGTCTATTTCCATTTACATGGAATATCGTCATTTTGATGCAGGCAGAAATATGTGCCCGTTTATATTTGTTTCACATGCAGCCTGTAAGCGTGGAAAATATTGTGCCTAATGCATCCAAACTGTTAGGTGTGTACTATACCCCTTTCGTTGTAAGGCTCAAAACATTTCAACCACCCCTCGTATTGTGATGTGTTACTTATTGTAATGGCCTCTTATAACTCCATTGGTCTCTGAACATTTTATTTTTATTTCCTAACATACTTCTACATTGTCTTAGACTCACGATTGTACAGAAAATGGAACCTTAAGAGACATGTTCTTTCTCTCTGTTTACATCGACGGCCAATTACTGTATGGTTTAACAAAGGCAAACATTCCCTTAAGCTTATAATACAATCAGATCACAGGCATTTAGTTTACCTGTATGATTCCATATTTGGAAAAGGTATCCGCCATTTTTCCGTTAACGTCTTGCCGTCAAGCAAAACCATGGCTCCTTCAAACACCGACACTAGGACGTCCTTCTCTCCGTCGTTGTTGACATCAACGATGACGGGTGGTACCATGACACCTTTCAATTGACCCCTGAAATGAAAGAAAGAAACACTTTTGGGTCACGGGGCGGTCGGGTAGCCTGGTGGTTAAAGCGTTTGCTCGTCACGCCGAAGATCCGGGTTCGATTCCCGACATGGGTACAATGTGTGAAGCCCATTTCTAGTGTCCCCCGCCGTGATATTGCTGGAATATCACAAAGCTTGGTTGCATACTCCCCAGGAAGCTGAGAATGATAATCGAGTGAACACTGATCCATTGACTGGTTAATAATTTAGCGCCTTGAGGATGTTTTAAGGTGTGGATTTGGAGCATTATATATATGCACGTTATTATTATCTAATATGTGGGAATCTATGAGTCTTCTGTGTGGCCAGCTATTTACTATGACGTTGAAACAACGTGATTTTCTTAACTTCGAACACAGGTCGATAAAACAAACTCGAAAAGCCAAACTTAACAAAGCAGCGGCGCACCGTGTTTAAATGTGCAAACAATTGACCAGTGGGTGACCATGCATCTTCCGAGGCAAGAGGGACCGGCCGCTTTCTTAACGTTCTCTTGAAAATACTGACCATGATGTTTTCTCGGAAAGTGTACTTTGTTCCTTGTTTAACGCCGCAATCAGCAATATTCCAGCTATATGACGGCGGTCCGTAAATAATCGACTCTGGACGAGACAATCAGGTGATTTGCATCATGGCATGTGTTATGGGACACGATGATATGCATCATCCAAGTCAGCGAGTCTGACCACCCGATCCTGTTCGTCACCACTACGAAAAGCATGGGTTGATGACGACCATTTCTAACCCGGATCCTCACGGGTGAGACAAACATGGTTTGCTGATCGAAGACCAGTTCTAATCGGAGTCTTCATCGGGCACAGTTCATACACTGCTGCAATGTAATGTCGGTTTTTAACACATCCAACAAATGGAGACATAACTTTGGAGGTTCCATGGACAGTATCTTAGAAATGGAGTTTTAAGAAATATTGAGGGTCTACAAAAGTTACTAAAGCTCACACATTTTCTCATTGTTTTGTAAGAAAGTTGGCTCTGAAAACAAGCATGGAGTAATGGAGACCTATTCTGACCCTTACACCCGATGGGTACGTCACGTCACCTTGCTTACCTATGTAAGTACATGATGACGTTATTCGAATCTTTAGGAAGAAGCTTCTTCCATCCAAACTCCCCCTCAGATTGCGGCACGACCTTTTGATCGGTCAAAGTGTAAAGGTCAGGCAGCGTGATGGCCATAAGGTCACCTGAAATTACATGAATGCAATTGTTTCACAAAACAGAGACACAACTTAATCAGTTTCTATAGAGACCTTTGTCATGAGTGAAAAAATGAATTTATACATCTAATTTCTAGTCGGCGCATCCTCATTCATAATGATGCTGTGTGTAACTTCATCCACTCAAATATAAATAAACTTTGTTTATCCGAATTCTTGTTAACCGAAATCTGAAGGAGCAGGAAGTAGCTCTGAAATGTCGTGACAAAGAATATAAGAAGTTGCTATTCATAATAATGTGTCATGTATTCATCTTGTTAACTGGACATGGCGCTTTGGACAATGCACATTTAATGTCCCGAAAGAATCCTTATCGGACAAACCATCGAATAATATCTAGTCTCGAATTACAGATATGTTGCTATATTGGAAATTTGAGTTAACAAGGTGTTTTAAACCACACCTGAAGTCTTTGGACACAACTCGGATAAAGCCAATGGTCGGTCAAAACGATATAAATATTATCCCTGAAAAACAATGTATGTTATCGTTCACATGAATTGTAACTTTCGGACACAGCAAACTGATTTCTGCCGAAGAAAATAAATGATTTTATGAACTAAGTTAAGCTTTCAACGCTCAGCTGACAATCTACAATAACCCATTCTCTAGTATTCATACTTTACAGACTAACGGGATCAGGTGGTCAGGCTCTCTGACTTGGCTGATGCATGTCATTGATTCCAATTGCGTGGATCTTTAGTTACCATTACTGGTTTGTCTGGCGCAGGCTCATGATGTCAATCACTAGATTGTCTGGTCCAGACTCGATTATTAACAGACCGACGTCATATAGCTGTAATATTGTTGAGTGCGGCGTTATACAACAAACAAACAAACATCCTATTACATGTAAGATATATAGCATGGGCCCATTCGCCACCATAACTTCGTTTCGGAAATGACGTCACCATCCCCGGCTACCTTATTGCTAACTTGAACATAATTTCTATCGGCTGTGAGTTTGAAATCAACAACCAATCAAAACATATCTTCTTAATCCGAGTTTGGCAAAGACCTACAGTTCAGTTCACGGCCACCTCCGAGTGTGAGTGAGTTGGGTTTAACGCCGCTTTTAACAGTATTCCAGTTATATCGCGGCGTGTCAGCTTAATGTGGGAGGAAAGCCCGAAGTGATGCAGGTCTCAGACGTTTACCACTTCGGTGAAACCCACGAGCATGGGTATGGTGCTGACAAACCTAGAAACATAATCGGGACGGGATTCGAACCCACAATCATAGGTTTCTGGCGTGTCCAAGGGACGCAACTCTGCACGACTGGGCCACCCGTGCCCCCCGGCCACCTCCGAGCGAGCCACAATGTAGTACAGATAATCAGCAGACTGATATCAATTTTACTGTTAGCTGACTACTAAGACGGAGAGGGAAGTCCCTTTGCTACAGGGCGTTTCTTATTGGATTTGAGGTGGCTCCGAGGAAGTCGAGTTGAACACAAGCGATATGGTTATGAGGTAGTTTGATAGGACGGTTATTTTTAGCGTAATCTCAAAACAATATGTAAAGCGCCACAAAATACTTGCATTAGTCCGTTCTGTTCTGATTTCAAAGGGCGGTCGGGTAGACTAGTGGTTAAAGCGTTCGCTCGTCACGCCGAAGACCCGGGTTCGATTCCCGACATGGGTACAATGTGTGAAGCCCATTTCTGGTGTCCCCCGCCGTGATATTGCTGGAATATTGCTAAAAGCGGCGTAAAACCATACTCACTCACTCACTCTGATTTCAAAAGAAGCACGTTTGTTTACAAACAAGAGAAAAGTCCTGTCACGTGACATGCAAATTAGCCCGTGGCAGTGGTGTAATGTCCCCACTGCGCCGGAATGTGGAATGGGTTTAGGGTATTTATCATGATCAAACGGAGAATATGTTTTTATTAATATGATACACTTGATAATTAGGATGCATAATGTGGTTGCTGGAGACTTCATGATTAAAACTCAGACATGTCTTCTTTCATTTCTCAGCTTACGGATCAGACATGTTTCCCAAAAGTGAAATAAAATGAAACTTTTCTTTACATGCAGTTTACTTCCCACCGATACCATGAACATCCGGGTCAAATTAGGGCTTCAGCATCCCATGCGTGCTGTAAAAGGCGACTATGTTTGTCGTAAGAGGTGACTAACGGGATCGGGTGGTCAGGCTCGCTGACTTGGTTGGAGAACGTTATCGTATCCCAATTGCGTGGATTAACTCACTTTCTAGACATTTGTGAAAATAGGTTATATCATATTCATATTTATTTAGAAATCCTATCCTATGTGTTGAAAGAGAAATTCGTTGTCCATGAAACAAACAGAATAAGCTTCAATGTGTTTGTTTTGACTGACCTGGCACCGTCTCCCCGCCGCTCCCAAACAGCAGGTACTGGGATCGGTCTCTGGCGGTATATTTGACTGGTGTCATGTATGTTTCCTTACTGTCCGGCATCACCATGTAATTACCAAGGGGTGTTCCGGTTGCCCCTGACAAAATAATCAGGCGCCCTGCGGTACGGTTGTGGATCTGTTCAGAGGACAACATACGCCAAATTGTAAAATATTAACCATCATAGAATAAGCAGTCTCGATTATCCAACAAAACAGTTTCCATTTAGCGTAAAAGGAAAAATGGCGGTGAAAATTATATGAATGGATCACTGAAAATCATGAAAAAGGGTGTATGTAAAATATTAGCAAAATAAGTTTTGGTGCTGATACCTTAACGATATATATTTTTAAAAGTCATTTTATCTGACAGGTTTCAAGAATTTCATCGTAACTGAAGTGCGGCTCAAAGCTACGTCATACCTAATTCATTCACTTACTTTTTAAGTTGTGATAACTAGAATCACTCACACTGAACTCCGTCGGGGCGGTGGGGTAGCCAAGTGGTTAAAGTGTTCGCTCGTCACGCCGAACTCCAAGATTCGATTCCCTACATATGTAAAGCCCATTTCTGGTGTCCCCCACCGTGATATTGCTTGAATATTGCTCAAAGAGGCGTAATTACCCAATTTACTTACTAACCCAAATGTACTGCAGCTATACCAATAGTGCCCAGAACGTTCTTAAAATACCTTTACACAGACAACGTTGCGCCCAGTCTGATAACATATTAACTTTCTTTAAAAAATATTTATGTATTATTTACCTTATTCGACAACTACCCATTAGCTACTCTTAATTTGAGAAGAGATATTGTTTTGAGTGAGTGAGCTCAGCTTCAGACATGATGTTGCTCATTTGGAGGAAAGCCCAGAGTGGCAGAGGTCATGTATGTTTTACCATTATGGCGACAACTACGAATCATCAGAGTTGTAATTGTTTTCAATCTGAGATTTGAACCCAGACCGTGAGGTGTCTGATTGCCAAGACATGCGACCCGTGAAGATCCGGGGTAGAATAGGTCTTCAGCAACCCATGCTTGCCGTAAAAGGCGACTATGGTTGTCGTAAGAGGCGACTCACGGGATCGGGTGGTCAGGCTCGCTGACTTGGTTTATGCATGTCATCGATCCCGATTACGTGGATCGATGCTCATGATATTGATCACTGGATTGTCTGGTCCAGACTCGATTATTTACAGATCGCCGTCATATAGCTGGAATATTGCTGAATGCGGCGTTAAACAACAAACCAACCAACCAAGCCAAGACATGCATCTCTGTACATCGTAACCTAAACCTACAGGACCACCCCTGCCCTCTGTACAGCGTAACATACACCTACAGGACCACCCCTGCCCTCTGTACAGCGTAACATACACCTACAGGACCACCTCTGCCCTCTGTACAGCGTAACCTAAACCTACAGGACCACCCCTGCCCCCTTTCACAGCGTAACATAAACCTACAGGACCACCTCTGCCCTCTGTACAGCGTAACCTAAACCTACAGGACCACCCCTGCCCTGTGTACAGCGTAACCTAAACCTACAGGACCACCCCTGCCCTCTTTACAGCGTAACCTAAACCTACAGGACCAGCCCTGCCCTCTCTACAGCGTAACCTAAACCTACAGGACCACCCCTGCCCTCTTTCACAGCGTAACCTAAACCTACAGGACCACGCCTGCCCTCTGTACAGCGTAACCTAAACCTACAGGACCACCCCTGCCCTCTGTACAGCGTAACCTAAACCTACAGGACCACCCCTGCCCTCTTTCACAGCGTTACCTAAACCTACAGGACCACCCCTGCCCTCTGTACAGCGTAACCTAAACCTACAGGACCACCCCTGCCCTCTGTACAGCGTAACCTAAACCTACAGGACCACCCCTGCCCTCTTTCACAGCGTAACCTAAACCTACAGGACCAACCCTGCCCTCTGTACAGCGTAACCTAAACCTACAGGACCACCCCTGCCCTCTTTCACAGCGTAACCTAAACCTACAGGACCACCCCTGCCCTCTGTACAGCGTAACCTAAACCTACAGGACCACCCCTGCCCTCTGTACAGCGTAACATAAACCTACAGGACCACCCCTGCCCTCTGTACAGCGTAACCTAAACCTACAGGACCACCCCTGCCCTCTGTACAGCGTAACCTAAACCTACAGGACCACCCCTGCCCTCTGTACAGCGTAACATAAACCTACAGGACCACCTCTGCCCTCTGTCACAGCGTTTCATAAACCTACAGGACCACCCCTGCCCAGTGTCACAGCGCATCATAAACCCACAGGACCACCCCTGCTCTCTGTACAGCGTAACCTAAACCTACAGGACCACCCCTGCCCTCTGTACAGCGTAACCTAAACCTACAGGACCAACCCTGCCCTGTGTACAGCGTAACCTAAACCTACAGGACCACCCCTGCTCTCTGTACAGCGTAACATAAACCTACAGGACCACCCCTGCCCTCTGTACAGCGTGACATAAATCTACAGGACCACCCCTGCCCTCTGTACAGCGTAACATAAATCTACAGGACCACCCCTGCCCTCTGTACAGCGTAACCTAAATCTACAGGACCACCCCTGCCCTGTTTACAGCGTAACATAAACCTACAGGACCACCCCTGCCCTGTGTACAGCGTAACCTAAACCTACAGGACCAACCCTTGCCCAGTGTCACAGCATGACATAACTGAAAAGCACAGACAGAAAACTCTTTGACCTCGATAAATATGCATAAGGTGCAGGCTAGTTTTATTTCAGGAACTCGCCGAGTTCCAGTATCACAGCAACCACCATTCTTGTGATCAAAAATGGTTTTATGAGCGGAGCCGATGTGCACGGTGGTGACTGGTGTAAGAATGACTGAAACGAATGCGCAGACGCGTATTGAGGCTTTCACGTGGTTACATTTAGCTCGTGATTCCCGTGCATATTTCAACCTCAGTGGACTCAATGGTCAGAGCAGGTGTCACCCTACGAGTTTGAAGCTCGACTCACTTCTGTGGTTGTCAGGAGAGAGCACTTGTGTAGCTGGGTGGGCTCAAGTTTAATGTAATTGGCAATTCTGTGACAGATACGTCACATGACAGAAGTTGCACTCACTCACTCACTCACTCACTCACTCACTCACCTCAGGTTCAATGTTGGGATCTCCGCCGTGGCTGACAACAATGTCCTCCACTCCATCACCGTCGACATCCGGTAAGGCCACTGCCTGGTAGACGTTCCACGTCTGTGTGAAGTGGGAGGGGTGATCAGCGCCGTCGGAGTACCACAGCGTCTTGCCTGGAGAGTTGTAGAGTGAGAGAGTTCAATAACACACAAACAAAAAACTGATTCCAAGAATCCAAAGACCTCAAACTAGTCAGAAAACCAGTATCAATGGGTATGGTTAGAATGTGTTGCCATCTTTATTTTGTGCCATCATACCGAAGGGAGGGGTTGTAGCCTTGTGGTTAAAGCGTTCGCTCGTCACGCCGAAGATCCGTGTTCGATTCCTGACATGAGTACAATGTGAGAAAGCCATTGCTGGTGTTCCCCGCCGTGATATTGCTGGAACATTGCTAAAATCGGCGTTAAACTATACCACTGGCCACTAGTTTGTAACTGGAATTCTCGAGCGTGTTCTCGGTCCAGCTTAAATCTGGAAACATGAAGACCGACAACAGTCTATGATTCTTTACTTTTTCAGTTTGCTCAGGCTCGAGTAACTTGATAGGTCAGTTTAAAGTCATAACAATTTAAAGGGGAAATCATGGTACATTTGTTTGTTTGTTCTTTAACGCCGAACTCAACAATATTCCAGCTGTATGACGGCGATCTGTAAATAATCGAGTGTGGACCAGACAATCCAGTGACTGACATAATGAACATCGATCTACGCAATTGGGATACGATGACATGCATCAACCAAGTCAGCGGGCCTGACCACCCGAACCGGTTAGTCGCCTCTTACGACAAGCATTGTCGCCTTTTACGGCAAGTATGGGATGCTGAGTACCTATTCTAACCCGATTCTTCACATATCTAATAAATATGAATATCTGTGTTCATACGAAGAAAACACAAATCATGATCCTGGAATCCATTTCGTTTGAATATACCATGACATGCGATCGCTTCATTTAAATCCCTTTAATCCCAGGGGATTCGGGGCTAGAGCTGGTCCCCAGCAACCTCTGTTTTGTCGTAAGGAGCGACTAGGATGGGGTGAACAGCCTCATTGACATGGAGATTGCGTGTCATTGTACCCCGATAGCGTGGTACACTGCTCATAATATCAATCACTGGTTTGTCTGGTCCAGACTTGATTATGTACAGGTCCCCGCCATATAGCTGGAATAATGCTGAGTACTGTGTTAAACAACGAACACGTCCAACAATAAGTATACTTGTCGCCACATGCGGGTCGTGCACAAGCGCCCACCCTTTCTAAGATCCACCGCCTGTACCGTCGACTGTCGGCCGGTAACGATGCAGTCTTTGGCGCCGTCAAGGTTGACGTCGATGTCACACATCATAAGCATGACCTCTGACCTGGTAGGGAGACGCCATAGCTCCTTACCGTCGGTACCTCTCAAGGCAAGAAGAAACCCCACACACGGGTAGGGTAAGTCTACAAGACAAAAGTACAAATTGATGTGTAGCTCATCGTATGGATTGTTACTAATTATTATTAATATTAAGTAATTAATCTACAGATTTGGTGTCTCGATGACAGACGGAATACTTTTCTTTGGGACATATCGGGAGACGGGGCAGCCCACTGGTCAAAGCATTCACTCGTTACACCGAAGAACGGGTTCTATTCCCAAGAGGGGTACAGTGTGTGGAACCCATTTCTGGGATTGACCCCCTTGGTTTTGCTGGATTTGTGCTAAATCGGCGTAAAACCCTATTCTGTATTTTTTCTTTGGTTTTTGCTTTAAAGTTTGTTTGGTTTGAGTGAAGAAATCAATTTCAAGAGTATTCATATAATAGTCATAACGTGTGTATAAATGTAATATGCTAGGTAACCCACGCCATGCCTGTCGGTCTAACCACTTGACTGACCAGTCATAAATTCAGAGTCCGCCATTTTGTCCATGATGTCTTGTCGGGTTTTTACCAAAGATATAAGTATTAAAGGTGAACTTTCATAACAATATTATTGTTTTAAAATAATATAGTCTATGTACAGTGTAATTGCCTATCCTCTATAGATCTAAACGAAATGAGAAATAAATGTCACATGGCTAAATGTATCTAGATTTATCATAAAGTCAGTGATACGTACATATTCACTGCGCGTTCGGTTCGAAAATTCATTTTAGCAGCTTTAAATCTACTGGTAACCTAGCTCTACATTGAAAACACAGTATGCTTATCTCCTAATTATATTCATAAAAAACGTCCTTCTTCTTCTTCTTCTTTGATTCCTGGGAGCGTGCTTAACTCCTGTGAGGTTAATTGTTTAGGTAAGCACATTTTGATAGCACAACATCTCTCCACACCGATGGGTAAGACGCCACACAAGCGCTGCACCATAGCTCACCTTACAAAAGTAAGTCAACCTACTTTTCTGTTCACAGTATTTCTTGAGACTGTTGTCCTCAGTGAGCGAGTTGACGCTGGACAAGTCCACGCCGTGAGCGAGCCCGACCAATACGTCCGGCAGACCGTCACCATCGATATCCGGGGTTCGAACACACGACTCCGTACCTTGCCAATGTGAAATTAACAGTGGAAGTATTAGATAAATATATACAACTGTAAGTTCCAGAGCTCCAGATAAGCTGCGTATTTGCGAAAATACGCAAAATAAATTCGCCATTGCCTAATAAAAAACCCGAACATTAAGTAAAATACCACTATACGTAATTGTCCAGTGCAATGCATAAAAGCATCGCTACATTTCTCTAATGGTTCATTATACATGCATATCGCTGTTGTGAATTTATGCGATTTGTCATTAGCCTCCAATGATGTCTTCCCATTGTTCTCCAGGTGGGATAAATCTCACAAACAGGGATGTTATACTATCCCTGCGATTTTAGTGAGTGAGTATGGTTTTACGCCGCTTTTAGCAATATTCCAGCAATATCGCGGCGGGGGAACACCAGAAATGGGCTTCACACATTGTACCCATGTCGGGAATCGAACCCGGGTCTTCGGCGTGACGAGCGAACGCTTTAACCACTAGGCTACCCGACCGCCCCCCTGCGATTTTATATACTATCCCGGGGATTATATTAATTATAAACAACGCCCGTTTATATTGTAACATATGAATGTTTCTCGCTTGAAATGTATTTTGCATTTTAACACAGTCTATATTCCTGCGGATCGAACATGTAACAGACGCGCTGACAAATCACAAAGGTTTTTAAAATGTCTTTTTCAAGTACCCCTTCGCCAGTAACAGATAGTTTACGCCCGTTAGGTTCATGGAAAGTATGTTTGAAACATAAATATGGTGATAAAGTTCCTTTTTTTGGTTTATAAGTTAGATAAAACACTTACCCTCGTTTTTTTTAGATTTAAAACCCCTCGTCGTGATAAAACCCTCCCACGTGTTATCCTACTCATATTACACACTTGGGGAAGCACGCGAACAGGTACAGAGTAGAAGACCCCCGAGGCAGCCTTTGATAGCATAACATTGGTGTGGAATTATCTATCAGACCCAGAGGAATAAAGTTATATTGAATACTCGAAAGAAAACCATCAATACCCACAGACAGTAATAACTTGTGAGTAAACACAGACTGTCTCAAATAATTACCAGGAACCATGTCTAACGATAACCTGTTTATTTGAACTGAAACGAATAATTTCTGACAAGCGGATCGAATTATATATTCGTTTCATGCAGTTTTTTTCTATAGTTTCTAATTCCAGGGAAGCCTTGTTACCTGAGTTGAATTAACTCGATATATCGTTCAAGACGAGGTCACTTCATCGTCCCGGCAGAATCCTGAACGTTACATGATATCTGTACACTCTTTTCTCGAACAACAGATAACTCGATGATCAATGGTTTCACTGTACTTGCATCTCATATTGACATTTAAAACCGATCAACCGAATCACTTTGATGGTTAACTCCGGATGTAACGAATTTCGGAAAAAGAGAACTGAGTTGTCACAAAGACAACTTTTCAATTTACACTGTGACTATAGTTCAAAGAAGACGAGAATGCGGGATGAAACGGAAACAGACCCTTCGTCAGGTCGTTCACAGTGCAAATTCGTTGTAAGTTACATAATACGAATGTTCAGACACTTCCTGTCAGTATTGTATAAAAAGAATAGCGTACAACATTTCCTTACGAATGTTTCGCAATATACATGCAAACAACACTGAAAAACATGAAACCAGAATATGTTGGTCTGTCGGTCATCCAACTGATTTTATACATAGTGCTGAGTTATGTCCCTTAGGCGTGCCAGGAATCTATATGATCGTAGGTTCAAATCCCGATTCTCCCTGATTGTTTCTAGGTTTGTCAGCACCATCCCCATGCTCGTGGGTTTCGGGAAATTGGTAAGATTTTGTATCTCACTTTTCACTAAAGTAATGAAGGTCTAAGACATGCATCACTTGGGCTTTCCTCTCATATCAAGCTGACACGTCGTGATATAACTGCAATTCAAACTGGCTTAACCAAACCCTATCACTCACTCATTCGCTATTATAATACAGAGAGTGAGTGAGTATGGTTTTGCGCCGCTTGTAGCAATATCCCAGCAACATCACGACGGGAGACACCAGAAATGGGCTTCGCACATTGTACCCATGTGGGGAATCGAACCCGGGTCTTCGGCGTGACGACCGAACGCATAAACTACTAGGCTACCCCACCGCCCCTATTATAAAACAGGATGGTAGGACGGTAAAGTGGTTAAAGCGTTCGCTCATCACGTCGAAGACCCGGGTTCGATTCCTCACATGAGAACAATGTGTGAAACTCATTTCTGGTGTCGCCTGCTGTTATATTGCAGGAATATTGCTTAAAGCGGCGTATATTTAACTCACTATTATAGTACACATGACCTACCTGTAGCGTTTAAAACAACACGCCATCCAGGGATCGGTTTTCCTGTCGGAGTACCCTTGAATATTTGCTCCGTGTGACCTTTGCCGTGAAATAAAGTGAAGGCCACAAACGTCACCGCGACAACGGCCCCGATGCTGACGATGACAAGTGCTACCACAGCATACAGGTTGACGCGCCGGCGCTTTCTAGGGGTGGAGAGAAACGGGTCCAGTAACAAGGGGCCGTTAGCTTCTGCTTCTAGCCTGGGCCCCCGGGCGTGAATCCCCTCACTCTCCTCGTCACTCGTGTCTTGCTGCTGAAGGGGGAAATATTCGACACCCTTCTTGGACATTGTGAGCTTTAGGGGCCGCTGAAACAACACAAATGAACAGTTTCATTACTTGGGTTAAGTTAAATATACACCAAAACAAAAGCGGTGCTGCGTCGTTGGATATCCTAGTGTTATCCGGCTTTCCAACATGGTTAAATCATTTCTGGTGAGGTGAAGTGAAATAGGGTTTAATGTCACGTCCAAGATTATTGCCCTCACATAGGCACGCGTGTGTGTGTGCGTGCCTGCATGAGTTTGCTTGTACTAGTCCGGACGAATGCCGATTTTACAGTGCTACCCCACTAAGATACCATGTCGCAGCTTAACATAAATAGCACACTCCGAAAATAGTATGCTGATTCCGAGCGGATCAGTCCTTGTTTTAGCCCCTTAATGCTAAGCGCAAGACAGGGTAACAACAAGTACCATCTTTAAACGTCTTTTGCTTTAAGGCGGCCCGGGGATCGAACATCGGACCTTCCGCTCTCTGGGCGGACGCCCTACCACTAGACCACGGAAGCGGTCACATGTCTGATGTCCCTCGCATTGATATTTCTGGATTATTGCTAAAAGTGGCGTAAATCCATACACCCATCTGTGGCAATGAGTGCGTTTTGTTTCACGCCACAGTCGACAATACTACAATTTTTTTGCGCCTGTAAATAATTCTTGTCTAGGCGATGCAAATAACAGATCTGTTACAAGCCTTATGTGAGAGCATTCCTTGTCCATCTCTCCCAATAGAAACAAACAAACAAACAGCATTAGTGCCTATATGATAAACTTCAATTCCAAAGTGTTATAGTTGTGACTTTAGTGTGCGGCTGCGGTTCGTCTCTCTATCTTAAACGGGAAAGTATGACAGAGTCCTGGTCTCTGTGTAGATATCGATCCGTGAAGATCTGGGGTAGAACAGGTCTTCAGCAACTCTGGCTTGCCGTAAATGGCGACTATCCTTGTCGTAAGAAGCGAATAATGGTCAGGCTCGCTGACTTGGTTGATACATGTCATCACATCCCAGTTGCTGGATTGTCTGGGCCAGACTCGATTATTTACAGACCGACGTCATCTAGCTGTAATATTGTGGCGTTAAACAACAAACAAACAAACAAACAAACAAACAAACTGTATAGATATCGGGTCACAAATGTAATGCAACGCATATACTGTCAATAACCACACCGCGTGACTCATTCGTTGGGACAGCCCGTGAGGATCCGGGTTAGAATAGGTCTTCAGCAACCTGCGTACAATGTGTGAAGCCAATTTCTGGTGTCCCCCGCCGTGATATTGCTTGAATATTGCTAAAAGCGGCGAAAAACCATACTCATTCACTCTTCAGCAACTCATGCTGGTCGTAAGAGGCGCCTGTATAGGGGCATGTGTGCTAACACTTATAAAGTGAAAACAAGCCATTCCGCCGATAAGAAATTTTATAGTATTTACAGTAATGACGAAAATTGCAAAGTGCTCTTTTCAAGAAATATCCATTTTGCTTGCGATAAACATCATCATTGAGTTTGGTCACGTGGTCACAATCCGACAAAGCATTGGCAGTCAGTTGGTTTTCAGCACGAACTGAAAGAAAAATACGCGCAGATGTAGTAGGCGCTTTTGACCAAGGTCACTGGTAAATATACCTCTCGCGGTCACTGACTGTCGATTATTACCCGGATTGTAACCACGTCATCAAAACTCAATGATGATGTTTATCAATAAGAAAAGGGACATTTTTCGTATGCATGTCATCGTATCCCAATTGCGTGGTTCGATGCTCATGATATCAATCACTTGATTTTCTAGTTCAGACTTGATTATTTAAATTCATATCGGTCATATTGCTGAGTGTGGCGTTAAACAACAAACACATTCGTGAGAACATGAAATAGATCTCTGTATATAAAAAACAAAACACCAACGCTACTAAAAAACTTCAATTTCGAAAATAACAAGGAGCGTGAATGAACAGTGGACATACATTCACACGTGACATTTGCGTGTAACTTCAGTTTGTTCAACTTTAAATTAATATTTGTTTTTTGAAGATTCAGGATAGAATAGGTCTTCAGCAACCCATGCTTGCCGAAATAGGCGACTATTCTTGTCGTAAAAAGCGACTAACGAGATCGGGTTGTCAGGCTCACTGACTCTCAATTGCATGCATAGATGTTTATGATGTCAATCTGGTTTGTATTGTCCAGATTTGATTATTTACAGATCGCCGTCATATAGCTGTAATATTGCTGAGTGCGGCGTTAAACAACAAACGAAGGAAAACGAAAGAAACATACAAGAAATTAGCTCAGCTGGTAATCGTAGTTCAAAGGTTAAATACATTACATCAAAATATCCATTGAACCCGAGGAACCTCCATATAGGTACAACATAGATGTCATTACCCCATGGCCGCGCGCTTGTGTGTCATCGTACGCCGACGTCGTGGTTAATTGCTCATAATATCATTTACTGGATTGTCTGGCCCAGACACGATATTCATTTGATGTTTGAAACAACATATTTACTTTGCCCGGCAATGGGCCGATAATACCCTGGGATATATGCGTGTTGTTGTCGCCATAGGGGACTTGAAAACATTATCTATCAATCAGAACACATTTATCTTGAAGTAGGTACATAATTGACACAGACACCTCTTTCTGTCAGCGAGCGAGGCATATTGTACGATAATGGGCAATGATTAAAGATCTGTGGTGTCCTTTGTCCTCCCCTTGGTTTAATCAAAGACATTTGACACACTTGCTTTTGACACAACCGTATAGTACATGCGTATGCTTTGTTTGTTGTTTAACGCCGCGCTCAGCAATATTCCAGCTGTATGATGGCGATCTGTAAATAATCGAGTCTGGACCAGACAGTCCAGTGATTGACACCATGAGCATCGATCCACGCAATTGAGATCGATGACATGTATCAAACCAAGTCAAGCGAGCCTGACCACCCGAACCCGTTTGTCACCTTTTACGACAAGCATAGTCGCCTTTTACGGCAAGCACGGGGTGTTGAAGACCTATTCTACCCCGGAACTTCACGGGTCACATGCGTATGCAGCGTGGTATTTAGCGAAACAAGGTTTCGAAGAACGTGCGACGTAACGGCATTTATATATTAATACGGGTGGAGACTGACGAGTGACGTGAAACATGTATGACATATTAGAGAGAATTTAACGCCGCGTTTGTGTCAATATTCCAGCTATAAGGTGAGGTGAAATTGGGTTTAACGTCGCGTCCAAGAGTATTGCACTTATAAAGTGACGTGCATGCACGTGTGTGTGTGGCTGCTTGTACTAGTCCGGACTGATGCCGAGATACCATGCGGCAGTTTAACATGAATACCCCACTCAGACACAGTATACTGACTTCGAGCCGACCAGTCCTTGTTTAAGCCCCTTAATGCCGAGCGCCAGACAGGGTAACAACAAATACCATAGTTAATATCTTTTGGTGTGACGCGGCCGGGGATCGAACCCCCGGGGTTCCGCGGCCGGGGACTTTCCGCTCTCCGGGCGGACGCTCTACCACTAGACCACGGAGGCGGTCTCCAGCTATAAGATAATTGAGGCTACCTGTAACGAGTTTCACATATTGTACGCATATGGGGAATCGAACCCGGGTCTCCGATTCAGTGTGACCAGGGAAAGCAGTGCTACCAAGTGATCGCTGTTTCCTACTTTGAAGTTTATTTTATTATTGGAAATTCGTTAACAGATCATCTACACATTTAGAAAGTTTGAAAAAATATCAGTTTTAATTGTATTCATAATATGTGTCATTTTGAGTCGTCAGATGCGTCAATCAAGTAATTAAATCACGTTTGATAAAGTAGGTAGGAAAAATGCCAGATAATAGGGCACATCATTGAGTGAGTGCGGTGTTTCAAAGGGTTGCATGACCTCACTACTGCTGTCCGTGTGAACGTATCGGCAGCATGTCAAGCATGTGCACGTGTAGCACGGACTCACATCACAGGTGTCATGTCAAAGGCTTTGCAGATAGCTTTGCACGTGAAATACGTGCATTTTCTTATGCGATATAATTGCTGCAATAAAGAAAGATATTTATTCAGTGAAAGGCCTACTGGCCTAAAGAACAAGTGATTGATAATATAAGCTAGCTCAGTCACGTGAGATTATCACATGGATAGGTTAACTGCTGTACCACCGAAGCTGGTGATAAAGAAACTTGTCAACAGAGGTAGTATATTAAATATTATCAGAATTTAATATATTTACAATTGATTGTTTGTGTTTAACCGTATTGATAATATATGGGATGGGTTTTATTCTTAAATTTGTGTATTAGCGGTAATGTGTAATGTTTTTGCGAGGTATAAAATTATAACTGTTTTTGGTGGATGTGAATGTATTAAGGCCAAATGAAATGTGTTTCGCGTTTCTCATCACTGACCGACCCTAAAAAACGGCCCGACACTTCTTTTCCTTGCGACATTCTACATTCCGTTCCGCATTTTAAGATTTCTATTCCGAAGTTACATTATTTTACGTGACCCGTTTCGACGACCGTCAATGCCGCTCGGAATATTGAAAATTATATGGAAATCTTATTTATGTAAATTGTTTTCAATTAGTATTATACGTTATTTAAGTTGGAGTCGATTTTAAAATGAAATAAAATAATTAGAATTCGACTTTTCTTCAGATTGAATGTGAAGAGAATCAGCGCTATATACATTGAGACGCGCTCTCCATACACATATGCGACTAGCATAGTGCAAAGATTTCAACAATGATTTTGTATAAGTATAGATACGTGCAGAATCACTCCACATATATTCAACCCCAACAAACCCTATCACTGTGTATCACGAGTGTTGACATATGATATCGTGGATAGCTTTGAGCTATGGCCTGTACTTTTTAAGTGTCCTCGAAGCACAGAGTACGTAGATGTACACACACAAAACAGTTTTTATTGACCAATGATATCCTACGAGGCCTTCAATGTGTGTGTGTGTGTGTGTGTGTGGTGTGTGTGTGTGGTGTGTGTGTGTGTCTGTGTGTGCATCTACGCATTCATTTGCGTGAAGACACGTGCATTGTGAGAATACAAATGCCGGTTTTCATAAACAATTCGCTCCTGATATTTGATTGGACTTCTCTAATCATTGAAATCAAGTGGCTGGTCGAATCGTTCAGTCATTTTGCCGACATTTCACCCTGAGCTTGTTTCATAGCTATGTTGCTATACCCTGTAACGCATGTAGGTGTTACCGTATACCCAAATTCGTTCCTCGTTTAGCTAGCTGTTCTACTTAAGACCTTAGAGAATGAGGGAGCGTTCAGCAATGTTCAAGCAATATGGCGGCCGGGGACACTAGAAATATGCTTCACGCATTGTACTCATGCATGTTCGTAATCGGACATGGCGCAGCGAGCGAACCCCATTTACCTCATCTCTAAAACTATATACAATCGAACACCGTTGTGTCGAACTTACGGTTGTCTCGAAGTAAAAGTTTAATTTGGTCCCTGCGTATTCCTTCTTTATTTATCATTTTCGGTAGTGTCGAACCACGGATAACTCGAATTATTGACGGTGGTTCCATCAACTTCGACACAACAGTGTCTGATGTACTTATATCAGACTTAATCACTTACCTCAATATAGTTTAGGTCAGAGGCAAATGGAACCGCTACCGGGTTTCGTTTTCGATCTGAAGTTTAAATAGTTCATAGTTCTAACGGGTTGGCCAGTAGCCTGCAGTCGTGACACATTGCTGAATATAAACGCTCGGAAACTGAGACTATACGGTAACTACAGCCAGCTCGAACACATTCTACCTTATCAATGACAAATGAGAGTTCGTGTTAGGACAGGTGACCCACAAAACAGGTAAAACAAAACACTAAAATTAAAAAACCACATTGTACCTGTACTTACAAAAAATGTTCAAATCGAATCGTTCGTTTTCGCAGCCTGCACATGTAAACATATGGTCTGATTAATCGTTTTCTTAATGAAATTGTAAGGAACGACAAAATATCGGATTTACGAATGAACGGATGTTCATATGGGCATTCTCAATTCAGACTTAAAACAAGGTACTTACAGTAATTCTAAGCGAAACTTTGGCAAGTATTCTCCACGTGAACAATATATGTCGACCAGACGACGCTATACGACAAATATGCTTCTTTACGTTTTATTGACAATCGTTTGGGTCGGAAAGCCGTTTATGACCAACACAGTTTTGCACTTTGATGACAGGCTCCGGGTACTTAATCTCAACATCAAACACACACGGGGTACCGACAGGTGGATATTTGATCATGCGTGAGCCTTTACGTAAATACATGCATTCATGGATAGATCTGCTGTAAGATACCGTGTATAAACGTCATTATTTGGGCGAGGTGTTTAAGGGGATCGTTTTGAAGTTAACATACAACAAAACACCTTCCTTTTCTGTGTGTATAGTGCGGACGTTTAAGAGCGGAATGAAGCTATCATCGTTCTCTCGTGACACTGGGGATGCAGTTTGGGAGATAATGGCCTTACAAGTCAGATAAAGGCAGTTGTCTTTATGTAGAAACTCAAATCTTTCAGATTTTCCTCATTTGGAATGACAGCAGCTTCAACATGAAAAAACATGAGAAAACTCGATCTCTGTCGCGTTTCAATTTGATGAGTGAGTGAGTATGGTTTTACGCCGCTTTTAGCAATATTCCAGCAATATCACGGCGGGGGACACCAGAAATGGGCTTCACACATTGTACCCATGTCGGGATTCGAACCCGGGTCTTCGGCGAGACGAGCGAACGCTTTAACCACTAGGCTACCCGACCGCCCCTCAAATTGATGATGATGATGATCATCATCATCATCATCATTACTAGTAGCAGTAGTGGTGGTAGTAGTAGTAGTAGAAGTAGTAGTAGTAGTAGTAGTAGTAGTACAAGCGCTTTCCTTGTTTTACTGAACGCAATTTGGAAAAATACGTCTGTGGTCTGTCGCGGTAACTTGACTGTATAACGTGCATGTCACGGTGACCCGAGTGCATGGATCGACACTCATGCTTTCGTTCACTGGTTTGCCTTGTTCAGACAGACTGAGTCATTTACAGACTATCTTGATATAGCTGATGCATTCCTTATGAGGGCGATATGCAACATTTGATTTGCAAAGTGGATTGACATTATCTGATATGTACAGCATTATGGTGAGTGAGTTAAATCTTTACGACGTTCGATCCCCGGGCCGCGTCACACCAAAATTTGTTGAAAGGTGGTGCTTGTTGTAACCTTGTCTGGCACTCGGCACAATGATGTGAAACAAGGACAGGTCGGCGTCTGGGTCAATAAACTGTGTCTGAGTGGGATATCCATGTTAAACTGCGGTATGGTATCTCAGTGATTTAGCACTTTACAAACAGCATTAGGTTGGGACAAGTACAAACAGCCATGCGCGCCGCTATATAAATGAAATCTTCACTACCATTGTTGCTACTATTACTACGACCACAACTACCTCTACTGCCACGGTCTATTATCACCACGTCTACTACCGCTGCTACAATCGCCACTGCAACTCCTGCTACTATCACGACCACTACTACTTCATTGTTCTAAGATTACCCCACTACAAGGCATGTCCTGCTGCTACAGTTGCTACAGCTGTAACTTCTTCATCACGTCTTAGTCAGTTACATCATCCGAACAACATCCCCGTCACGAGACCGATAACAACCGGTATTACAAATTCAGCTCGGCCACGTATAGACACAAATACTTATCCTTAGCCAGGGCCGCGCTACTCCGTACACATGCCCCCATCATGCACTTTAGATTTATAGAAGATGATTTTTATTCAAGTGTCACGCATTGTAAAGCATCAACAAGACTAAATATTTCGGGTGGATATGTAAAGTGTCCGGTCAATATGACCCATGAGCCATAAGAGTCTTTACTTGGCATAAAACATGTATAGATAATAAGGAAACAATTAAAATATATTTAAAAAACATTAATACAAACACTCCTACTCACACAACCCAATATACGCACGTCCTTCCTTGAATCCATAAACACATCTCGCATAGTCCCCCCCCCCCCCCCCCCGAAACACACACACATACTCACATACGCACACATATATATACACATATATACACACACATACACGCACATATATATACACGCATACACACACACCGGCCATTCCTCACTATACCCCTAAATCCATCTTACTATATCTGCGTCAACCCTCGTTTATCCGTATACGTGCACACACTCACCCTCCTCTCCCCCAGACTCGCAATTCCAAACTATAGCCCCTACCTCACAGCTAACGCGTCCATTCTGACCGCCGAACACCGCGTATAGATATTTGTGATTCAGTTCAACACACCCAACCCAAGCCCCTTCGACGTACAAGGTAAATATACCTAACTGGATATATTACCCGCAGAGCCAACAGCGAACAAGAGATCAACCACACGTACAAGTAAAATAGCTGACAAATTCGTGTGAAATGTGTGACGAAACAGTATTACCTGAACGTGTGTTCCATGTTGTAAACTGTTGTCAACAGTCCGCTTCCTCACTCCCCGCTATAACACTGAAAGTAGCGACAATTACCGCGAACCGTCACTTCCTTGTTGAGTGAAGAGCCTGCCCACTCAAGTGTACCGTTCTGCGCTGTTTGTTTTGTTTGACTGGCCATGCGTTTGTTCGTAAACTTGCCATCCGGGATAACTATATTTAGAATATGTCTTTACGATTGCTTTACAATAGGTGTGTAAATCGTTGTTACTTCATTACGTTTAGGTGGGTATATATGGTACAGAACCCGTAAATCTCCGTGTCAGAAGTGGTCTCCAGCAACCCATACTTGTAGTAAGAGGCGACTAACGGGATCGGGTGATCAGGCTCGCTGACTTGGATGATGCTCATGGTGTCAATCACTGGATTGTCTGGTCCAGACTCTATTATATACAGACCGTCGCCATATAGCTGGAATAGTGCTGTGTGCGGCGTTACACAACAAACAAACTAACTAAAATCAGTAAACAACTTCAACTCGCCTAAGTGTCGACTTGTCATATTGACACTAAAATCTAAAAACATAATTATATTCAATTTTCATTTGTCAATGTCTTAAAGAGTATGTATGTATGTATGTATGTATGTAAGTGAATGAGTGAGTGAGTGAGTTAAAATTTTAAGTCACATGACTATTATGTATGTTCATTCGTTCGTTCGTTCATTTATTTATTCATGTAATATACTACTTACTCTATTGCAAAAGGAAAATCACACGTAATAACCGGTTATCATGCTGTTATTATCCGGTATCACATGCTTTGGAGGGGACGTGGGTGGACTTGTCGTCACAGTGCAGTGCTGCATCCTTTAGGCGTCCCTGAAACCTATGATCGTGGGTTCGAATTCCCTCTTCGTCCTATATACATTTCTAGGTTTGTCAGCACCATACCCGTGCTCGTGGATCTCACCGAAGCAATGAAGGTCCAAGACATGCATCACCTCGCGCTTTCCTCCAACATGAAGCTGACACGCCGTGATAAAACTGGAATACTGTTCCAATTGGCGTTAAACCAAACTCACTTCGACATGAATTGGATGTATACGTTCTATATAACATTCTAGTCAATGGGTGCCGCCTCCGCGGTCTACTGGTAGAGCGTCTGCGCGGAAAGCGGAATTTTGGGGGTTCAATCACCGGCCGCGTGATACCAAAAGACGTTAGAGGATTGCACTTGTTGGTACCCTGCCTCCCTCACACGAACACACACACACGCACGCACGCACGCACGCACGCGTGCCTCAACGCTATATATGTGCATCAATCTTGAATGCGACGTTAAATCTCATTACACCTCATCTCTAGTCAATGAGTATTTTTTGTCAATATTGAAACCATATTTTTACAAATATATTTAATATATTTAGAAAATTATAAACAGAACCCATCCGTATATGTACACAGTGGGCAAATAAAAACTCTTTCCTTTCAGTTGATTTTTTCACATGTCTGATTTTTTATTAAAAATATTTTAAGTTCGCTATATTATATCCTCAAAATGACAGCGCCGAATATTTTTTTATATATATTTACGAAATCGCAGATTCATTGACAAACATTACTAATTTTCATTTGAGATAAAAAAGACACCGGTTAGTTTCACCAAGCTAATCATCGACAGGCCTCCATGATCTCAACCAAGGAAAATTGGTCAAAGTTTCACAAATTAATTAATTTTCTTATGACACATGCGTTATGTTAGATATACATGTATGGTGTAGTGAGAAATTATATAACTTGTGACATAAGGGAATATTTCAAACTGACGGTTCCAAACTTAAAACTGCCAAGGGTCAATTTGATAGCGTGCTTCGGACATTATTCAGGGTCAGTATTTCTTGTTTTGCCGGTCAGATAGAGACTTACGCAAATAAATTTAAATTGTTAATATCTTTATCTGTATTAATGGCTATGTCCGTCATCAAAACTCACGAAATCTCACGTTCCACATATAGATTCGTGCCGTACAAGTAACTGGTCAGATATTCCTCTTCACAGAATATCATCAATACCTCGGTCAAATCAAATAATATAATTCTGTCAACAATTTTCTCGTCATTTTGATAAGAGAATACGATTATCTGGAGGTGCTAAAATAGGTATAAATACGGACGACAGTCAGGCACACATCACTCTGTGGCTGACTAATAAATAATAGCGACAGAACCCTTTCCATATTTCTAAGAAATCTCTACCAAAAGCAGAGTCGATTGTATGATCCCTACTATCTCATGAGCATGTGTTTATGAATCACTATGAAATACCGATGCTACCAGGTGTTCTCGGAAGGTGAGCGTTTCCTTTCCCACCGGTGGCAGCCGTCACAAACACATGCAAAGGCAAGTCAATTGTTCACCTGAAAAAACACGTCAACATATGGTACAAGTCAAAAGAGGGAATTGCATCGGACATACTTTTTGTCACTGATGCGTCAACTTTGGAAATGTCCTCCACATGTCTACCATATCAGCTTTACTGCGGCCTTGAATGTTGTAACCTTGATCATACAACTTCTGAGCAAGAATCGTATGACGCTCTTTGAAATCTTAGAAAGCATGCTCGATTGTACGGAAACCTCAAAAGTTGTGAAATGCATCAACACCAAATGGTGGGGCTGCAGGAATATTGCTCGACATATAGGGAAAGTTGACCAATGGAAAGTTGTCACATAGTCTCGTGGAGAGCGGTTTCCCTAGCCCTATTACAAAGTATGCGCGATGAAAAGATCACCCGTTTAATAAACATACAGCTGTATTACACATTGTGTAATACCAAAACGCGTGCTTATGTACTCTCGGAACACGTTTCACGAACAAATATTGAAAGCTCTCAACATACCTTGGCTTATTCAAAGACATTGTGTGTGGAGATAATGGATCACTGAGAGGAGCTTATGCACACTCGATGACCCCAGCAACCTTGTTGCTAGGCTGACGTCACATGGCATTGTTTCGCCGAAGGAACTTGCAACAAAATTCCACAAATTACGTCATCGGGTATTGTGACGTGATTGTAAACTTTGAGGTGCAAGGCCCCGTTCCACAAGGCGATCCTACTGTAGCGCAACGACAGTCGTTGGTCTAAGTTAAAGTATGTGAGTTGCGATAACCTTAACGCTACGATAATTTTGTGGAACGGACGCCTGAAAATTCTAAAGGTGGACCGTTGTATGGTATTAAATTCATACGTTTAAACTTTTGACGTGTTTGAAGTATTACTCAACTCAATCGGATTATGCCGTGGATCGTGTGGGTGTCAGCCTATTCACACTCGAGAGGATAATTCTAAAAACGTTATAAATGGCAAGTAATAAATAAAATACTAAACTCGCTCTCGTGTAAAACCAATTTTATGAAACGAGTGAATAGTTGTGGTATCTGACTCGCTTTCGCTCGTCAGATACCGCAACTATTCACTCGTTTCATAAAATTGGTATTACACGGAAGCTCGTTTAGTATTCTGTATTTATGAAATATAATAAAAATAGGCCAAAAAACTTCTAAACATTGTATATACAGATGGGCTGTATTGGATATACTTTTTTCAGGGTCTGTATGACAGACTAGGAGATATACGACGGATAGCGGATCTAACTGCAGTTCTAGTTTTAACCGAGCCCAGGCTGGGGCATGGTCTTGACATTCCAGCAACAACTGAGCAATGGATCCAGGTAGATTTCAAGATGGACATACCTTGTAATATAGTGCTGTTTTGACCGATTCTGAGGCGTGAGATGGCTTCCTCAAGTTTCCTTTCATTTGAGAATGACTATATTTTTTTTGTAGATTTTGGATTGACTTTTGTATAGCCAAATGGTTGTGTATTCCTATATACAAGAAGAAAAACACACAGTTGTATATCTGATACACTGCTGCAGGATTGTTTGTTTGTTTGTATGTTTGTTGCACTCAGCAATATTCAAGCTATATGACGGCGGTCTGTAAATAATCGAGTCGTGATTGGTATCATGACCATCGATCCACGCAACTGGGATACAATGACATGCATCAACCAAGTCAGCGAGGCTGACCACCCGATCCCGGTAGTCGCCTCTTACAGCAAGCATTTGGTTGCTGAAGACGTGTTCTCTTCCCGGATCTTCACGGGTCGATATAATGGATGGTTATGCTTCAGTACGTATTTTGGACTGGAGGCCAAACACTGAATAAAACTGACTATCTGATACTCCAGGTTGGATAAGAGAAGAGTCAAGATTTATTTTTCTGTAGGGAACAGTTTCATGAGGCAGGGTACAAACCATCTACATTTGGGAGAATCAATAGCTGAAACTAAACCAACAGAGTGGTCAGTGTAATCTACATGTACTTGAACTTAATACCCTGCAAGAGGTGGTTTTCTTTGCGGTATATTGGTATATTCCATCCAAGAAGTCACTTTGAAAGAATTATCTCACATTTTGGCGCTGTCAAAACAATGTGTGTGTATAACGGTGTCGTCCTTCACACACACACACACACACACACACACACACACACACACACACACACACTATTATTTATGTGTCACATGTTGTATGTGTGCACATTAGACATAAAACACGTGCATAAAATACATACAACATCTGGCCGATGAGACACAATGGACAATGAAAAACATTATTTATATAAAAGAATTATAACTTATAGGATTGCAAAACCCGATAAAATTGAATTATAATTTTAAGTAAGGAAATGTTGCCTACGTGCAAACATTTTTGAAATAAGTGCGGCAAGAGGTTTTATATACGTGTTACAGTTCATTAAGGACACTGTCTGATCCACAGGAATGAAATAAATATAATAATTCTCGACCATAAATCATATCTTAAGTCAGAATAAAATGGACAGTTAATGAGAAAATGTATCTCATCTTCTACAGCTTTATTATTTCATAATTTACAAGTCCTATCTTGTAAAGGGTTCAGCAGACAGCGAGTGTTTGAACAATCGTTAAGTACGAAGCTTATTTCCAATTTGTAAACCTCTATCATTCCACAATTCTGAATACTAATTATGCTCATCTAACGCTAATAGACCATTTTGTAGACCATTTACTAATCCAACAAAGAAGTCTATTGGGATCGACCGCTTGAATTCGCCGCCAAAAACAAAATATTTCAATATGCTGTTTTGTAAATGGGCTTGTCCATCCCAATTCGCTACGGACTGATAGATTTGGAGTTTTGTTATTAACCGCAAGGAAGAAACGAGCAGCTCTGTTTTGAACAGAATTAATACAGCTGAATTGCTTGAAGACCCAGATAGCCGAACCGTACGAAAGTATAGGCTGAACAAGATTATCATACAGTTTGTTAAAAACTGAACATCACATACCACCCGCCAATTTAAATTTACAGATAAGAACACCAAGAGCTCTATTTGCTGATTTTGCCAATTCCTTAACATAATAAGTTATATCCAAATGCTCATGAAGCCAACATCCTAAATATGTAAAGGCAGTAATAATGTCAATGTGAGAAGAGCCAATAGTAAAGAAAAATTCCTATCTATTAACAGATGGGGGCCTGAAATGAACAACCTAAGTTTTTTTCACATTTACTTTTAAACGCCATTGTGCTGACCAGGATATTTCGTCGGGAGCAATCAAAGCTCCCTCGTCCGCGTACAGTAAAATACTTAACATATTATCGTCTACCTGAATACGACATTTAAGTTTATTAATTTCCTCTGCGAGATCGTTAATAAATACCGAAAACAATGTCGGAGATAACACACATCCTTGTCTAACTCCACAAGTTACTGGAAACGGATCTGTTAAGCAAGTATTTATCCTTACACGTGACCAGGTGTTATCATACATTGCTTGTACAGCATGAAGAAATCTACCACTGACACCAAGCCGACGAAGTTTATACCATAAACACGAACGATTCACTTTGTCAAACGCCTTCATCGCGTCAATGAAACAAACATATGTGGATTGTCTCTAGACAACTTTCTATTATTGATAACGGAAAATATACTAAATATATGTTCTTGAGTACTTCGCTTCCAGAAATGTAAGTCTGTAAGAAACCCAAAGTTAAGTAACTGTTCCCTGGATATGCCTTCTTGCCTTCATCGACGCTAACGGGGCATAGGCCAGATATTGAATTTACTAGTAATAAGATTGAATTACACAACGTTATTTCTTCACCTATGATTTCTGAATAAATCTGGGGTTCCCTTAAATATTGTTCCTAGTATATTTAGACAATGGTAAAGGGAATGTGTTGTTCAAGATTGGCAAGGATTAGTCATCTAAAACTCTGTGTTTGCTTTAGAGTCTTTGTTGGAATGAATTCACGATGCCACGAATACACTATGTCCTTATGTCAAATGTAGCAAATGTTACACTTGGGATTACATTCTCTTTGTAAGCACAAATTCTAGTACTTTTTGAGTTGAGTCCTAGAATCTATACTTTCGCCGGTTCTCATGACTGGGAATCCCAATCCGGTTAATGAGGATTTCTTTATTACTTTATATAATCCATACAACAAACACATATTTATAAAATATATTTTATTGTAAAATCTCAATAAAAATAAATCTCACAAAATGATATCGGAAATACAAATAAAAAAAATATTTGTAAATGCATGTATTGCATTGGGATTTCCATCGAACGTTAAAAACACATATATTCGACAATACTCTAAACACCTGTGTGCTTCAGTCTGTACATATTACTCAAGATCGGACCACATTTTACAGAGCCAGTTTCACTAAGTTTCACTAAGTTTCACTTTGTAAAATTAGACATTTCATGACGGTTATAACTCACTGTTTGACTGTAATAAACAGCATTAACAGTCACAAATTGTACATAAAACTATGGCAACATGTATTAATAATATTATACAAAGAGGTCACGCTGGTATGCACAATACTGATACATAACACCGTTGTGGTACTTGTGTTACATTAACTGTGGTGTCTGAGATCGGACGCAGGTAAACCCGTGTTTTAAACGAATCTTGCCATGGGCATGTCATTGCAGAAATCACCGTCGCAGAAGCACCACATTTCTTCCCGGATCATGTGACATCCAGAACGAGGCAAGGGACGGGCTTCCGGCATCCAGAATCCTGCTGCGCAGCCGCGGAAAATCACTGCAATGGAAACAGAGGCATTAATATCAGTCCTTATGTGGTGAGAGTTGATTTCAGTTGCATCACAGCGTGTTTGCTTAGTGTGTGTTTGTTTGTTTGTTTGTTTGTTTGTTTCTTTAATTTGTTTGTTGGTAAGCGCCAGCAATGTTCCAGCTATATGACGGCGATGTGTAAATAATCGAGTCTGGGACAGGTAATCCAGTGATTGACATCATGGGTATCAATCTACGCCATTGGGATACGATGAGATTCATCACCCAAGTAAGCGAGCCTGACCACCCGATCCCATTAATCGCCTCTTACGACAAGCATAGTCTCCTTTTACGACAACCATGGGTTGCTGAAGACCGATGCTACCCCAGATGTTCACGGGGTCGGGTTAATGTTAAGGCCCACATGACGCAGATGTCATGAACGTCACCCTGCACAGTGAACTGATGCACCTTTGACCTCTGTCCATCTGTGTTTGTTTGTTTGTTTCTTTGTTGTGTAACGCTGGCTGTTCCAACTTAGCGAAAGCGGCCTGTACATAAACGCGTAAGAACCAGATAATCCAGTGATTGATATGATGAGCACACTGGAAGTACTTCCTGTAATGGCTGTATGACTGGAATATACTTGGTGGATACAGAAGATGAAGAAGAAGTAATATTGGCAGCCGTAACGGAAACAGTTAGTGGTTATCGCTGTAGCAGTGTCTGGCCTGGAACAGGAGACCCGTGAAGATCCAGGGTAGAATAGGTCTTCAGCAACCCATTCTTGCTGTAAAAGGCGACTGTGCTTGTCGTAAAAGGCGACTGATGGGATCGGGGGTCAGACTCGCTGACTTGATTGATGCATGTCATCGTATCCCAATTGCGTGGATCGATGCTCACGGTGTCAGTCACTAGATTGTCTGGTCCAGATTTAATTATTTACAGACCGCCGCCATATAGCTTGAATATCCTTGAGTGCGGCGTTAAACAACAAACGAACCTTGAACAGGATGACATGAATATGATGCTTACCTCCCTTATTCCATTTGTTGGTCTTAGCAAAGCACCGGTCCATGCAGGTAGTCTTGCCGACGAGGTTGGTGGCGATGTGACCGTCGATGGTGCATTGCGTGTTTCTGCTGCTGCTGTAGCCACTGTTGCAGTCGAAGCAGGTGATGGGAAGCTTGGGCGTGGTCACTGAAAGAAGACACAAATGTCCATAACTTGTGTCAGATAAAAACATTAATGCATCAGGAGTTTCTATATCTAAATCGCTCTCTGCTGGGTGTAGCCGAGTGGTTAAAGTGTTCTATTCTCCACGTGGGTGCACCGTGTAAATTCTATTATTGGTGTCCCCCTCCATACTATAGCAGGAAGACTGACTACAGTGGCGTAAAACCTACTCACTCACTCGTAGCCTATCTCAAGAAACGGAAAAAACAGCACTGAAGGGACGCATTCAAGAACCTCCGATCACGAAGAGTTACTGTGTCGTTACATGGGTCACAGAAAGCCAAACCAGTGAACAATAGTGTGAGCATCAAATTATGCTTTTCTGTTGAGATGCTTCAGCTACTCTCCCACAACTAACAGTTATATTTAACCATACCTTGTGTTAACTCGCGAATACCCCTGGTTGCCCAACGTTCTACTGCTGTTTTTTGGAGGTTACTGATCAGGTGGATCGGGTGGTCAGGCTTACAAGCTGATTGTGTGTCACCGTGCCCAGATGACGTGGGTCATTGATCATATTTTAATATTATGCTCATTATAATAATTATTGTATCCCTATTGAAAGTTGATGTGTATATATTTGCTTTCAATAGATTTCAGACACTACGAACTCACCTGTCTGGTTCTGGTGTGAAGACACAGACGCTGCGACAGACGTGGAGGCGGGTGAGGTAGTCGTGGAGTTTGGTGTATTGGTTGTGGAAGCTGGTGTAGTGGATGTGGAGGTTGGTGTAGTGGATGTGGGGGAGCTGGAGTGTGCAGTAGGGACAGCGGGGATGGTTGTCGTTTCCATGGTGGTCGGCTGTGCCAGAGAACAATTGAACAGTCTCCTGACAACGTACGTGGATGCGTTGAAGTAATCCGTAACGATGGCAACTGGGACTTGTCCACAGGCTGCAACCTTTTCCGTTACGCAGAGGGAAACGCGGTCCAAATATCTAATTTAAAGAAAAGAATATTTATATTACATTTGTAATAATGTAACATGACCCAGAAAAAGCATCCTAAGTGTGTCATTTGGCAGCGTATTTGTTGCAGAGAAGCTGGCTATATCCAATAAACACCATTACGTCCTTATTCTTATTTGACGGGCTCGATTTATTTGCCTTTCAGCTTTTAATCAATTTAATTTCCATCCATATATGATACGAAGGTTATCAATTTGTTTATTTTGTCATATTACGACATGTCCTCTTTTCGGATCTATTTCTACAATAAACATCTTTATTCTACAGCAAACATTTTTAGTCTACGGTAACCTGGACATCTTCCCGAGGCAAGTGAGTTAACTGACTATAAAAGTCCAGTTTCCACCCTTGCCGAACTAGGCTGGTATTATGGAGTAACATTTTGGCTGGACTAACGAGTCTATGCATAGTCCAATCAAAATCGCGCACCGAAATCGAAATCCGGTTCGTAAACTGTCAAGCACTTTTCGGTCGATTGCATGATTTGCAAAGCATGTGCACCGCTAACTCGTTGTCAACAGATATTTTCCAAATCTTTTCATGCTTTTAATGAAGGTGCTCACGTGATTTGATGCATTTCGCGATGTGAGACTCGTTTTATCACAATATAGATCTTGATTATCGATCAGATCGTCTTGACTGGGCACCGCCGTTTTGTTTGATGCAAATGCAAGTGATACGTGAGGTGCAATCTGATTGGTTCGTAGGAGAGGCATAGAAGGGACATAACTCGTAATAGCCACTGGTGGAGCTCCGGTCGAGCCCAGGAATTCCAGCCTCGTTCGGCAAGGGTGGAAACTGGACTTTTGAAGTCAGTTAACACTCTTGCCTCGGGAAGATGTAACCTGGACAACAGCGAATATAAGTGTGGTTGTGCGTAACGGAGTACACGTGTGTCGAGCGTAGCGGTGGAAATTCCGCCAGGTCCATCGTCTTAAACGACACATCAAGATGATGGAATACGAGTTTTTTAGGTTTCAATAGACATAAAGTTACTATTTGCATGACACGAAACATGCCGGTTTAAAAATTGCAGTGCCAGTGATTCTTGCAGCGACGACTTCCAGAAACCTGACCCTAGCGGCATCATACTGCGTGCTTACCTGCATAAGCCATCTTGTGATCCATTGGCCAGCGAGGCACTGAACTCGTTGATACAGGAAGTCCACGTGGCCTGGAGGTCGGTTCTCTCCCAGCAGTCGTCGTATTCAATAATAGCTGAAAACACCAAACCAATCACGGTCATAACTGTCTCCGATGAGCGTGCAGATGACCTCGTTAAAATAAAAATGGCACAGTTAAAATAAGTCCAAAGTGCCTGAAGGTCACACATAAAAACATATATTTTTAATAAAAATACCTTTAACGATGTTTAATTTTATTTTAGTGGTAAATTTACTTCCACACAATTAACTGGACACATACACGAAAATGAATATTCGGACAGGCTCAAAGCGTAGCATGATTCCAAAATATACCTGGTGATTCGGGTAATCACTCTCAGTTGAAAGTTCGGAAGTAAACTACAGCTGGGTTGACCGAGTTCGAAGATAAAAAATATTCTTGTGTTTGGCACACTTAAGTATAAATTTCAAATAATGAGTGTCTCGTGGATCATTTGACAATAAAAACATTTCTGTCCCTGCTCAGGATGATAATAGTAACAATGAATAATAATTATCATAATAGACTACTTAAAGAGGGCAAGACACCACCGAAGCAGAGGCTCAAAGCGCCCGACATTGTAAGTTTGACCTCGGTCAACGGAATAAAGATGACCCAACACCAATACGGCATATACTTACCACTGTAACCTTTCCCACAGGCGTACTCGAAGGAAGAGAAGACACTATTTTCTACAGCAGGAATTTCACATGGGTCAGATAGAGCGGCCATGCACTGGCGAAAACTTTCAAACAAGCTGAAAAAATTGAAACATCCCGATGAACTCATTTTCTTAAAGGGTTGCAGGTGATGTTGCATTTTAGGAGTGTTTGTGTGTGTGTGTGTGTGTGTGTGTGTGTGTGTGTGAGAGAGAGATAGAGGGGGGGGGGGGGGGGGGGGGGATTGATGCCGCACACAGCAATATTGCAGCTATATGACGGTGACCTGTTAATAAGCCTGGACTAGAAAATCCAGTAATTGATATTATGAGCAACGATCAACAACTTGATGACCCGATATCACGGCCTTTGTTCTACCCACAATATACAATGAAACCCCGTTAATTCCGAACCCCTGCCTTCTGAAGGATTAACGTTTGTTAATCTGGACATGTAGTACTCCAGATTTAAAGTATCATTGTCTTACATGGAAATAATTCTTTTACTCCAATTCAACACCTCTTTCCATTGATAGCCTTTTTTAAAATCATATCTTTTACCGCCATTCGATGACACCTCTTTCCGAAGATAATCCCTTTTAATTCAGACCTTTCACACGAATTTTACACCTCTTCCTGCAGAGAATCTCTTTAAAATCCGATCTTTTACTCCAATTCGATACTTCTTTCGGTATGGAAAAATCGTTAAAATCAGAGAATACGAATACAAATAAAGGATCCGATTTTAAGAATTTTTTGGTTGTCAGTGACTTCCTTCATTTGTACTCACGGGCACGCGTCTGTGTAGATGGTGAGGGAGAAGTTGCCGGCCATCAATGCAGTTGGCATTCGTGAAATTGGCACATTCAGCAGATCCTTGCACTCACGACCACATTGTCCTGGAAGAATACATAGCCTAGTTAGAATGCAAACTTCTACTGAGGAATATTCCTTCGAAATAACCTTTCACCACAAATCATCAACGGTATCTTGAACAGACAAACAAGCGCTTGGTAGCTGGCTGTTCTCGCCGACGAGTGTGATGACACACAGCCAGAAGACATGTCGACCCTTAGTTTGATTGGCTCTGGAACCGATTCTGCCATTTTCTTTAAAACAATAATAATAATCATAATAACACTTCATAATTCACAGTGGAATTGAAACCACTTTTAGTCTTTGGGTTTGAGTCCTTAACAAATCGAAGAAAAAGTCATTAATGAAGTGGAGTAACGGTGCCCCAGTCTTCTAAAGTTGCGTCCCTTAAACATGTCAAATTCGTATGATCATTGGTTCGAATCCAGATTCGCCATATGATTCTAAGTTTGTCAGCACCATTCCTGTACTCGTGGTTTTCACCGAAGTGGTTAACGGCTAACACCCACATCCCTCCCCATCACACTCACATGCCATCATATGACTGAAATCTTGTCGGAGCGACGTCAAACAAAATTCACTCACTCACTCATTCATAGCTCGTGAATGACTCCAGATTCAATCGGTCCCCACATGAGCAGAGGATGCTTACCTGTACCAGTGGCGCCCCCGGTTACTATTTGCGGTGTTGGGGTAACACGTGTTGTTGTGTTGAATGTTGGTTTAGTTGTTGTTGAGGTAAGAAACGTTGGTAGGACAGTGGAGATGTCGACGTCACAGGGGAAAGTCTCCTTCAGTGGCTTCAGTAGGGTATCAACTAAATCGTTGATGACGTCTTTGGCAGAGGAGGTACAGCCGGAAATGACGTCAGATACACACTTTTTGTAGTTCGTGGTATAGCTGATAAAGGGCAAGGTCATACTGTTTGTAATTGTTCATTTTTTTAGTTTTGTACTTTTTAATATTCACTTTACGATGAAAAGAAAAGATCACATTTCGTTTGTTTGTGAGTTAAAAAGTCGGAATTGTGGATGATTGATTTCTGATGAACTATTATTGAAAGGCCTTTGGCAGCCTCGAAATTTCAACGTTAGTTCTATCGAAACAAACAACCGTTATGTCCCGGTGCCACGTACCTGCATACTCCTGAAGTTGATGCTGTATAAGCACAACTCTGCATCCCCTGTGCAACGCTGGGTTGTGATATACAGGGGATTGTACTGCTCAGTGCTGTAACACAAATGATCAGTTTCCAAATTAAAATATAATCATTCCAAATTTGGGGCACATTTTCCCTAGGAACACTGCACAGATAATCTCAGACAATTCAATGCAGCAAGGCAGCCCAAGCCACCGAGGCAATTAAATATTATCGAATACAATTCAATACAATTGAATGCATTCCAGTTAAATCGAATGCAATCCTTAGAAATGCGCATCTGGAAATACGCTTGAATTGACAGTCATTTCTACTCTTTGAAACTTTTTAAAATCGGCCATGATGCTTTGTAACGATTAAGCGGCCGGGTCTTGCGTTACACGGATAACAGTGTTATCATGCCATATCACCACGCCACTGTTTCGCGAGGTGTTATATGGGTAACGGGAAAAGCCGATAGGACTCGAACAGTACCTTCTTTGTCGGCGGAGCAGATAAAGTCGAAAGCAGAAACCATTATATCACGAGAGAGCATCAAGTCCTTGCGACATCCCAAGGTTACCGACCAAACACATTGTTTGTATTTCCTGTAGTGAACACTGAAACATTGATGAATGAATCACGAATAACGGAATGTTGATTAGACACTTTACTGAGTGAGTTAGTGGGGTGGGTTTGGACGCCGGTTTGAAGTGTTTCGGTTCTATCTGGGAAGGGCAGGTTAATGTTGGCTAGAAGTACCACTCCGTGGTCTAGTGGTAGAGGGTCCATCTGGAGAGCGGAAGGTCCGGGATTCTATTCCCGGTCGCGTCATACCAAAAGATGTTAAAAGATGGTACTTGTTGTTACCCTGTCTGGCGCTCGGGATTAAGGGGCTAAGACAAGGACTGGTCGGCTCGGAGTCAGTATACTGTGTCTGAGTGGGGTATTCATGTAAAACTGCGGCATGGTATTTCAGTGAGCTAGCACCATAAATTGGCATCAGTCCGGACTAGTACAAGCAGCAATAAACACACACACATGCATGCACGTCGCTATGTAAGTGCAATAATCTTGGACGCGACGTTAGCCCCATTTTACCTCACCTTAAAAGCACAAAATAACCCTGGTTGTTGTCGTTTATGACGTTGGTGAGTGAGTGAGTTTGATTTAAAGCCGCCTTGAGCAGTATTTCACTATATACAACGGCGTGTTGTCTTGATGTAATAATGGTATTACACGTTTACCACATTGGTTGAAACCCAAATACGAGCATGGTGCTGACAAACCAAGAAATATAAACAGGTCGAACCGGGATTCGAACCCACTATCATAGGTTCCTTGCATGCCCAAGGGACGCAACTCTGCACAGCAATTGCGGCGCAGTAGATGATTGCAAAAGGCAGACATTTACTTGCCGGGGTAAAAAGTCAGTAAGAAGGTTCAAGGATATTTAAGATGGAGTCAACTGTACCTGCACAGGGTGTCCAGATGTGAGAAGTTAAAGCTTCTGGTGAGCATCATGTCGGGAATAACGTTTGCCATCCACACCTGTAGATCCTGGTTCAGCTCCGCGCTGCACATGGTGAAGGCTGGCAGGTTACACACATCACTTGGAGCTGAAAAAGCCAATACATTTGAACTACGTTTAACAAACCGTTTGACACGCTATTTTGTAGCAATTGTTTAGTTTAAATAAGCTCAGGTGCTAACTCCGAGGTTAAAACGGTTAGTTTTGTTGATTAACACAATACGACGGCGGCTTGTAAATAATCGAGTCTGGACCAGACAATCCAGTGATCAGTGATTAATATTGTGAAGACCCATGCCGTCGGGGTACGATAACCTGAGCCTGACCACCCAATCCGTTAAGTTGCCTCTTGCGACCAGCATTTGTTCCTGGGGACTTGTTCTAACCCGGAATCACCACGGTGGCAATACAGTTGGTAAACGTCATTTATTTTATACTAGTTAATGATCTTAACTCACTGCTTGTCACTTCTGGTTCGGGTTCAGAAGAAACTGTTTCTCCCGTTATCTCCGGTTCGGGTTCAGAAGAAACTGTTTCTCCCGTTATCTCCGGTTCGGGTTCAGAGGTTACAGAAGTACCGCTGTCATTATGACAAGGATATAAGTCAAACATTGGCTGCAGACTATGAGCAATGACATCACTTAAAGCAGCATTTGAAGACACGGTACAAACGTCGGAGGTAACGTCAGATATGCACTTCTGCCAAGTGTAAGCTGGGCTGAAAGAGAGGAAAATGTTAAGAATATAAAAAATTGTTTACATTTGAAGCAAATATTGATGTATTCTTTATCAATTTCGATCGCCAAAGGATTCTGTTGACACTATATCTATAAGTGACCATGCATATTTATCTTCAAATTTTTTTTCTTTTCTTTTATAAAGACAACTCAGCAAGGGGAAAAAGATTCAATTTCCGATGAATAATTTCGAGCTGTTATCCAAACTATCCCCACAACATAATCATAATTGATTATAACATTTTACGTGAGGTGTGAAATAATAGAATGTAAACATAAACTTCTTTTTATGAGTCACATCATGTTGGGGACCCGTGAAGATCCGGGGTAGAATAGGTCTTCAGCAAACCATGCTTGCCGTAAAAGGCGACTATGCTTGTCGTAAAAGGCGACTAACGGGATCGGGTGGTCAGGCTCGCTGACTTGGTTGATGCATGTCATTGTATCCCAATTTCGTGGATCGATGCTCATGCTATCAATCACTGGATCGTCTGGTCAAGACTCGATTATTTACAGACCGCCTTCATATAGCTGGAAAATTGCTGAGTGTGGCGTTAAACAACAAACAAACAAAAAAACCACTTCATATTGGGGACGTTTGTTCCTCACACAACTTTGCTTGGTTATGTATGTCAACGAGTTAACTTACTGGCACGGTTCGGTTGACGCTAGGGCAGCCTCGTTGCATCCCATGACTGCAGGCGCGACTGTCGGCACTGATAGACACTCTAGCGCACTCCGTACCACTGAAAATTATAGGCTTGTTAGAACTCAAGTTGCTATCGTAGAGTGACTATTAGAAGGATCGGATGGCCATCATGCCCGTTACTGTCTCGGACAGCCGTGTTGTGTTTTCTAACCCGATTGTACGGGTCATTGCTCACTGTTTAGTACTACTGGGCGAGTTTAGGTGGCGTTATGGTTAAGGCGTCTTCGAGTTCAATACGGGTACATGAATTATAGAGTGTAGGTATTAATAATATGTTTTATATACGTTAATTGTGTATATGTTAGGACAGTGGAGTAGCACAGTCGTTAGAGCGTTGGCTCGTCACACCGAATATCTGTCTTCTTATACCATACATGGATGAAATGTGAGTACCTTATTCTTGGTGACCTCAGCCATGATATGGCCGGAATATTGCTAAAAGCGGCGTTAAACTCATCTCACTCTCACTCACTTAACCTCGTTATAACGGTAATCTGCCATAGTATGAAGGGCATATTTCTGTCTATGTCTCTCCCAGAATGTTCTTATCCGTGGAAACCTATTGGTTGACTCTAACGACATTGCGAGGCATTGCGAGGGGGGACTCTAACGGCATTGCGAGGGGGTAATGTTTCACTGCGCTTCAAGCAATATCACTCAATAGGCCTAACGCAGCAAGAGCCACCAGTCACGCGTTGTACTTGCCGGAGCTCAAACGCGGTCTGTGTGACGAAGACAAAACTCCTAGCACTAGGCTATCCATAATACACCGATTCAACGCACAAAGAAACGAGTGATTTCAGGTAGGTTTTTTTTAAATAATAATTAAATAACACAATTAAAGATTGTTTATTTTGAAGTTAGCTTTGTGTTTAGGTGCCACTCACCCGTTTCACGGCTGTGACAGATGTACTCCGCGGCAGCGCTGGTCATCTCGTAGGTAATATAGCTCCACGCAGGGCAGCCGACGAGGGCTGGAGTGACGCAGGGCAGGTAGGTGAGGGTGTACTCACTGAAACGCAGAAATATCAGTTTTACATTTTCACAGAAAATATCAGTTACAGGGAAATATCAGGGCATATTTCAGAAAGAAACTACGACAGAAAATACATCAGCTCAGAAAATATCAGTTTAACACTATCAAGGAAAATACCAGATTCATAATATATCACTAAATATCAGATAAACATTATCTCAGAAATTATCAGATTCATAATATCTAAGAGATGTCAGTATCATAGAATCTCAGAGAACATACTAAATAATCATGGCTGATTCTCACTTTTAATAAAGCAAGGCCCCGATTTTCGTAAAATTCGGTAAATAACACAAATTACACCATACTTATATTACAAATAGAAATCCTTTAAAAAAAAAGGTTTCTTGGATCTATTGTTCGTAAAAGTATGTATATGTATATACTACAAATAATAATGATAATAAAAATAATGTGAGATGAGCGAGTAATAATTAATATGACTGTCTGAACTCTGGTTCCTCAATATTGATGAGAACTCTTACTGTTATATTAACCCTAGTCATAATCTGTATACCGTTATGGTCTGTTTTTGTTGTGTTTATTTACCTGCACAGCTGGCTGACGAAGGACAAGTTTGTGTTTGCGACGCTGATATTCTGTGCCAGATGGGGCAACGCCACCCTCATAATCTCTTGACTGAAGTTGGCGAAACATTCTGCGCTCCTCACAGGGTTGCACGTCAACGGAGCACCTGGAAAACACAATCGTCGACTAGAGGTTACTATGGCAACATGCTACTTCGCCGGCAATCGGTTTCATACCAGGGGAGAATATGTAGAAATGGATGAATAGGTGTAGTGTGTTTGTTTGTTTGTTATGCGCCAGTCAGCAATATTCTGGTTGTATAGTGTTCTCCTTGACTACACAGACAAGTAGTTGATGACATGAGCAACGGCAGACGCATTATCAAAATCACACTACGTAACTTTTTCTAATTTAATCGGATTAAATGATAAATTTCTATAAGAACACAAGTGAATGTTCGTCACTATGAGCTTGGAAGTGGACGCGCATTCAGTGCGACACGCCACCCGTGAAGATCCGGGTTAGAATAGGTCTTCAGCAACCCATGCTTGTCATAAGAGGCGACTATGATTTGTCGTAAGAGGCGACGGGTGGTGAGGCTCGCTGACTTAGTTGATGCATATCAAGCATTTTATCGAAATAATGTGTTTTTTCTCGCTACTTCGATTATTTTCTCGTTATTTCAATTATTTTCTCGAAATAAAACAATTATCTTGAAATAACGAGAAATTAATCGAAAGAACGAGAAAAAACTCGTAATGTCAAAAACATGCTTGAAATAACGAGAGAAAAAATCTGAATTCGAGTTTCTTAAATAAACTTGAAAAAAACCCCGAGAAAATAATCGAAATAACGACAAAAAATAGAAATGTCAAGTTTTCGAAATAATTTTGAAATAACGAGAAAATATATAAAATGTAAATATAACCATTCTGAGTGAGTACGTGTCTTCATGGAACGATACACGTTATGAATCACAATGAGACTGACTACCCGATCCATTTAGTCACCTCTCACTACCAACACAGGTTGCTTTGGACCAATTCGAACCAGAACCCCATGTTCACAAAGATACATTTTGTATATCATGATATTATAATATTTGAATATCATAATGGTTACATAAAATATAATAATCATATAATAATATTATTTGATAATAAACCTGTGAGTACTAGTGTGGATTTCCACCTTTGCCTCCGAATTAAATAATAGTTCCTTTAATATTCAATTCTATGTAGGTCGAATGGGATTTTTCAGAATGAATGTCATTTATTTGCTTAATCGTTGGCATTTAATAGTGATAAATTGTGCAATGTAAAAGAAAAAAGAGAAGAATGACAAATTTCTGTAAGTACACAAATGAATGTTCGTCACTGTGAGTTTGGGAGTGGACGCACTTTCATTGCCACGCGAACCTTGAACCGCACAAAGCAAAAACATCTTTTTTTGTTCGCATCAGGTACAGACCTGGGTGCCGTTGTACAAAACAAACTTAGTGCTTCGACTGTCGTAATTCTGTAAATGTATGGTAGTTACGATCATCTTAGCGCTAAGATCTCTTTGTACAAAGACACCTGATCCTGTTAACGATAGAGAGGGCGTGGCTTGAACGAGAAATCAATACCCGGACGAAAATCCGAAGATAAAGCTCTTAGTAACTTAGGCTTGAAAACGAAAAACATGGATTATGCAGAATCTTTTAATAGTTTTAATTGATATTTAATAATGTCGTAATTTTTAGGCAACTAAATTCGAATATTATGCTAACTGTATGTTAACTATTTTACTGTCCATTGTGAAGACTAGATTAAGGATTGAGTGAATACAAATTACAATAAATCATTTAGAAACAATTAACCCTATTACCTTTGTGTTAAACAGAGAACTTACCTGAGCAGGTATAGAGACAGGCTAACAGAAGTAAGCCTTTCAAGGTGTGTTGAAATGTAAGCATCGTTGAATGATAGTCCGCAGTGATTCTGCGATAGCAGTATAGAAGACTGTGGAATGAATACTCATCCTGGTTTATATAGCCTGTGACATCCTGGTGTCAATCCGGGTCACTGTGACGTCTCTATTTCAATTGTTGTCAACATCATCAAACTACAATATATCCTGAATTGCAACACCGCCTTTCCTTCGATGAGAGACACAGTGAGTCTTATTGTAAAGAATCAGTGAGGCTCGTTTTGGGTTTGTGAATGTTATCACCCGATCCAGTCAGCAATAGTATGCTTTATCAGGGCGGCCTGTAAACACTCGACATGGACCCAGGTAAACCAATGGTTGATAGCGTGAGCAACGTTTCACGTTTTGGGGGTACGATGTTCATGCATTGTGACCACCCAGTCCTCCGTGGTCGCTCTTAAGTCGGCATATTGTTTAACGCCGCACTCAGCAATATTCCATCGACGGTCGCTCTTAAAAGCTCTTAAGCGAGTGAGTGAGAATGGTTTACGCCGCTTCAGGTAATATTCCAGCAATATCACTTCGGGAAACACCAGAAATGGTATGCACTCATTGTACTCATGTGTAGAATAGAATCCGGGCCTTTGGCGTGACGAGCGAACGCTTTAACCACTAGGCTACCCGACGTTGGTTAACCCCAAGCTATACTCGTAAGTCAGGCATGATGTCCTAAGGATGTTTTTCTGCTTCAGAATCCCCATCGTGCTCCCAAATAGCGATGAAAGTAAATGCTTACTAATGCTTTTCGATTTTCACCATTTTCAGGTTTACAAAAAGAAGAAAGCGGCATTTAACAAAATATAATTTGATTTGTGTTTCTACGACACCTTTCTTCCATTGTCTTTGCACACAAACAAAACATTTTTTATTCGAATGCGTGAGTGAATGTTGTAGTACGCCGCAGTCAGCAACAGTCAAGCTCTACCACGACGTAAACTGGACTAGGCAAACCGGTGACCGAAGTCATGAGCAGCGATCCACGCCATAGGGGTGCGATGACACGTCAACAACCAAGTCAGCGAACCTGGCCACCCGATCCATTTTTGCCGCTCTTGTGGGGAACTTGGGTTTGAAATCAGCATCTTCTTCTAATGTTTAGGAGCTCAATTATTTTCAGCACAATCAGGTGCTAAATTCATTATGTTTCGGAATAAATAAATATAACGAACTGTTATCTTTGGACGAAAATAGTCGCACGATGGATCGATGGGGTAGCCTTGTGGTTAAAGTGTCCGCACGTCATACATAAGCCCTGGTTTGATTCTCTACATGGACACCAGGTGTAAAGCCCATTCTGGTATTCCCAACCTTCACATTGGAGGGACCTTTATTGGCAATACAACTGTTGTACTTGATCTATGATAAACATGGGAGTTACGATCGTTCTCGCAGGCGAAACTAGCTAACCCTAACAGGGCCTCTTGAGATTACTTTACGTTAAAAATAGCTCTTTCCTTTTCGCACTTGTCTCAGTGGTTTTCTTCGAAGCACACGTAAACACATGTTTCTTAGCCATGTATGATAGCGTATTGCTTTACAGTGTTGTCACAATTCAGGGGTGTGGCTGTCGTAAATGACAATGGGCTTATCACACTGCACCCCTCAATTTCCACGGTGGCTGGTCGCTCGTGACGTGCAAGCGGGAGTGAAATGTACAAGGCGCTGTTATTGACTGGAAAAATACTGTCAGGGATGGTAGCGCGCTTAGCATGAATGGAAACATGCCTTGGATTTTGACATTTAACTACCGAATTAGTTTTAGAATCTTCTCAAGGTATTGCATCTATGATGGTAAATAATCTCATGATGATATAATACAGTGGATAATCGAAGACACTATTTTTTTTGCGAATTACTGACTGAGTATGGTTTTACGCCGCTTTTAGCAATATTCCAGCAATATCACGGCGGGGGACACCAGAAATGGGCTTCACACATTGTACCCATGTCGGGAATCGAACCCGGGTCTTCGGCGTGACGAGCGAACGCTTTAACCACTAGGCTACCCGACCGCCCCGACTTTTGCGAATTAAATTAATTAATTAAATATCTCGCCTTTGTTCATTGCCGAAAGTATAGTGTTTTACTCCGCCGTAATTATATAGCCATACAATCGTGCTTAATAATAATTATTTTAAAATACATAAATGAAAAAGCATGTTTTTTTTGTATGTATCGATTGTTAAATCCTTACCTGGCGGAGAAAATTATGAAATATTTCTCAGTGGAATTTATAAATTTTAATGCCATATTTTTATTTTTTTTAGATGTATTTTTATTTTAAGGTTCAGAGAGGTTGTGTCTGCATCGAAAGTGGGAGTCTCTGTTGTTTTCATAAATCTTTCCTCTCTGCGTGAGATACGTTTGCACGTTTATTCAGATATCTTTCAGAAAATGTTTTACTAACAGTACGTTTCCGAAAACTTCAAAATAATATCCTGAAGGTAAAAGAAAACCGCCCATGCATATCCTCATTATGGAAACAAATAAAAACAGAAGAAAAACTGAATATTGAATAGTTGGTGCTATTTTCATGTTATCATGAGTTCCATTTGATATCGGTAGATTACGCCAACACGAGATCATCTCTTCCTTCATATATTTGCTGATAACATGAAAAAACTTCAAGAAATGTGCAGCAAGGAAACGATTATGCATGTCATGGAAATGTTGCAGCGAAAAGAGAACCAGGATCCAAGGCTCAGTCTGATGTTACCGTTTGTTAATTCATTCAAAGTTAACGTTACCTTTAATGATCATAATCAAAACCCGATCAGCTTTAGGCCATTTTTTATAAATTGGACTTTTCTTCAAAACCTTAAAAATGCCAAATTAGTTAAATTTCCCTATTTTCAAAAATGAATAGTGACATGACAAATGAGAAATTATTTTTTCATTTTCAATTTGTAATGTGACAAGAATGTCTGAATGTCTAAAGTGTCTGAAGCGCGCTCGCGTTTTGAGACTGTAATAGACAGGTAAAAGGTTGTGTTTTTTTGTGGGATTATACGGCCCGGTGGTGATTTCAAAACAACTTGAACCGGAAAAGATTTTTGGGACATGTTGGGATATATTGAAGAATAGATGGAAATGTGTTTCTTACTTTATTGTGGATGTCAAAACAGTTCTACTACTCACGTGTGGTAGTTAAAAAACATATCCCCCATGCACACCTTGTTTATATCGTGGATGTGTACAAGTATTGTTTTTTGTTGGTATTTTGCGGAGGAGTCTTCGAATGCTGTTTCATTTGCATCTTGGGCCGATTGTCGACTCGAAATTTAGCCCAGAATAAATAAATATTAAATTTTAAGCCAAAGCTTGGAAGTATGTAAGGAGACATGTGTACACTAACTGTAGAGAGGCAGGCGGGATGTTTGGTAGACAGGCAGGCGGGACGTTTGGTAGAGAAGCAGGCGGGATGTTTGGTAGACAGACAGGCGGGATGTTTGGTAGACAGACAGGCGGGATGTTTGGTAGACAGACAGGCGGGATGTTTGGTAGACAGACAGGCGGGATGTTTGGGAGACAGGCAGGCGGGATGTTTGGTAGACAGACAGGCGGGATGTTTAGTAGACAGACAGGCGGGATGTTTGGTAGACAGACAGGCGGGATGTTTGGTAGACAGGCAGGCGGGATGTTTGGTAGACAGGCAGGCGGAACGTTTGGTAGAGAAGCAGGCGGGACGTTTGGTAGAGAAGCAGGCGGGACGTTTGGTAGAGAGGCAGGCGGGACGTTTGGTAGACAGGCAGGCGGGATGTTTGGAAGACAGTCAGGCGGGATGTTTGGAAGACAGACAGGCATGATGTTTGGTAGACAGGCAGGCGGGATGTTTGGTAGACAGGCAGGCGGGATGTTTGGTAGAGAGGCAGGCGGGACGTTTGGTAGACAGGCAGGCGGGATGTTTGGAAGACAGGCAGGCGGGATGTTTGGAAGACAGACAGGCGGGATGTTTGGTAGACAGACAGGCGGGATGTTTGGAAGACAGGCAGGCGGGATGTTTGGAAGACAGACAGGCGGAACGTTTGGTAGAGAAGCAGGCGGGACGTTTGGTAGAGAAGCAGGCGGGACGTTTGGTAGACAGGCAGGCGGGATGTTTGGTAGACAGACAGGCGGGATGTTTGGTAGACAGACAGGCGGGATGTTTGGTAGAGAGGCAGGCGGGACGTTTGGTAGACAGGCAGGCGGGACGTTTGGAAGACAGGCAGGCGGGATGTTTGGAAGACAGACAGGCATGATGTTTGGTAGACAGACAGGCGGGATGTTTGGTAGACAGACAGGCGGGATGTTTGGTAGAGAAGCAGGCGGGACGTTTGGAAGACAGACAGGCGGGATGTTTGGTAGACAGACAGGCGGGATGTTTGGTAGACAGACAGGCGGGATGTTTGGAAGAGAAGCAGGCGGGGATGGGGAGACTATACACCTGCATCCAGTTGCAAGGTGTGAAATAAGAGGATGTCACGTCAATGAAGCAAGATATCAAACATTATTCGTGCTAATCAATTTCAGCAACCCAATGCACAGTTTTACATCTCTTCTTTGACCAAGGTATAACCCAATTCAACCTTGGCTAACCAATGTTCATTAGCACATATAAACTCATTTACGTCATGTTTCAGTGACCAAAGTTGCCCATATCTCCTGAACTCTCGTGGTGCGGTACTCGTTGATGTCATCGTTAAAGCTAACATTTCATTTATTGATTCAGACATTATAAAAGCATTCTATTGAATATAATTAACGAGGTAATTGAAGCATAACATGTATTCTGATATGCGACAGGGAAATTTAACGTTCGATTATTGATATAAATACCTGAGAATCGATAATATAACTTTGATGATTTTGCATCTGTTTAAACACACGAAGGGACACTATTCCCAGTCGAACATGTATTAGGAAATGAACGTGTAATCAGAGGACCATATGGCCAACGTTTGAAACGTACGTATCTTGTGGCCGCTAAGTCCTATACGAGTTAAGGTACAATGGCAGCTTTCTCAAGAAATATAACTCTTGTTAGCCTCTCATAGGTGTATGGCAATGTTCATGGCTCTTGTGTTTCTCCGTCTCCTGGCAGACATTTTTTTTATACATATATCTGAAGCTGCATTTTAAGTGTTCTCTGTTGGGTACTGCCCTAAGCTGTGTTTGGTTTAACACGGGTTAACTCGGTCTGAATCCGATCAACCCTGATTACCAGAAATGTGGTCACTCGAAGTTTGGTAATACAACGCACTTCATCGAATAGGGTGAGCAGTTACCGAAATATTCTATGATGCATCGTCCCAGGTAAAGCAAATCCGTTCAGAACTCTCAGTTGGGCATGACCGAATTCTAAGTATAGGTGTCACTGGTAAGTGGAAAGGTTATCTCCTTAATTATCCCATCCCGGATACGTTAAGAGAGAGACCAAACCTCTACTTGCTTCCCTCAACAGGGAGCCCCTAGCAGCGTCCGGCTCAGTCTTTCTTCAGCCTTTGTCAGGCAAGCGGGTGTTTCTTTCTAACAAATATCTAGGTGAAATTTGGTTATGGGTCATTAGTCAAGTAGTAAGCACGCCCATGCGCACCACTGTGTTACCTTCCTTGTTGAACTGATTCTTTATTAATCGGAATTTCGGCTCGGATTGCCCAATTGAAAATACGGGAATTTGGCCAAGAAATTTAACTTAAGCTTCAGACTAATCGACGATCTGATTTTGTGCAATGGCCAATTCAATTCCCTTCCACTGATTTACTGCCTGAACTAGAAATAAGAGACCAGAGAAACCGCTTCATCTGTTCAAATTTAGATCAATGCATAAAGATGACAGTGGGGTATCCACAAGAATTTATGACAGGAGGGATGACTTCAAGTTTGCAATAGTCACTGTTGCTTTTATGTCAGGCGATATTCCAGTCTACATTCGGGGGTAAACGTCTGAGACCTGCATCACTTCGGGCTTTTCTCCAACATTAAGCTGACACGCCGTGATATCATTGTAATACTGTTAAAAGCGGCGTAAACCCAACTCACTCACTCACTAGTGTCTACATTCTATAACTTTTGAGCTACAATCAAACTTGCGTTTTCTAAAAAGAGTTCAAAGAGCGTCATACGAAACTTGCTCAAAAGTTGTTTGATAAAGGTTACAGCACTCAAGGCCCCAGTAAAGCTTTAAACCGTTTTATGGTAGCCATGTTGAGGACATTTCCAGATTTGACGCATTAGGGACCAAATTGAAGTTCGATGCAGTTCAATATTTTCACTTGTACGGTATGTAGCTAGCTGCACCATAAATATTTATTTTTTTAAACGTATACAAAAGCGAGTCTAGCCAGCTCTAGCTAGCTCTATTCCACATGAAATCAGCATAGGGAAAATTATTTTTTTTATTTTTAGAGTCAAGAAGGGTATTGTGTAATATAAGATTTCAAAGACTAAATGTTAGTCTAGGTATGTAGCTTATTATGACGGTTGCCACCTGGGGCCAGGATACGTTCACATTTTCGCGGACACCAGTTATAACTATTTGATTCTGATATAGTTGGAATCGTACAATGGATATGAAAAAGGTTTTGTCGTATAACAATGCTTCGGTACAGGAAAAGTCCTCCCATTTATCGAATCATTTAATAAATTGGTCCTTTAAATACCGCTGAAACTTTCTATCCCTCTGCCATAGCGCAATAATATAAATTGTAGGTTTATCACAAAGGGAAAACGGTTTGATGTATCTTCTGTGTTGGCGTGTACCCCGAACTGTGCCTACCACACACAGGGGAGACCAAACCACGAGGCGTACACGGAAATTGATATGTGAAGCATGGGTCCGTTTTCACAAAGCGATTTTAGCGCTAAGACTATCGTAACTCCTATACTTTAACATAGACTTACGACCGTCGTAGGGATACGATCGCTTTGTGAAAAGGGCCAACATATGTTGGTCACCATATAGCCAGACGGCAATTTCTTATGTTTTGGCTTTGTGCGTCACGTAAATCTAAAATGAATGTTAATCTTCATTACGCGATGCCGTTTCGTTATAAGGAGCTTGAATTCAACAGTAATTTTACAGATCGGACAGAGATCAACAAAGTGCCGTTTCCATAACGGCCTGTCCAATTGTACATAGCTCGGGATGAGTAAATGGAAAGTTATTAAAACGTCACTGGCCAAAGATATTCAGGTTATTTACATGTGAGATAAGAATGTACGAACACTTGTTTTTATTTTTCCATTAATCAGCACTAAGACTAAGGAGTCATAGAACTACGTCCTTCAGCCGTGCCAGGATCATTAATATGATGTTCTGCTATTGCTCGACAAGTTGGACACAAGACAAACCACCGACCAGCGCGTAAAGGGTCGCGTGAAAGACTCCAGTATACAGTCACGGTGATATTGTACTGTGATCCTCCCATGGACGATGTGTAATAGAATTCTGTCCACAACGGAGGTGCCAACCCATACTATCACTGAACCACCACCACCATAACTGCCATTTATACGACATTGACTTTTCCACAGGAACTTACGTTTTCTGCACCATTGGCTTCGGGCTGCATTGTGGAACCCATTTAAATGAGGGACTTCAAGTAGCCGTCATGCTCACGGGTGAGCTTACATGACGTCGATTTCGAATGGTCGAATAGCCCTGTTTAGATGTTTGGCGATGGGAATGCCTGTTTGTCCTGTTCCAGTTCATCTTGATCCTGGACGAGTACTGTTGTGGATCTAAGGCGTCCTGATTGAGGTCGGTGTTTGGTGGATTGGACTATCGCTCAGTCTCTGAATATATATTATTTTGACAAAAACAAATAACTCCATCTAAACTGAAAAGGATCCCGAGTAAGATGGCACATTGAGCCTAAACCCTGTGGAAAATCTAGACTTCTTCATTTAGTCCTTTGCATTAAAGAGAAATGGCTGGTTAGAAGGTAAAATAGTATGGTTCATGGACTTAAAAGTGTATTGTCTGCGATATCCTGGCCATAAAGCGTTTGTCATGATACAGACGTCGCGTTAATTTGACAGCAATGATGATCAGATCGTACAGCGTGTATTTTAAACAGGTGTGTGGGTCACAAAGGTCGGCTTTATTCACGACAATGACTGGATACAGAGGCGGCCATAATACAGAGACACATCAACCCTGTTGTTGATAAACTCAAGGTGAATGTTCATGATGGAGACTTTTCCTTATTGGTCGTCCTGGATATTGCAGTGGAGTTGCTATCGACAATGACTTTGCGGTTGCCAAATGAATTTGGATTTCAGAAAGCCTTTCTATGATGGTTTTATTCCTATTACAGTTACCACCATGAACATATCAGCATTAACAGCTCAAGTTCTGGTCTAGAAAGGATGGAATGTGGTGTACCTCGGGGTTCTGTCTTCGGACCAATATTGTTTACATTTTATACCAAACCAATCGGTAACAAGCATCACAATCAACTCTAATGACATGAATTGATATTAAATACCAGTAATCATTGTAAGAATGGTTTCCAGCGCCACAAGCATTCACTTACACAATGGGCGCATAACAAATTGGCACCCGGATGCGGTTTTTTTAAACTCGTGTCGAACCCTCGGATACCTAGTGCATTAAAGTAAAGTTGTGTATGCACAATCACACAACCAGGGATCAAGTGTATGGGTTACCCGACGAGTGTGTCACATAGCTTAGAATAGTATCTTGCCGGATGTATTTTTTATTAATGAATTCTTTTCATCTCAAATTCGAATTTAAGAAAAAACTGTTGCTTTTTCACGTGTAAAATAGCAGTATGTGGATTTGTCAATTATTATGTAATTACATTAAAATATACTTTGTGATGACAATGAGTGATAAATAGAGAAATAAAAATATATAATTATATTAACTAACTTGGAAATATAGAGAAAATCTTTTGAAAGAGAATCAGGGGCCGAATAGATGTAAGTCCCTGCTGGACAAATTAGAGTCGTTTCAACCACCCTGCTGTCAACAACACGTCCCAAGTATTTGCATGGGTGAAAGTACCGTTACAGTACCGTTCACGTGACTGCCAGGTGTGTATATCACGCACCTGCCCTGTGTGCAATGCAAACTACCTGTCAAACAGTGGGATTGCCCCGTCGTCGACTGTTAAACAACAAATAAATCTATTAATTTGTGAATGAAATCTCGGTGTTGCATTTTTAACTGAAGACAAATCCCTCCTTTCTGTTTGAAAGCTATAAGGTATTTTACACTGATTGTTATGAATTCACATAAAATCTGTTTTACATTCAATGGCTTCTTTTTGCCCACTGACTGCATCTTGTCCGACGTTTAGTCGAGACCGTCTAAACCTTCACGGATGTTCGTTATGCATGTTATCGCTAACCTTGAATCCAAAATGTACTTGACACACAGGCGAGGCCCAGAAGTAAACAATGTGTTTATCACATGAAGTACTACACTTGTTTATGATATTTCGATAACTGCCTGAACAAGGCGGGCGGGTGTGGTTAAGGTTGGGCTGCTATTGTTGTTGTTTGCGATTTCACATACACAGAAGGATATGTTTGTGAGTTTAACCTCGACAATGAGGGTCACCGTGACCCAGACTGTTAATGTATACCCTTGTATACCCGTCAACAGACAGAGTACTGTTAAACTTGTGTCAATAGACGTACCCGTAGAAGGATAAATAATATATCGCTTACTGTTTGCTTCGCTGGGTATATTCAAACCTACTCGTTTCATTAGCTCTACGTCCCCCGCCGTGATATTGCTGGAATATTGCTAAAAGCGGCGTAAAACCATACTCACTCTCTCATTAGCTCTACGGGGTGGCGGGTAGCCTAGTGGTTAAAGAATTCATTCGTCACACCAAAGTCCCTGTTTCGAATTCCAACACGGGTACAATGTGTTAAGCCCATTTCTGGTGTCCCCCGCCGTGATATTGCTGGAATATTGCTAAAAGCGGCATAAAACCACCCACTCACTCACTCTCCCTTAGCTCGTTGTCTCTATGGAATTTGGTAGTTGAGGGTGACCAACAGTAGACTCTTGTTCTCACCGAAGCGGTTTCCACCCTCATTGCCATCCAGCTAGGCGCGTTTACTAACATACTGTTTGAGTTCAGGTGAAGTAAAATGGGGTTTAACGTCCGGCTCAAGATTATTTCTCTCACACAGCGATGTTTCGTGTGTGTGCATGTGAGCGGCGTGCGTGCGTGCGTGCGTGCGTGCGTGCGTGCATGTATGTATGTATGTACGTTTGTTTGAATGATAAATGTTAATAATAATAATAAATAATGTTTCCATGTGCTATTGTCATTTCCTATTGGCCTGTGACCTAATACTTTATGAATAAGCCACCACAAGCCCATATCCCAAACGGAACACAACGTTTGAGGATATACTCAAACGAGTTAACTCCCTTTAACATAAGAAACAGATAAGGTCTGTGTTATTGTAAAAGGCGTTCTATTTTTTAATATAATTGATTTAAAATCTGCACTCTAACCATAACACATGCTCCCTATGTCTATTCTTCACATCTAAAGGAATGGGTTTTTTAAATTACGTTCACACTAAAAAAAATTATGATTGTGGGTTCGAATCCCGGTTCGCCCCGATTATGTTTCTAGGTTTGTCAGCACCATACCCGTGCTCGTGGGTTTCACCGAAGTGGTACACGTCTGAGACCTGCATCACTTCGGGCTTTTCTCCCACATTAAGCTGACACGCCGTGATATCATTGGAATACTGTTAAAAGCGGCGTTAAAATCAACTTATTCACTCATGAGTGTCCATGATAATCTCCACTTGACTTATGCATGTTGAACAACGTCAGTGGAATGGCCATAAACAATAAACCAGTATGTTTTCTTTAGGAATCGCGTTAGGTCGATTTTGAATCAAGACAATTTTGGTCACATTTGAAGTTCAAAGGAGAGTAGTGCATGATGTAGGCTTTTCAATACCATCGCTATAATTGCAACTACTTGATTTCTGAACTCAAGTTAATCGATAGTGTGCCTTGTTATTATTAGGTATCAAAACATTTACACATATCGTATAACCTTGCACCTACTGGAAAGAATGTATATAGGAATACACGTTGGTTTAATGGCGGTAATTCCCTGTGAGTATTGTAAAGGCGATGAAGTACACGGGGTGTTTTAACCGATACCGCTTTGGGATGATAACAAGAACATTGCCTGAGCGAAGGGTGAGTGAGTGATGTTTTACTCTGCTTTCAACAACATTCCTATATCAAGTCTTTGAAAGGCCGGCCTTTAGAAGTGATACACGCAAGGAATGGAATTTATGGATGTCAACTTCTTTATTATGAGGAACACAACGTTCGGAGTATATGCTTACTCCTTCATATATGCTCACTCACTGATTCACCTGATAAAGGAGTAAGCATATACTTCGAACGTTGTGTTCCTCATAATAAAGAAGTTGACATCCATAAATACTCTTCCTTAATAGTCCTGCAATATCATGATGGGGATGGCGTGGAGCTGTCGGAAATGGGTTTGACCCTTTGCAACCATGTCAGTAATCGAACCAGAATCTCCGACGACAGCCACGCTTTAACAAGTATACTACCCCATCAGCCGCCATTTGTGTCATGGACATAACTTTTATTGTGATTTATTTTTAATTGAAATGTGTTAAAATAAAGGGACCATTTCAAAACAATAACATGGCGGATATCAAACTTTCTGAAACGTTCAAATACTTCACGGAGTTGCTTATATTTTATTTTATCACCTTGTTTAAATAAGATGTGACGCGAAAGTATACATTTAATTATTTGTGTTTCCTAAGTTCAGAACAGTGAAAAAGTGAGAAGGGTTTAAGGCCGCTTTTGAACAGTTTTCTGTCATATCACGGTGTGCCAGCTTGATCGGTAAGAGGAAGTCGAAAGTGATGCAGGTTTAAAGCCACGAGCACAACATCGTGTCGATAAACCTAAAATTAGGGTTAATCTGGGAATCCAACCCACTGTCATAGGTTCCTTAACACACCTCTGGACAGCGAAATGCGGCGACTTTGACGACTGAGACTCCATGGCCACAATATACATCTAGGCAATGTGACAAGACCAAACAACAGATGAGTATGCATCACTTTATTAACACAGGATTACGTTTATCATCCTTGCGGTAACGGCCTCGCCCCTCCGTTGCCATGACAAACATGGTGGTTTAGGAGGACCACCCCCAGGACCATATGGGTGAGGGTTTCCTGTACTTGTAGACGATGTTCGTATACTTCAGCTGAGGAAACAGACAAAGAGTGAGCTTACAGTTTTACAAAATCCACTGATTCTCGTTTTCGTGTACTGATATAATATAACTGAGGATTTCCGGGTGAACTCAGTACACTTTCAGACATACAGTGTGCAGAACCGTTTATTTTTTAAGATGTGAACACTCCATCACTCCTTTCCCCTTTTCCATGGCACACACACACACACACACACACACACACACACACACACACACACACACACACACACACACACACACACACACACACACACACACACACACACACACACACGGACACACACATACATACATACGCACGCACGCACGCACGCACGCACACACACACATACGCACACACACGCACGCGCACACACACGCACGCACGCACGCACGCACGCACACACACACACAAACACACACATACATATTAACCCAAGATTGCCACGCGTGAGGGAACGATTGTCCGATGCTGATGCACACATTCACAGCATGAAATAGATAGTTGTTATGTCAAATATGTTGTTTTCAGATGACGCTAAAATGAATAACCTTCCTTAAATTATTGATAATGTATATCGACTCGATACATGCACTGTAGAACCAAAGCAACACACACACGCACACGCCACGCACACGCACACGCACACGCACACACCTTTTGAAGCGAGGTAATAAACGTTTCTATGATATTCCCGAATTATACTCTAGCGGAGATCAGCATCGGAGTTGAGTAGAACCTTATGAAGACATGAGTCCGAGCTTATCTTAGTGATCAATGGATGTGGGATAGTAAATGCGGAGCAGTACAAAGCTACGATTTAGCAGCAAAGGTTAAATATTGCCGACACGTCATGAAATACGTCTGCTAGGTAGACCTTGTTTTCCAAATCTGCGAGAATGGCCATGCCGCCCCGGAAAGCTACACACACAGGCACTCGGCCATCACCTGCAGGCAAAAAACACTTCATCGACTGCTGACTTCTCATCATTGTGTTTGTTTCACTCCACCATATTCCATCTATATAGCGATGGTCAGTAAAAAAATTGAGTTTGGACCAGACAATCCAGTGGTTGAGGTCATGAGCATCGATCAACGCAACTTGGATACGATGACACGCATCAGCCATGTCAGCGAGCCTGACCACCAGATCCTGTGATGCTAAAGATCTAACCTGGATCTTAACGGGTGGACTTCTCATCAATCGTGCATTCAACATATGGCTTATTTGATTGCTGGGTGTTCGTGTCCACCTTTAGGCATTGGTTGTGTTATGTGTGTTTCTGGTTGAATTTTCCAGCGTAACTATGTCAAGGTATCGTATACAATTGATTCACTACCCACCATCCTCATCAATCGGGCTGAAGTCGCCCCGGTCTGCAGTGGAGAACCTGAGGTCACCGTTGACGTCCTCAATGTCGAAGAGGCGGCCTGCGACCGCCGTGCTGATTCCATACCGCTTCTTAAAAAACGTCACGAAGGTGCAACGGTCGACTCCAGCGGTCACTGCACACAAAAAAGAACATGCGAAATGTAGGAATTACGATCGGACAAAGCTTTAGCTATACAAGACAAAAACATTCGAAATGTATGTGCAACGGTCGACCAAAGTGTTAGTTGCTCAAGACAAAAAAATACGAAATGTATGCAGACCAAAATGGTTTTTTTCCTTGTTCTGGTTCATTGACACTTTTCATGTTGGCCAGCGTATTCGTCAATCGCTTCGTTCTAATGTTCGCTCATACATTTACCTAAAACATTTCCTTCATTACCTGGCTTACAAATCCACCGACCCCACATTGTAGCAGATAATAAACGAGAAAACAAATGCCAACAGGTTTCAATGATACACATATCTTAAATAATCCGAAACGAGAACGGAGGTAAATCATGCATAGAAGTATTCCAGCCAGGGCGTTATAAATGATTTGGGGCAATTTCCTATTTATTGAGAACACCGACCGTGCCGTTTTCAGAAAGAAAACCTTCGACAAACCAGTTAGTGCACGTAAGGCGAACAGCATAAAATATGAAGCGATTGAAGCGCTCTTAATTTCATTTCTACGAGGCCTTTGAAAGACTTATTATAATGTAAATTGACAAATTGAATGCATTTCAGTGGTCACGCAAATAACGTGTTATAATGTAACGTCACATTGGCGAAACGTCAGCCTGATAACATACATCAACAGAATACTCATAGCGTGGACAAAAAAGTAATGTCAATATCAAGATTTCATACAAAGCAAACTATGATCTGTGGTTATTCTGAGTGTGATATTATCCGTTTTTTATGTTCCATAGTATCAATATTTGAATATATTATGTTATCTAATACATTAATATATTGATGAAGTGATTGATTGGTACTATATACATGTTCATACACCACAGATGAATAGCTCAGCCCTCATTGTAGCATGTTAGGTAAGTGAGTCGGTGTTTGTTTGTGTTTCAACATCATCTCATATTACGACGTGTGACAGTAATGTCATGCAGGTTGTATATGTGTGATTGGATTGAAACATATTAAATTCACAAAAAGTGAATAAGATTGGGTACAAGTTCTCCAACTAAGGAGAACTTCTCCCAGATAATTTGCACAATTGATTTACAATTTGTACTAAACAACAGAACAGAATAAAAGAAAAGAATAGGTCAGATAAGTGGACAGTGAGAAAATATAGTTTACGTAAATCTGTGCGTTACGTATATAACTCCGATGACAACCCCGCTATCCATAACAGGTACAGCTTCGCTAACGATCACAGGGGCCAATGACGTACTTGTTTTCACAGTAACTCTAGTTTGTTCAATAATAATATTGTGCATTTCTTTCTAACAGATCATTTATATGCATTTTTTGGTCAGACATTAAGTTATCATTTATATCAACAACAATCGCCAACTTTACACGGAATAGCAAGTGCTAATTCAAAACTATTATCTAATCTGGTTCAAAATTCTGTATTGTTATGCTCTGGTCTATAAACATTGCATGATATGATTGATTTCTGAGGTAAAAATAAAATACTTGCAGCCATATTGACTCATCATATACATTTTCTATATTATGAAGCCTTCAGTAAGATAAGATTTTGTTTACATATATCATTACACTACCTCCAAACATGTTTCTCTCCTTTCTATTTGGTTCTTGAAAGTGTTCCCATATAAGATCATCGGATGTAACACTGTCATCTAAATGTGTCTCAGTGAGGCACACACCATTGAAACAAACAGTTCGCTCACATCAGTTAGCTTATGTCGCACGCTTCTGGTGTTTGCGTGAACTACATTTGTATATGCTTATCATTGTCAAAGGTTTGGTGGACATTGTTCAGGCTGCACGTCCCCAGCGAGACGAAGTCGCAATAACAATACAATAGTTATATTGGTATTGTTCAACTTTGACTGTAACACACAAACAAATAGAAATACAAAGCATGCCTTAATTTTAACATGAAACATTTGACACATTTTACGGAATTCACATGTAATGCACTCAATGAGAGGAACACTATCTCGTATTTTGCCCGTATACCTGTACTTTTGTGTGTAGTATTAAATAATCCCGACAGCCACACGATGTTGAATTATATAATTACCTGCAAGGTGTCTTCAGCAACCCATACTTGCCGCAAACGTCGACTATATGCTTGTCGTAAAAGGCGACTAACGGGATCGGGTGGTCAGGCTCGATGACTTGGTTGATACATGTCATCGATCTCAATTGCGTGGGTCGATGCTCATGATGTCAATCACTGGATTGTCTGGTCCAGACTCCATTATTTTACAAACCGCCTTCATATAGCTGGAATATTGCTGAGTGCGGCGTTAAACATCAAACAAACAAAGGTAGTTTAATATTAAAGATTAACGTAATTAGAGCTGTGTGGACATATGTTCGGGAACTGTGACGTTTCTGTGCAGTATAGCAGTATTGGGAATCTACTGACGGATATCGTATGTAATGTCTACAAGAAGGTTCTAGAGAGAACAAATATGCAGTGAAATATTAGAGTGAGCGAGTGAGTTTGGTTTTACGCCGCATTTGGCAATATTCAGCAATATCACGGCGGAGGACACCAAAAAATGGGCTTCAAACATTGTACCCATGTCGGGAATCGAACCCGGGTATCCGGCGTGACGAGCTAAGGCTTTAACCACCAGGCTACCAAACCGCCCCGAAATATGAGAAAAGCTGAATAATTGAACACATTTGTGTAAAAAGTGATGTTCTGAGATGTTGAAAGATAAAGTGTGAGGTAAGGATATATACAAATAAATAACATAATATCAATAACGCTAACCACCGAAACATGAGATGTTATTGGTATGTGGACATACTGTCTCAACATATTCACACATGATGTCCATGTTTACCGCTCACATTAATATTATTACAAATACATATATTGCTGACTCTTCATCAGGGTCAACGCGGAATGTAAACCAACGGTCGGCTGATCCTTGAACATCAAAGGGGCGCAACTCTGCACAAGACCGTTTGCAACGTGGGGATTGGAAATATTACGTATAACGCTTCTAGAGTAGCTCCAGGGGCTGCAATGTGTACCCACTGTACCGTCGGGTAACATGTCAAGCCATTGTTGCAAAACTAGTTGTTGTACATGGTCGTAATGTGATTCTGAAGAACCTTTGTATCAATAATAAAACAATTACTTACGGTTAAAAGCACTGTCGAAGGTGGCTGCAACAGTTGGGTTCCTCATTTCGACTGGAGTGACGTAGCCATCTTTGTTGGTGTCGTAAGCTTTCATGTCATCCAGAAATTGACGCGTGTCGATATCAGTCATGGAATTGCTGAAGAGCCTGCGAGAATACAGAATTATGGCGTCAAGCGTCACACTTGATAATGTTTATTATCTACACACATTAAACCACCCAACCTAGAAAAGTGAGTGAGTGAGTGAGTGAGTATGGCTTTACGCCGCTTTTAGCAACATTCCAGCAATATCACGGCGGGGGACACCAGAAATGGGCTTCACACATTGTACCCATGTCGGGAATCCCAGCCGGGTCTTCGGCGTGACGAGCGAACGCTTTAACCACCGATCGCCCCCAACCTAGAAAAGAACAAAACTACAACATATACAAGAAAAACGACTTGATGCAACCAAGCCTTAGTCTTGAGGCAAGACAACCCGTTGTTCTATGCTAAAACAATGTTTCTCAACGTTGCAGGATATGGCCACTCTGTCCAACAAATCCCCCTTAACGTGATTCGTCTACTGTGTATTGCGGGTACTGCAACTCAGCACTGCCAACATGAGGACCCGAGGACACAAAATGGTCCCAGCAGGTCATGCATGTGGTCAGAGACGACTCAAGAGGGGATCACGTGGCAAATTATCTGTTGACGTATCCTGAATGCTTTGATCGCTGCTCATGTTATCATCCACTGGCTTGTCTAGTCCTTATTCTATAATTTCAATTTCTCGGTAGTATAGTTGTAGTATTGCTAACCATGTTCTTAATCATTAATTAATAAAGGGTTTATATAAATGCGAGAAACCCTTTCCATAACCATAACATATATCTCCTAAAATCACAATCCATTGTACAATTGTACGACTACATCATAAGCATGCGTTTATAAATAACTATCACGTAGTGATGATACCAGGTGTTCGCAAAAAGGTGAGCGTGCACTACCCTAACGGTGGCACCCGTCACAAATACATGCACAGGTAAGTCAATTGTTTACCTGAACAAAATACGAAAAGACAAACCGTTTATAATAGTATTTTAGTTATGTATTTAGATGACTGATGAAACGCCCAAAGGACGCAGGTCGTGAGCGATAACTACTTTGCTGAATTTCACCTGCACGGATGCGGTGCTGACAAACCAAGGATAATAACCTGATTATCTCCAGCGTATCCTGGTACGGGTAAAGAACCAAAACTTTGCCCATCCGGTTTTATTTCTCTTGATTACCACCTGAGGTAAAACTTCGCCAAAGCTAGTGCGCTATATTTAAATAGCATGACGTTATAGATGTACAATTACATCAACGCGAGACCGGAGCACGAGTGGCTCAGTTGCCTAAGTTACAGGACATAATTATCGTGGGTTCGAATCCTACATTCCTTCTAACTATCACCCATGGTTTGTCAACAACATACCAGTGCTCGCAGGTTTCTCAAGAGTGGTAAACGTCTAACACATGAATCTCTTCGTTCCTTTCTCCCACAGCAGGCTGACACCCCGAAACGCTTATCAAGGCGTTGTGGTACATGTACTTACAAGCTGTGGTACTTATGAATGTACGACTACTTCAAAGCAGGTCTAGATAAAGATTGAAATACTATATTTGTAGTTCCCACCAGCCTGCCCGTTGGCTTCGGAAGGAACCGCATTCTGTGTTCTTGTTCATGCTGAACCAGCTTCCCCAGGCAGATACAGATCCCACGAATAGGGCCAGACACAGCAACGCTCTGAACATCATCTGTGTAGAGAGATGTGGATAGGTATACCAGAGCTCAGTTATTTACCCCAAAAGCATGTTTATTTAGCATCACAGCACAACATGAAGGAAACACAAAACCTATATTTATATTAATTCTACCACTAAAAAAAAACCGGAAATATTTATTAAATAATTTTGGTCATTTTGTTTTTGTCAACAAGCTAATTCTTATGATGATAATGTCGATGATATTGATAAATTAATTTAACAAATGATAATGAGTAATATACATACTAACATTAGTACACAACTTTCCCGAACATGCACAGAAATGTCTTAAACAATTTAATAAACAGAACATTCCAAATGAACACCATAAAAGTCAACCACATGACAACAAACATCAACAGCAAAACATTTGACATTCGGTAAACTTCACACTCATTAGGATTTCAATGTTTTAAAACAAGTTGTATACTCAGCTACATTTCGACTATCGCGAATATAGTGGCTTACCTTCGTTCTCGACCCTTCTAGCGAGTCAGACCGGGTGGGTTTGTTTCTTGGAGCAAAACTTTGCTTTGTTTGTTGAGCCGTTAGTCATCAAAGCGGGGCTCCACACGGGAAGCACCCCCGCACGACAGGAAAGTAAGGGGCTGGGGTTTAATTGAATGTCCCTGTATGTATGTTTGGATGTATGTGCGTGCGTGCGTGCGTGCGTGCGTGCGTGCGTGCGTGCGTGCGTGCGTGCATGCATGCATGCATGCATGCATGTATGTATGTATGTATGTATGTATGTATGTATGTATGTATGTATGTATGTATGTATGTATGTATGCATGCATGTATGTATGTTTTTTTCTATTATTAAGAACCCTATCTGATTCAGCTGTTTAATGCCACTGACGGAATGTTATTAAACCTTTCATCATAACACATCTCCCACTGTTGATCTGAGGGAACGATATCGTGATCATAAAGACATGCTCAGCAAATACAGGCGCACTTTTCGTGAAAACGCACACTATTCTTTGAAATAAAGTGCGAAGAAGCTTTTCTAAATACTGTCTCGTCATCTTAACCCTTGCAATGTGAACAGCGTTTTACCTGGTTATTCTGTTCGCTGTGAACACTTGGCCCGTCTTCCTTACTTCTGTAAAATGCAAGTCATTCAGAGCTCCAGAAGGTATGACTTGTCTTTCTGCCTACGTGAGTAGTTCATTACTTAACGTACTGCGAGTAAATATGACCTATAATAAAGTGTGTTTCTCACAAGAGACATGCGTGTATGTCGTGATGCACAGTCACGGTGCAGATTGGTACAGTTTGTGAACCCCATGCATGATGCATTCACTGAGTGCAGTCACAAAAACACAAAGACCGCCCACGTGGTCTAGTGGTAGAGCGTCCGCCCGGAGAGCGGAAGGTCCGGGGTTCGACCCCCGGCCGCGTCATACCAAAAGACGTTAAAAGATGGTACTTGTTGTTACTGGTCTGTTGTTACAAAGACTGGTAGGCTCGGAGTCAGTATACTGTGTCTGAGTGGGGTATTCATGTTAAACTGCGGCATGGTATCTCAGTGAGCTAGCACTATAAATCGGCATCAGTCCGGACTAGTACAAGCAGCCACACAAACACATACACGTACATGCACGTCGCTATATAAGTGCAATAATCTTGGACGCGACGTTAAATCTAATTTCATCTCACCTCACAAAAACACAAATGTATATATAAAACACCAATGCAATTATCATATTCACACCGGGTCGTACCAACACACGCGTTATTGAAACTAGACGATCACAAACACTGCAGTCTGATGCCCAATCGCGAAGTCATATGGACATGCACTTGCATGCGCATGCTCGCCACCTCGCAGACACAGTTGCAGTCATGCAAATACCCACGGATCAACGCAGACAAACATGCATTGGTCCTACACACAACTATGAGGTCATACAGACAACCATGCGGTCATACCGACAACTTTGTGGACAAACTGACAACCATGTGGTCATACAGGCAAGCATGTGGTCATACAGACAGATTAATGGTCATACAGACAACCATGTGGTCATACAGAGTGATTGTGTATGGTTTTACGCCGCTTTTAGCAATATTCCAGTGATATCATGGGGGACACCAGAAACCGTGTGGTCGTACAAACACACATGACAGTCATACAGATAGACATATGGTCATGCAGACAGCCATGCGGTCATACAGACAGCCATGCGTTCATAAAGACAGCCATGCAAGCATAGATGTAACAATGCAGGCATACAGACAGACATTAGGTCCTTCAGACAACCTTGCACTCATGCAAGAAACCATACGGTCATACAGACATGCAGTCATACAGTCAATCATGCATTTATACAGACAACCATGTGGTCATATAGACATGCAGTCATACAGTCAATCATGCATTTATACAGGCAACCATGTGGTCATATGGAGAAACATGCAGTCATGCAGTCAATTATGCATTTATAAAGGCAACCATGTGGTCATATAAAGAACATGCAGTCATGCAGGAAGCCATGCGGTCATACAGACATGCAGTCATACAGTCAATCATGCATTTATACAGGCAACCATGTGGTCATATAAAGAACATGCAGTCATGCAGGAAGCCATGCGGTCATACAGACATGCAGTCATACAGTCAATCATGCATTTATACAGGCAACCATGTGGTCATATAGAGAAACTTGAGTCATGCAGGAAGCCATGTAGTCATACGGGAAACCATACAGTCACGCAGACAACCATGTCGTCATACAGACAGTCATGCGATCATACATACAGTTTTGTGGTCAAACAGACAGTCATTCTATCATACAGGTAACCATGCAGTCATACAGAGAGCCATGCGGTCATACCGAGAGCCATGCTATCATACAGGTAACCATGCAGTCATACAGAGAGCCATGCGGTCATACAGAGAGCCATGCTATCATACAGGTAACCATGCAGTCACAACCATGTGGTCATACTGAGAGCCATATTTACGACATTTGCTGCCAACAAACCAAAATGTTCTATACCATCATAAATAACTGCAACAAAATGGAGACTGCAAGAAACTATTGACATACAAAGAAAGAAGCCAGCCATTCACAGAGACCAATGCCAACTTAAAATTACAAAATATCATGTCTGTGTCATTTGAAATAATATTTTAAAAATGCTTCTTATCATCATGGTCATGAAAGATACACAATGCAATTCATTGTAAATAATTTCAATCGCAATAGTGAAATTTACACTGCTAAAAATCTTGTGGTAAAGAATGTAGAATGTGGTGAGATACACAATCAAAGTTTTACCAGGGATGGCTAATGATAATAATCATTTCTTTGAACATAAGGGGCGAAGATAAAAAATTAACTCTCAACATGATAAATTAATAACCCAAATTAAAATGTTAACATGATGGGGAAAATGGGTGTGTCAGGACGAAAATGTAGATTCTACATTTGCTTTGTATTGTAAGAATTAGTAAGAGGAAGTTTCCTGGGGGACCCTTTTCAGAATGCGTTCTTATAACATAAACTACAAATTATAACGGAAAATGGGAATAAATATAGACCACCATGTTGTCTGTAGATATGATTTGTAATCAATCTTAACAATCATCGGATGTGACCATGTAGACAGGATTTCATTTCTGTTCGTGTTGTTTAGAACTGCCCATTACATGACCATCATGAGTATCGGTGTGCTTGGGGATACCAACGTTAACAGTTTATTATTAGAGAAAAATGACAGTGAATACTTGTGACTGCCATTTAGAAAAGATGTCTTTAGGAATTTGAATCGTTTCTTGCTCTGTGGGAAGTCACTCAACTTCAACATGGTCTTTAAAGAAAACTTTATTTCATTTGTCAAGTTTGTCCCCACTGAACGTGATGATGAACATGTTGATCGTTTCATATTCACTTTTGTGGTTAGATACATTTTAATGTTGGCATCTTGGAGACTACAGCAAGTCCAGTTTGTTAACCCCTTCATCCAACAGTGATTGCATATGATCTAGGGATGACAAGACTTTGATATTCGCGAGAGTCTTCCTCTCGTAAAATGAATTAATATACTATTAAAAAAAGAAACGCATAACCCGTATTTGCTGAGAAAATGTTGTATATTCAAACATGAATAACTTGGTAGGAAATGAACTTGAGTACATGAAACTTTACATCCGTTTAGGAGAGATCAATGTCTATACAATGATGTCCATAACTTAAGGTAAGGCATTAACAATATTCCTCAAACGTGAATGGAGTATAAATATCTGTTGTGCCCACCACGTGCACGAAAGACAGTTCTCACACGCCTTGTCATGGACTGGATGAGACCCTGGATAACGGCCCGGGGAATCCCCCCGCCACTCCTCCTGCAGAAATGCAGCTAGTACCTTGAGAGTTTGGGGTTGATGTTGACGCTGACGGAGACGGCGATCAAGTTCATCCCACAGGTGCTCTATTGGGTTAAGATCCGGGGAACGGGACGGCCAGGGACATTGTTAGCAGCGAGAAAGGTCATTGTGACACGTGCCGTGTGGGGCCGGGCGTTGTCCTGCTGGAAAATCTCACGTTGGACGTCAATGGCTGGCAGGAGGTGTGGTAGCAGGATGGAGTCTCTGTAGCGTACAGCCGTCAGGTTTCCCTGGACGTGAAAAAGATCGGTACGATCAGTGTAGGATATTGCCGCCCACATCATCACACTCCCTCCACCAAATCTGTCCACTTGACGTACGCAGTTAGGGGCATAACGTTCATAAACACGTCTGTAGACCCGGTTCCTACCATCACGTCTCTGCAACAGGAATCTGGACTCATCGGTAAACCAAATGCGTCGCCAGTTGCGAAGGTTCCAGGCAGTCACGTTGTTACACCAACGGAGACGATGAGCACGATAGTGACGACGTAGCACGTTCCCGAAGTAGGGTCTCCTGGCTCTCAGTCCATGTTCCGTACAGTCTGGCCTGATATCCTCCTAAGTCCTGGCACCCTGGCTGCAGTGCTCTCACCCGTAGCAGTACGGTCACGCAAATGGAGGACCCGGATGTAGCGATCCTGGGCTGGTGTGGTGACTCTAGGTCTTCCTGTACGGGGACGGTCATGTGTTGTGCCTGTTTGGTTGTAGCGAGTTGCAAGCCGTGATATTGTGCTTTGGCTAACATTCAGACGCCGGGCAACAGAGGATTGGGACTCTCCAGCCTGCAGTCTTCCAATGGCGATGTTCCTTGTGGCAGCTTCAAGACGTGGCATGTTCATTTGGCTTGGAAACACCTTCTGAACGAATGCCTATTTCCGAAAGCAAGCTTGCTTTTTATTTCCAAACACTGCATGCTTTTCCTGCCCAATTTCAACGTGCAAGATGCCACTTGTTGCTTTTTGGCGATGCATTTCTTACTCATTCTCAAAAAACCATATCAAACTAAACATTTTCAAGCAAAATCGATTTGTTGCAAACGGAAGTGTGTCAATTGATGCTCTTACCAATATTGATACATATTTTGACGATAATATGAATACAATAGGTATTATTTTCGTTTTGACATATAAGTAACACAAATTCAATAAACTTCTTCAATAAAAAAATGTTTGAAAGTTGTATTTCTTATCAACTATTGACATTATATAATTCTGATGAAATGAGACTTCTTTCATTGTGAGGTGAGGTGAGGTGAGGTGAGGTGAAATTGGGTTTAACGTCGCGTCCAAGATTATTGCACTTATATAGCGACGTGCATGTACGTGTGTGTGTGTGTGTGGCTGCTTGTACTAGTCCGGACTGATGCCGATTTATAGTGCTAGCTCACTGAGATACCATGCCGCAGTTTAACATGAATACCCCACTCAGACACAGTATACTGACTCCGAGCCGACCAGTCCTTGTTTTAGCCCCTTAATGTCGAGCGCCAGACAGGGTAACAACAAGTACCATCTTTATAACGTCTTTTGGTATGACGCGGCCGGGGATCGAACCCCGGACCTTCCGCTCTCCGGGCGGACGCTCTACCACAAGACCACGGAGGCGGCTCTTTCATCGTGAAAGAAGCAATAACACGGTCGATGTTGCCTGTATGGATATGTGCAATACTAGCTCATATTTTAATAAAAACCACTTAAGTCCACATACATACGCACGCACGCACGCACGCACGCACGCACGCACGCACGCACGCACGCACGCACATCTACACACACACACACACACATTATCTTGTCAGTCATCTTGTGTATTTTGTATATTTCGACGGTTGAAAGTGGCGCATATTACAGAATATTGATAAATACAGCGCTACCCGTCCGTTTTCTGAATCATACACAAGCAATATCACTTCTGTCTTCAAATGGACTCGATTCTAAAATTCAGTTTTCAAAATCTGGATACCCCTCCCTGGACCCTCAACTGCCAAAGTTCATCGCGTCTGCCTCCATCGGGGGTGGAGCTGTCACACAAGCTTAAAGAGTCGAAAAGGGATCTGATCAAAGCTCGAGTCGTTATCCAGTGCATTCAGACAGGTTCGTACCTTTTCCCATTTTACTAAAATACTTTATCTTTATTCATTAATACTGATGAATAACTCGTTTTATTTTCAGTCGTACGACATAGCAAGTTGCCACCCTCAGTGTGAGCTGAATGTGTATTACTGAAGTTGCTATTATACTGTCTGTGTTGTTATATACTGTCCGTTGTTATATATTGTCTGTGTTGTTATATACTGTCTGTGATGTTATATACTGTCTGTGTTGTTATATACTGTCTGTGATGTTATATACTGTATGTGATGTTATATACTGTATGTGTTGCTATTGCATTACTACTCATTAAACAACAGCATAAATCGTGTCATAGTCTATACTGTAACTATTGATGCAGTGTTCATACTGTAACCATTGATAGTTTATACTGTTACCATTGATTGTTTATACTGTAACTATTGACGCAGTTGGTTTATACTGTAGCTATTGAATCAGTTGGTTTATACTGTTACTATTGTTACAGTTAGTTAATACTGTCACTATTGATGCAGCCTTATACTGTAACATTGATAGTTTATTCTGTGACCATTGATAGTTTATACTGTAACCACTGATAATTTATACTGTAACCATTGATCGTTTATACTGTAACTATTGATAGTTTATGCTGTTACTATTGACGCAGTTGGTTTATACTGTAACTATTGATACAGTTAGTTAATACTGTAACAATTGATACAGTGTTTATATTGTAAATATTGATGCAATTAGTTTATACTGTAAGTATGGATATAGTTAGTTTTATACTGCAAATATTGATAAAGTTAGTTTATCCTTTAATTTTTGATACAGTTAGTTCATACTGTAACTATTTGCATTAACTAATTAACGTTTGCATTTCGGCTCATAGTGTGGCACTATCATATTCAAAGTATAACATCTGATACAATGATTATAATTATTTTGCTTTCCCTCTAATACACCTTGGATAAATAGTTTCCTCTAGTTTGACAACTGAGAAAGCATTCAGTTTGATGAAGTGTGTACCTCAATGGTTTGATACTGTTGGTTAATACTGTAACTATTATCATATAGAGAATATAACTTATGATACAATCGCTATAATAAGTTGGCTTTCACCCCAACACACCGCGGATAAATAGTTTCCTAGAATCCCTGTTTAACAACTGAGAAACCATCCTGTTTTATGAAATGTGTACCTCAATGTGTGTGTTATCGACCACTACTTTGCTGCTTAAGACATGCGCAATAACACCCAGCAGGCCCAGATCGATACTTTGAAAAACTGATGACAAATTGAAACGTCATTACCTGCCTGAGTTTGCTTGCAGAATGCTTGCCCTCCGACTCACCGTGTTTGCCCTCCTCTTCTGTGGGACCTGTGGTTTCTCCAGGTATATCAAGACATTGATCAAATCCGTAATATCTGTTCGTAAAATATTCTAATTCAGCTCTTATCATGCCACTACAAAGCACCCCGAATGGAGTCCGGGTTAGAACAGATCCACAGGAATATGTTCTGGTCGTAACAGGTTGATTGTGTGCTCTTGATCGGTAACTTAGTCGATTGCATGTCATCAAACAACGACGGCTTGGATCTTTGCTCATAATATCGATCATTGGATTTTATGGCAAGGCCGTCGTCATACAGCTGGAATACTGCTGACTGCGACGTAAACAAAACAAACTACAACAAACAATATGTTGCCTTCATGCGCAATTTTGGTTATGTCCCAGCTTAATGAGCTGACATGCGGTGGCATTAATTAAAGTTGTACAGGTAACGTTAACCCCAACTCACTCACTCATTCACTCACTTACTCACCAACTCACATTTCTTGAAGGTACTGGTTTAACCTGTTTAACAACTGCAACCCTCCTGAGCAACTGGTGGGGAAGTTCTGTGCTGCTGTGGTGGACAACGACGCCAACGATGACGGCAGAGTGGACTTTAGAGACGTTCACAAACAAATCCTGTATTTCAACTACGACGGTAAGTTCTGTTTAGCGAGCATCATTTGATAACCTGTAATGGGGCCTGGGATTTCTTTACACAATACTTTTACTAAGAGGAATAATTGCAAAAAACACAGGGAAACATCGGAAAGATCATGCATTGTAAAGATTGCTTCTTGGTAATTTTTTAAGAACTGATGGAATACCCAGGTTTGATATGATGATGATGATGATGATGATGACGACGACGACAACGACAACGACAACAACAACAACAACAACAATACAAATGTGTCAACCCATTTATTTGTCTCATGATCCTCTTGTGAAGCATGTCAAGACTCATGATGAAAACAAGGCATTCCACAGTTTTCTAAAACGAGCCAAGGACATAATCTCAATGTCGGTGTTGATTTTGTTGATGGTTCTGTACTGCTGGATGGTACAGAAATGAGTGTCAACCAAGCGAAGTGCCATATCAAATCGGCCCAGACTCAGTTTTTTCAAGGAGAGGCTTTCTGAAAGACCACTGCATCGAGTTTATGTGCAGTGTGTTGAGAAGATCAGCAATCCTGCAGAGTCCTTCGCTTGGATGAAGTCGTCTGGCCTGAAAAGGGAAACAGAAGGCTTTCTGTTTGCTGCTCAGGACCAGTCACTTCCAACTCGAAACCGTCAATGTGTGATTTTGCATCAAAATGTGAATATGAAATGTAGATTATGTAATAAATTTAATGAGACTGTCCAAAACATTGTGAGTGGATGCCCAGCTTTGGCACAGACACAGTATCTTAAGCGACATGATGGGGTGGCCCGATCATTTTATTACCGTTTTCGCCATGCTTGTGGTTTTGACACAGAGGTCCATCCATGGTACGACCCTGAATATGAGGGCGTCATGGAAAATGATAAATACAAAATCCTTTGGAATAGGCCCGTATACACCCTCAGACATATCCAGACCAACAAACCTGATCTTGTCCTTTTTGATAAATCCAATGAAATCATATATATCATTGAATTTTCTGTCTCTTTTGACAGTAATGAGAATGACAAGCAGACCTCGCTTTCGAAATGTCACGCTTGCATTCCAAGTACCAAGTTGTCCGACTCCCCATTGTTCTCGGTGCCTTAGGTTTGGTACTACCAATCTGTTGACTGACATTGGGAGAGTACCCGGGTTTGCTACCATGAATATAGCCCTTTTGACAATCTGGGTAATGCAGAAGGCTGCAGTGTTGGGGAGTCTTCACATTCTCCGAAAGTTCTGGGTGGGTTTGACTAGGCAGCGCTTCCTGGGAGAAGTCCCAGGGCTGCGTGTAGAGGGGGCAAGGGCCCTGAGCTGATGATGAGCCTAACCAGCCTGACTTTGCCAGGATCACCCAAACACTCTTTGCTGCATTTTTATTTCAATCTGTACATAATGATAATGATAAAAGTATATTATACCTGATAATTTTTCAATCTAACCTACAGATGACCCTTGCAGCTTGCAACAGTGGGAGGTCGTGACCAGGTGGACGTGTAGGTACGGCTACTCCGAGGACTACGCCCGATTCATGTACTCAATCTGGGATCCTAACAAAGATGGCGTTGTGAACGCAGATGACTTCACTGGATTCAGTAAGATACATGTTCAAGATATGTGTCCATCAGCTGGTGTTTTTAGTGGTTTTAAGTTTAAATAATTCAAGAATCATGGAATATATATTACAGTTACCTTTTTGTACAGAATAGACTGTGTGCACCACAATGGCCCAGTCTTACCGCGTCGGAATAACGAACTACCGGTAAAGTGTCCTTGT